TTGAAATTAAAAAGCAGTCAAAATGAATTCCTTGGGCAATCTAGTGTTAAGAATCCCCGTTTTAATACCCATCCGACTTATCGAACGAGCCTCGAACATTGCGAACATTTTCGAGCGGGAACTTCGATTCGGTGCAGAAAGGAAGAATGCCACGAATCCCTGTTGCTACGTGCCCGTCGTTCTATAATTGTTCTTCGGCTAATTATCAACCCTTTAAGGTTGGTAGCCCGCGAATTGCGGTCAGCTATCGGACGAAGTTCCCCCGGACCGTATCGAAACATTCCAACATTTTTTTGTCGCGTCCTTTTGCCGACGTTTTGAAAAAGCGAGAAGAACGGAGCACGCTCCGCGTGGTTTTACCCTTAATCGATCGCATTTTCCGGGTGCTTTAACAACGCGAGCCTCCTTGCGCGGAAGGAAAAAAAGAAAGATGATATCGATTTTCCGAAAGCGTTGTCGCTGCCATTGTATCGGAAAAACTTCGATGCATAATATCGCGTTGGTTCGTTTACGGTCGGCTGTGCCATCTACAGCGGTGCTTATGCTAATTTCAATGGCCTTTGAATCGTCGAGGAGGGTGTGGGGGACAGGGATTGTTCGCGCGGATCTTCGTGTCAGCGTCTCGTCACTGTCACGCGGGATTAAAATCCGGTTCCTCGATTCACACCGCGCCGTGAATGAAAATAATAATGCTGCTCGATAGCGCGTGCGAACCTTTTGTCGCCGCGTAGGAGCCTTTCATTCCGCTAACGAAACTGCACTTTAAGAGCGCCAGATTAACGAGTTTTGTCGATGAAAGCCGCGCGGGACACGGTTCGAAAATAAACTCCCGTTCGATCGAAGAAGAATTGGTTCTGCGAGCGAAACTGGGATAGGTCTCGAAACAGCGTTCCATAAAACGATGAAACAAGCCCGCGTGAACTGGCAAAACAACGGGGATTGGTGTGAACCGTGTCTGATGGACGGGTAACCGAGACTCGAGTCGGGTCGGGAAAACTCGATAAACGTACTCGACTTTTTCCGAGTTCTCCCGACCCGAAACAACGCGTGGTAACACCCTGTGCGTCTCACGGCCCCGACACGAGCACGCAAGATGGCGTACCATCGGAGTATTCTGACCTTTGCGGCCGGCTCTTCCAGACGCCCGGGGTTCCACTTCCTGTGACACACAGCGTGACCTTATTCCGCGGAGAGGAAACCAAGGTGGAAGAGGATTGCCCTTCGAGGGAGAGCGGCCAGACCGGTCGCTGAGGAGTCGCATAAAAAAAAGAGCGGCTCCGAGCTCTCGATCCCGCGCCGCCGATACTTGTCACGACCCGTTCGAAGACCTTTGACGATTCGAGGAAGACGAAGAAAAGGATGAGAGGCGGCTCGGGTGGCGCGCGGCTGAAAAATGGGCATTGATATAACGAACGTGACCGGCGCACCTTCGGCACTATTACGTAGCGCGGAAAAAGACGCGAGAGTCCTTGGTTCGTTCGTGGCTCGCGCCGCGATAAATCGCCGTTAAGTCGAAATTACGATCGTACCCGGGGGACGAGGGTGGTTTGGGGGGATGACGGTGGCGGCGGTGCGTGCCCTGGCAAGCGGGCGGTGGCTTAAGCCTCGTTCTGGCACCATCTGGATCGAGACTGGACGATCCTGTACACCCTCGTATTGGTGGTAATTGCTCGCGGATGGGGCATTTGCACGGTTTTTATGCGGGACTTCCCGGCCGGGCGGACGTTTTTGTTGCTCGGTTCGCGGACACGGGGCTTATTGTTTTGTTACACGGTCGGATAGACGCGTGATTCGTCCGGCGATCTGTCTTCTGGGGTGCATACCTGATGGGACTGCGGAGACGATACACCGTGACGAACATATGTTGTTCGAAATTTTCATAAATTTTGAAAACACACTCTCCTCGTACAGTCTGTACGACGAGAACGTGTTCCTGATGCAATAACAACGATGTTTTGCGCTTGAACAACCGACGATAACGGGATCGATCAATGGAAATCTCACGACGGGCGTTACGAAACGAACGTTTAGATTACACGTAGCGCTGGTCGCAGTCAATGAACAGGTGGTAAATGAAAGCAACGAGGAATCCAACGGTTCAGCGTGAAAGTAACTCGACCTTTGCGGTCCGGGTAGTCCCCGTTACCTCTGCGGCGGAGTCGAAATCTTGTTCTCGGTTTAGCATATTTTCCAGAGACAAGTTCCTCTCAAAGGGACTTGCTAACTTCGCGCGGAATCGTCGGTAGCCTCGAAACACGAACGAGATCGTCCCGCGAATCGAAACAACGGAGGAGGGTGGTTTTTTCAGAAGTACCCGAGGTGCGTCTCTCGATCGAGTCAAAGAGAGCCTGTTATTTTTCAGCATTTAATATTAATCGTTCGCTGGAACGTGTCGCAATAGCGTGCGACACGACGATTATGACATCTCGAGTCGTAGACAGTCCCTCCCCGTTTGATCTTTACAAAGCGCGATAATTGGCACACAGAAAGGCACATTAATGCGCATAAAATGGAACAGGGAACGGCGAGTCGCATTACCTCCACCGCCGCAAGTAAATAGCAAGAAAGGCCTTTGATCGTACGCACAAAACGACACGCCTTTGCCATAACAGCGCAAAGTGTTGCTGCGGGGAGCTTCGCGAAATTAAATCGCAACGGATGCTTTGAATGAAACAGAACGCAAACTTTCCGTCTTACGCAAAAACTGCGCAACAACGCGACTCGTGGTTCGGCGTTTCTTTTTGCCTTTCGGTCGTGTACATGTTTCTCTCGAGTCTTCTTTGTCCTTGTCGGTTCTAATTTTTGTAGCAACACCGGTTCCTCCTTTCTCACTAAATCCACACGACACAAACGCGCTTGAAAGAGTACTGTACGTACGCGTGAAATTGGTTCTCTCCTCATCATTGGTCGAAAGTCGGGATGGGTGGAGCTAGCAAAGTACTCCCAACTTCTTGCGTTCACATCCTGTTTGGTCACTGATATTCACTAAATATAACACTTTACACTTTAAACGATGCAACACTTCTGTTTCACGGCTAGGGGAATTTTCCCTATAGTTTACCTATAGGGACATCTTTTTTGGGGTCTTTTGATTCGCGTCCAATCTGATTTGTATCAAAATAAGGATCAGTCGAGGTTATCGATCTGTTTAAATCCACGAAAACACTGCCACCCACGAATGGGTTGCTATGCTTCGGAGCACTCGAAAATCATCCGTCAACTAGTTGTAAAAAACGATGGGTACAACTCGTGGACGTTTAAGCGGGCAGCGCCGTGGCTCGAATCGTCGTTGCCGACAGTACGACCGATTCTTTTTCTCCCCGCGAGGTGTTCTAGGAAGAAACGAGCGCAGGTGAAGTGAAGGGAAACGAGTTTCTACTCCACGGTGGCATTGCAAAACAAGATTCTTCGTCGGCGGTCAGTGAATGAACAATGACTTCCGGTGTCTCTTGGACGCTATAATGGGGAACTCGGCGGAGTTAACCGCGGAACAAGAGGCAAGGTGTACCGATAAGGAGGATGGGCACACGGGTGCGTCGGAACAAGTTCACCGTAACTCGTTTAAGGAGTTCCACGATGGAGTTCTTAGCGGTGAATGCATTAAAAAAGTCCTCGCGCAGCCCGGTCTGAATCTAATCCGCGACTCCGTTTCGACGATCTGATAAAAGTGGTCCGCCCCGCGAAGTTTTATCGCGACGATGTGGCCGACGCAGGTATTAGTCGGTCTCGGGCGGCAGATAACTGTAACCAGAAGCTCGTTAAGAACTCACTTAAATCCCACTTGCCGGAAACAAGCCGAGTTCAAGTGCGTTTCAGACGCTCGGGGGCGGGGAAACGCCTCGTCGCGGCTGCTTTACGAGCTGTTAAAAGTAAAAGTGCGTTCCGAGATCCGTGAGTTACCGTGCTTGTTGATTTCCATCGCGCGGATGCAAACCCGAACGAGCGTTTCTTCGTCTCGGACGGAGCACTCTGAAGTACCCACGACGCACGCAGATTAAGTTTTACAAAAATTCGTTATTCGTTTCTACGAATAATCAATATTATTTAATGAGGGGGGGGGGCGAACCTATCTATTTTTTTATGGAATTATTAAAAATTCCGGGCGAACTTTAGTTCCAGAGACATATCGAAAATCTAAAATTGTCTATAAATATGTATCTTATTTAAATGGTTCGCGATATCGTAAAAAGAAAGAATCTTTGCGTGCCCATCGCGACTCCCGGGAACAGAATCGGTTGGAGGGCCATCTGACGGCGAGCGTGGGAGTTACCGGTCGGTAGATGTCGCCACGAAACAACGATATTTAATTCGTGAACGCAAACATGAATCGTTCGCGGATTTTTCATTTGTTTTAGGTATACCTCGACTGTGACGGCAGTTTTCTCGCTTTTATAAGCCTATATCCGAGTAGTCGAATTTATGCCTATAATACAGAGATTTTATTCGTATCAGTTTCCTTTCCCGACGCTAACGTTCACGGGAAGCTAAATCCGAATCGCCGGGCAATACGAAATCAATTGTAAGGCAATTAAAGCCAACAGCCATCGTTGCCATCGGTACATAAAACTTCCAAAACTCGATCGCGAAGTGAGCGTCGGTTATTGCGCTGTTTGTATTGGACCCCGACGCTCCGCATTCATTTGAATTTTAAACAGTTTTTCCGATCTTTCCGTGCAAACGATGCCATAGATTTCATTATACGCCATTACGGTTTCCAGTTTTTCGTTTCGAATTCCAGGGAACGGTGTTGACGGTTCTATCGGACCGTTAAAGAGAATCTCTTGTTGTTCGATCAAAAATAACTTTCTGAACAGTCACACGAAAGTCTACGAACGAACTATATTACGTTTATGTCTCAAGACTGAAAATAAATTAAAAATCTTGAACGTTAACAAGCACAGGTAAGAAATGTAAAACACATTAATAATTTAATATTTATCGCGATTGAATGTCTCAGTACCGTTTGGATTATCGTTTGTGATAAGGTTAATTGAAACATAATGGATGACGAGCCGGAGGATTATATTGCAAATGAAAGAGAGGACGAGCAGGAGGAAAAGGAAAGTGAAATCAAAGATGAAAAGATAGATACGCGTATGAGTACTAATCTATTTAAGAGTCGTGATTCCAGCGACAACATTTCCGACTATGAAGAGCCCGAATATATACCGGAGTACACCACGAAGTGGGAAATGGAGGAAGAAAAATGTTAGCGATCGTTTTAAGACTACTTCTACCAAAGGTGTCGAAAGACCGCCTTATCGGTAAAAATGAAAACCTCGTTCCCTTTAGCCCTTTCCAGGGAAACGATAGATTGGGAGAAGGAGGCAAAGAGGACGGTGCACCTTGACATCGAAACCAGAGAGAGACGGAAAACTATATACGAGCTCGATTCGCACATGTCCTTTGGCCCGTCGAAGGAGGACATCTTGAAACTTAGCACGACGGATTTCGAGCCCGAGCCACGGAAACGTATTCAATATTCCATTTCGATGGTAGAGTACGCTCGGATACTAGACGTTAATCGGTTGATGTTCGAACACACGATAGAACGTCGTTTTTAGGGGGTGCCAGGCATAGCAAGACTGAATCTAACATCCCTGACGCAAAAGGTGGTCGGTTGCGTGATTGGTGAGAACGTCAGCACCGAGTACCCTTGGGTATACGTGAGAAAGGAAATTATCGAGGACAACATAGACCTTCACGAGGAGAGCAGCGACTTTTTGCCCGTGAAGGACGAGATACGACGGTTCCCAAACACGAAGATACTCATTGGCTACGTGCCGTCGCTGACCCAAGAAGGCCAGTTCTACGTTTGCTTGACCGAGGAGGGTCGCGACGCTGTCCTGGAGCATATCCAGAAACTAAGGGAGGAACACGAGAATCGCGTCAGAACCGCGGTGTACAAACCACTGGGGGAGTGGCAAGACCTGGGTAGCCAGGGTGAGATCGTAACGATCATCGTTTCCAATACGAGGCCGCTTTTGGAAATCGAGGTGAGAACGATGGGGACCGAAATATCGAATACCCACCCCATCCTTGACCCTTTAGCTTACAATGACGTCTTGGAGACGCGATGAGTCTACCGGGGCCAAACTTTGGTGTCGCTTTTAATCGTGAATCGAAATTAAATCGTGAGGCAAGGGATTTGATCGCGATTGTGACCAACCATTCGAAATCTCATCCGCCTCAAAATAGCACCTATCCGATATTCATCCTGTTTTGTTAACTCTAGCTGGTATCTACCGCGGACCTGCTCAACGCGCCGGTGAACCTGATAGACAGGAACGTCGATGATCAAATAGACGGATACATCGAACTCCTTCCTTACCGCGAAACGTATGAAAATATATCGCGAAAGCTGATGTACAAAGCGACGCAAGTGACGCCAATGACGAGAGACATTAAGGTCCAAACTACGCTATCGATGACTACGAATTCTTGGAACCAGTACGGATACGAGTACAAGTCCCCGGATATTCTTGCCTTCAACGAAGAACAAAGGGAATCGTTCAAGCGTTTTCTTCGACGTTTTACCAACGAAGTGTGCGACGAAGTTCGTTTACAAACTACAAGCCCTTATTTGTAATGATCGAAAGCGAGAATGTCGGATCTGTTGAAATTTACAGATATTGATAAACGCCACTTGGGACATTTACACAAACGATTATTGGAATTTAGTCAGGGACGTAAGAGACACACAATGGACCATTCCAGCAGCCTACAAAGAACACTTGAGCTTTCACGATAGCGAGCACATCAGCGAAAAAGTCATCAACGATCTGTGTTGGCACTCGCTATGGACCGGAATTCTATTCGCTGCTTACACACGGTACTCAAAGTGCCATCGTCTTTTGGGACCAAAACCACACGACGAGGTAAACGCGACGAAGATAATAATCATAAAAAAAAAAAATTTCTTCGACAAAATTCTCTTTAAATTTCTTCGCCTTTTTCTAAACTCTGGGTTTCTAAACAACGGATCGAGCATGTCCCCTTTAAGTGTAATTATTTCGCGAACTACAATTGAACCTTGATAAAAACCTCCATACTTCTACACGAATCATGTTCGTTCCTTCCAATGGTAGATCACTTAGCAACAAGTGGTACATTATCTGTTCGCAATAAATTTGAACAACTGGTACGTTACCGATCTGTTAGCACTTTTCTTACTTGTCATCAAAGGGTTATCTAACCTATACTTTCATCTGTCGTTAAAAAAGATATGTCACCATGGTTCGTCGGTAAAACAGATAGCCATCAAGTAGCCATAGGTAAAAAAGATAGCTACCATATCACCACACTATCACAGACAAGGTATACAATACATATACCTCGTTTGTGCTTATATCTAATGTATGCCTCCAGCAAACACTTGAAAGACTATATTTATATACTGTTAGAGAAACACTAAATTGTAGTAGTTATGGACGTTTGAAAATTGCACCAATTTTTATGCGGTTTCTCTCACTTTACGGGGTTAAGGAACAACTTTTCAAACATTCTTGGAATTTCTACATATTCTTCACTAAAATACGCGTTACTTGTCTTTTTAAACATTAAAATCCTCCAATCCGTTCAGAAGTTATGGTGTTTTAAACACACACATGAAATTTCGAAAACCATTTCTGGCCTCACATTAGATTTTCGGTAAAGAATTTTTTTCTCGGAAATTCGTAGGATTTCGAGGGTATGTCTATTCACCGAAAATGATTATAATTCACCCCCGCAACGTAAAATAATTTTTTCAGAACGATTTGAAATTTTTTAATTTTGATGAAATATTTCTCCACCTATTGAATTTTTTTCACGAAAATGGGTAGGAATTCGAGGGTATGTCTATTCACCAAAAATGATTGTAATCGACCCCCGCGACTGAAAATATTTTTTTTAGAACGATTTGAAATTTTTTTTTATTGACAAGGAGATGTCGTATTTTAATCAAATTTCGTATATATAAAATATATACATATAAATATATTTCATTAGTTAAATGTTATAAATGTATGCGTTCGTATACTTTCGTGTGAGCATTGCTTTCAATGCAGGTAATGAAAGCGTACAAAGACAATTACGTACTGGTATGGTCATTCACCGACAGTTTAGCCCCCAAACTGATCCTCGAGTGTTCAAGGGAGGTCACAACAGTAGCCGTGAATCCACTCGATCCAACTTTGATCGTCGGTGGTTGCGCGAACGGCCAGTTAAGTAACAACCTAACGATCGACTACCATGCCCTATCGATATTATGATAAATGTAGGAACTGTTGGAACCGTAGGTTGTAATTTGGCATATTCCCGGGAAAATTGAACAAATAGAGACCGTTATTGTAAGCACCCCGAATCAAAAAAGGTACAAGATCGCTATCAAGAATTTGAGCACGTGGTTGCGAGAAGTAGTCGGAACATCTACTGTCAGAACTACTGCAATGTCGTCGCTAAAAGACAGCCAAAAGGCATCGATAACGCAAATATCGTGGATCTCGCCGTACGATAAAATCGACGAGAATGGTAGGATAACGTCGTTACCGGAGAACACGAACGTAGATGACTTAACTAGCCAATTTGTCACTTCGAGCCAGGATGGTACGATCGCATTCTGGGACCTGAAGTTAGTAAATTATCATAGATAGAATACTAATACACTTATAATCTCTGGTGGATCTGTTAAAAGGCGTAAAGTTATTAACAAATCTATTCTAACACTTTGACGGCCGCTGTCACGTATACGTGACTTTCATCTACTGCATCATCAACTTATTACGTTTGTTGAGGTTACATTTATAATGCCTTATAATAATATCTTCGTATATCTCACGTTGGCGGCCATTAAAGTGTTAAAATCGGGCTGTGAATCTCGGAACAGTATTCGACCATTTTACACATACTTTCAAAAGGTTCGTGGATTTGAAACATTACTTGTGTTAAGGCTGCAGAAATTTCTGTACGAAAGCCGTCATATCGCGAAGAAAGAAAGGGCGAGCAAACGGCCTGAAATGTTGAAGTCGGTCTCGCCGTTCAAACACCTCGACCGCATCTTCAGGCCGCATTACGTTCTCGTTGTTCAACATCCGAACATAAGTCGGAAACAGGTGATCACCGCGATCAGCGTCTACGTGCCGACGTTCAAAAAGGAACGCGTCGACGTTTCTCCACCTACAAAAGACGTAACTGTTAGAAGAGTTTACAAAAATATAATTAAAAAACCGAATTTTGTAACAGAAGCGAGGATACTTGTTGGCACAGTCGAAGGTATACATTCTATGATACAAACGGTACTAGAGAGATGAGAATTTGTCAAAACTTTGTCACGTATTTGAATGTCGTCTGCAAGGTGATTTTGGATGCATCACGTGGGAAGGATACGAGTTTACCACCGATATGGTTATTAACAGCGAAACGTGCCACTGGTCCTGGTACAAGAAAGTACACGATGGGCCAATAACTCACGCCATTAGGTCCAGGAACGACAAGAATATCGTTGCTACGGTGGGCGGGAAATTGTTTTGCATTTGGAGGGACGACTTTAGCACACCGCTGATGTCTAGGAAATCAAACGTCGGGTAGGAACTGTGGCTAGAATTTTAAGGTACGCAATAAATATTCTATCGACCGCAGGTACACGGCGTTTTCTTGGGGTAGCTTTCGTCCCACGGTCGTGATCTTGGCACGTATGGACGGAAGTATCGAAATTTGGGACTTCATGATCAAGAGCGAAGAGCCGTGTGTCGTTCAAAGTTTATCCGGACGCCTAATCACGGGGGTTCACACCCATCAATTGTACCTGGAACCTCAGTGTATAGGGTTCTGCGACTTCAATGGCACTTTAAGAGTATTCCTGGTCCCGGTGATTTTTCTCAAACACGACCGAATCAACGAAAAATGGATGAACAATTTCATAGAGCGACAATACCAAAGGGTAAACCTAAAGCAATAAAATAGTAGTGGCAAAGATGGATCTAAAATTTCTTATATCTGACAATTGTGCATCTGCTTTGGCATCCGATCTTGTCGTTAAAAAATATGGAAACTTCGAATATAATGTAATCGATCATTCTAGTTTGCGTTAGTGTTCATATCAATTTCAGATAAAGAAATGTCAGAACTGGCAAAAAGCATGGGCGAAGACGCATCGGGATGATATCGAGAAGACGCAAATGCTGGTGCAGCACATAGCAAAGAAGAAGCAATTGGAAGAGGAGAGGGCCATAGCTACGAGAAGAATGACGGAAGTTGCTGACACGATATCCGTTAAAAAACCCCCGGTACCTGTCACTCGTAAATTGATATCGTACTATCTTAATCGTGGTGTTTCGTTCACGTGCACAGAAACCATGGGAGATCATCGAAGCAGCGCGCGAAAGGTGGCAGGAAATGGAACTGAAGCGGATGCAACAGGTGATTCTGGAAAAGAAAGGGCTGAAGAAGGACGACCTGGAGAGGCAACGCGAGCCGATATTGAAAATGCGACGGGAAGCGATCAAGAAGAAGGAGATGCTCGAGGAGACGTTGGACATGCAGGAAGAAATTTTTCAGCACAACGTGAACCTGTTTTTCCCTAAACGACAAACGGAAGCGAAACGAGTATCGCTGAGCACTGCCATACAGCTTGATGCCAAAAAAACGAAAAAGGACACGTTGGCGGAAACGTTGCTTCAGCAGGAAGTGCTGCAGGTGAGTCGACTAATGGAAACCAGTTTGTATTATTACTGACGCGGGGCGATAGCGGCAGTTACAGCGGGACATGTCTGGACAATGATACTTTCAACGTAGGGAAGCGGTAAAGTATAAAATAAATTCGCTTTCCAATGGGAAATACTAAAAAATAACTGCTGAAAATCAACAATCTTGTACAGTCTGTCTAACAGGAACGTATAAAACATCATTTTCAAACAGTTGAAAATAATTGAATGGCATGCAACTATTTTGTTTATTAACGTTCTTATCAGTATGGCTGTTAGGTAATGACTGACATATTACCCTCATTATGACGCAATCATACGCGATAAAGATTCAACATCACACAGTCACACGTAAAAACATGAACTAAATTAATACTTCTGGTGTTAAGAAGTATTTCGTCATGAACCGATCGGTTTTAGGGGATTTTTTTTTTTTGAGCATTTTAGGTCACATGCACCTTGTTGGTTATTAGTGACCACAATTGGATTACCTAATGGAACTGATCATATTTAGAGCAATTGGTATACTTTAATGTCTTTTAATAAGTTTAAGAATTTTGTAGCTTATGTTGAATCCTCTTCATATTGTATTTAGGGCAAATTGTCAAGATGTGTGTTAATAATATTTTGTACGTTACAGGTGTCGCAGGAATTTGATTCGGTTTTTGTGATAAGGTACGAGTGTGCCCAGCTTGAGTGTCCTATTCTTAATCGGGTCGTTTTCACTTGATCATTTCTATTTAGTGGTAGTGCCGGATCGAAGTCATATATATTGTTTCGAACTTTGTGTAGCTTAGTTGGTCTGCTATTTCTCCATTCTTCATTCCACAGTTCCGTTAGCGCCTTGGTGCAATACTTTTGGAGGTCTTGATGAGTTGCCTGGTCATATTTCATTATAGCTCTACTGGAGCTAGCCAGTTTTGCTCCAGGGGATCCAGGAATATAAAACTTCTCTTTCGTCTCGCTTAAGGGTTTCATTTAATTCAATAATGTTTTGGATTACTGAGTTATTTGTTTCCAAATTTTGTAGAGCGAGTAGGGTGCTTTTAGAATCAGTTAGAACGATGGATTTGTTGTGTGTTGTTTCTTCTATGTGCTTCAGGGCTTGTAGAACAGCTAATGCTTCACTAGTGAATACTGTGAACGTTTGCGGAAGCCTAAATAGCAGCTCATGTTCGGGAGTGCATATCACACATCCAGCCCCCTGTCCTGTGTGGGTATTTATCAGATAATTCAGTATATAGACTTTTGAGAACGTTTGAGTTGGTGTTTTTTCCTGGTTCCAGAATTTTTTCGAGTATGCAAGGAGGATCTATCGTCCATGGTGGAATTTGATACAGTATTCTCGATATAATTTTTGGTGTATTCATATTTAGTTCTTGCCAGTATGTTTTGACTCTATTATTTAACGGTTTCGGTAGTTTGGGCTTTTCCTTAAATTCATTGAAACGAGCGGTGTTGGTTAATTGTTCGTAGATAGGGCTTGAAGGCGTTGATAATCTGGTTGCTGCATACGACAAGCTCAGTTGTTTCCTTCGGTTTTTCACTAAGCTAAAGTATAAACCTTACAGTAATCACGCTTACTTTCTTTTCATATTTTCGAGATAAAAATGTTTTTGGATCGCAATAATATTCAATAAAAATAGTATTCATAATATTCATGAAAATCTAAAAGTAGTGTAAAGTAACCAGTTTCTCAGTAATAGCAACAGAGCTTTTAAAATGTAGAATACAAAAAATTAATATACATTGAAAAATAACGGAGAAATTGCAAAAATAAATGATGCTACGTTACCCTATATTTCAGCATCTGAACGATCCTCTTAGGTAAATATAAATTCTAAATCTTACAGTTCACTTCCTGCAGCAGTTACAGGTGTTAACTTGTGAAGTCACGACCAGCATATTCAAAGTTAGTGTTGCGTTGATTCTCGACACTTTTGGTGTTCCTCGGGCTATAATACATCACACCTACTCGGACTTTTCTTTTACTCTCGGGTCTTCTCTATTTTGGTCGAGTCTGATGTTTGTAGCAACCAGGTACTTGACTCCTTGCTCATCTACCACTCACTCTTTCGCATCCTGTACCAACATAAGTCGATACAGGGTCCCGGGGGCCCCACGTGGAGGTGAGGTGAGTGGATTTGGCCAAAGTGAGCCCGCCAACTTCGCCGAAATTCTCTGCACCAGGCTACTATCGAAGATAATAGCCCAGATATAGGAGAACATCAGCTTAATCGGGGTTTTCGACCTGGCTAAAGCCAAGAAGTCTCACTCCAGCCTCGTACCCCCGTTTTCCAATAGCAGTTTACCAGAAATACACATTCACAGTGCATCCACTTTGACACCTTAAAACAAAACAAGCAAACCACAGAATATACAAATTAGCATACTTGCTGAAAAACTTTTACAAATTTACGTTTCTTTCCTCTGTAGATTGTGTCGGAAATTACAATTCTCATCAAATATTAATGCTGAACAGGTCACATCTAGCCTACATACATTTTTATAACATAATCTTAATTGCTCAAAAGGATGTGGTAATCGTCGATCCGGACGAAGAGATTGTTAAGAAGTACATGGAAACAGAAACGGAAGCATTGGCTTATTTGCAAAAGAATCCATTCGTGCACACGTTCGATTGGAGAACAGTGCTCGAAGAAGGCAAATCGAGACGGCTCTCGATGGACTACAAGTTAAAAAATATTTATTAAATCGAACAATGACCGACGCTAATTTCCTCTGAAAATGTCTTAATAAAAACGAAACGTCGTTCTTAATGTAATGACAAAATATCGATTGCGTTGATTAAAATTTAGAAATTAAGAAATATTTTTATGGTTGCTCCCTGATTAAGATGCTGTACTCAACGTAATTGTACAAAAAATTCAAATTAAATTCTATAAACATAAATCAGACCCGGTCAGGGAATACCAGGTCAAGTTCAAAGAGATGGATTCTACTGTTTATGCATAGTCCTGTATCGATAAGAAACATCGATGCATCGTTGCCATCTTTAACACTTTAATTCACTGGCGGGCGAATCACTCTATATAAGTGGAACATTGCTCGAGAACCAGTCAGTAATCGCAATATCGTGAATACGTGTGTATGGTAAGTTCCTTTCACTTTTTACATCGTCCCAACAAGGTTGGAGTTATTTCCTTGTACGGCCATTAATTTTGTTTCCTTAGCGTGATCGTGATAATTTGATCGTCGTTAAATAACGAAATTTTTCAACCGTGGTGCTAAAAAATTAAATGGAAAATTTAAAATACCGTATTCTTATAGCATCAGTATTTTAACGTAACCTTAATTTTATTTCATCTCGATAGTTACGATTTCTTCGTGTACAAAGTATTAAAAGAAAAGTGTTTCGAAGACTGTATGGAGGAGCAAAAGGTGTCCAATCGACAGAGGTACGAATGTCAATTATTTCGACGAAAAATCAACTTCTATTATCTACGAATATTCAATACCTTGATCGAGTCGTTGATGCCAGTCTAATAATCTTGCGTTGACAATCGATTGTTCTATTTGCATTTCAATTGCGTCGCAGAAAAACTTTTGGATCTACGTCGATTGGATTTTTTTACTCGGTTCGCGAAGTGCTACAAGTCCTTAAAGTCTTGAAACATTTTTTTCGATACTCTGTAGAAAAACTCGTGTGAATGCATTTCGCGTGTTGATTCCGTCATTATTGCACGTGAGCAAACAATTTTTTACGTACTACAATTAATCATTATGCTCGCCTGTTATAGCATCAAAAATGAATAAATTTATAATACTACTTCTCGTTGTTGTTGGCGCTGCTGTCGCGAAGGTAAGCATAAACATTTAACCCAAATACTGTTCGATTTTTTATAAAATAGTTAGAGAATGAACAAACTGTCGCAAAAACCAACATAAAATTATCTCGTTCAGGAATAGAACGCAAGGATTGTACTCGTATTTGTGACCTTGATCGACTTTGAGATCGTTTTAAAAGTCGTGTGTTTCGATGCAATCGTTTGCCGTTCGAAATTGGACTGTTTAAAAATTTGTACTTCTAGCTATGAACATTTCAATTGGTTTTTGCTACATACTCATTTAACATCTTGATATCTATTGACACAAGAAGCCGATGACATGCGGAGTTGTCGTCCTGAGGCCTCACGATGTGAGTAAGCGAAATGTAACTGGAGAACTGACTATCACACAAAACGAATCCAATGGACCCGTTCATATCATTGGCAATGTATATGGTCTCACCGAAGGATTGCACGGTTTTCACGTACACGAGAAAGGGGATTTGAGACAAGGTTGCACATCTGCCGCTGCTCATTTTAATCCAAAAAAGGTAAGCTATAATATGTACCAAACAATGTACAATAATTTCAAGTACAATGATTCAAGTATTAGTGGTATGACGAAAAAGAGAAATCGAGAATATAAGTATCTTGTATCGTCCTTCCACGAGAAGAAGGCGCAGCGTGTTCACATCCCCACTCTTGCTGCAGTCCGCTGATTGGCTGTCACCTATCTTCGTCACTGTTTTCGACCAATACCGGTGAGTCAGCGGACCACATCAGGAGTGAGGATGTAAACGCCGCTGTGCCTTTTCAGAAACTCTAACAAAATAAAAAAGAAAAAAAGAAACTTTTTATTTTGCAATAACGATTAACAAAATGATATGCATACGGTATCGCTTTGAAGTTATGGCCACCAAACGCACGTAATGGGGGACTCTCGCTCGCTCTTGATCTATCTCACTCATTCCCGGTGTATCCCATTCACCTTCTTCGCTGAACGGTACATAAGAATCTATAATAATCACAGCAATTCCTTGTTTCAGTATGCATTTTCCAAAGTAGCAGGCATAAAAACAAATAACGTAAAAACATAAATATTAACGCACTTGGTCTAAACGTTATCAATTTTTAACATCATAAAAAGAAATCGTATAATAATCTTTCTGGAGGTATTTTAACTACAACTTTAAGACAACCTTATTCCGAATAAAAATAGACATCATGAAACATTTTTGTGTACGAATACTTTCTATTACAAGTTATATTAAATATGTCTTGTTTTTGCATTCAGGTCTCTCACGGTGCACCAGACAGTCCCATAAGACACGTTGGCGACCTGGGAAACATCCAAGCCAACGCTAACGGAGTAGCGGTAGTGGACATCACCGATAATGTAATTTCCCTCAGTGGACCGAACAGTATTTTGGGACGCGCGATTGTCGTTCATGCTGATGAAGATGATCTGGGTCAAACACAACATCCACTTTCTATGACGACTGGAAACGCGGGAGACCGTTGGGCATGTGGCATTATTGGCCTAGTTCAGTGATATTTCTTTCTAACCCAGATTGTATTTCTTATATCGATATATTTACTTCGCTGTTTCAACTCTCGCAGTATACAAATGTAATAAGAATGAAAATTGTAATCGATTAAAAGTATAAGACAAACAACCAGAATGGAAGGATCTATACAGGCTATGAATATAAAATTTACTTATGAAAATAAAATTTACTATTTTCTTTTGCTGTTGTAATTTGTATCTGAATCCTCTTTGATAACATTCGCTTGTAACAAATGATTTACTTTTATATTAAACCTTTTGGTCCATTTATTCTATACTCGCATAATATTGTAATAATAGAATGTACCTATTTCTGCATCTGTATATTCTAACTAAATAAAGATGCAAATATGCATGTAAAATTGGTATCTCTCTTTACATGGATCCTGGGACCAAAAATCTATACTACCAATGTACGGTTAGCCATCAATGGACATAATACTGATCTTTTTATTTTCATCCTTTTAATATATCTTATAAACAAACGGAGAATATATTCTCCCCCTTACTATGCAATACTGTTTGTAAAGTTATTTACTTTTTGTAGAATGTATCATTTAAGAAGAAAAAAAGGTAAGGCTGTAATTCCAGAAGTCGCAAGTTAATAACTTTTTATTTATTTCAATATTTACCCTGTACATATGTACAAAAATAGCAAACACAAAATCATTCATGTTTCCTATAGATCAACTAGTGCCTTATACCTTGATAACAGAAACTTAAATCAGTATTCAATAGAGCTGCAACGAAGAGAGTCGAAAGCAGGTGTTAATAGCTAATAAAGAATGTTAAAAATAATCGCAGCAGAATTTATTACAAAATATACACACATGTATATCTGAATTTTCTTTATGGATCAAAACTGCTCAAGCATCCGGACTTCGAAGGTTAATATTGTTCCCTCGGACTATACGCGTTACGAGTTAGGTTATGATTACTTACTAACCTCGCAGCAAGAACCAGAACCGACGAGAGTAAAGAATTTCAGACAGGCCTTCGTTTAAAACGTAATCTCTAAAAACCAACTACCAGAGCGTTCATCCTGGTTGCTCTTGTTTCGTTACGCAGCATTCAAACTCATATTGCGAATTTACCGTGTTATCGGGTGAAAACTGTATGTGTGTCAAATCCTGCCCTGGTTGTAGAAAAGGTTCGAACTGTGTCTGCTGAATATGCTCTAACTCTGCTTGATGTACTATTTTCGATATTTCCGACTTTACTTTCACTTGAAGCGTGGGCGGGAATCCTCTGACGGTTTCCGTAACGGCTTCGAAGTATTTTAACAAAGCGTCGCCAGGCGGCGCTGGTCTACCGTTCGAAGCGTCCTGAACGAACGCTGCGGAGCTAACGGACTCTGGTTTTCTAAACGTACACTTTAAACTCTGGTCCAATGAAGGGGAAGAAGGGGGAGGGGGAGGAGAAACACGATTTGGTGTCAAAGATGATGGAGGAACATTATTTGCGACGGCGTTTAATGTAATTTCTTCAGGAAGTCGCAACTCGGACTTGTGCTGCAATCCTTGTCTCCTATTGCGTATAAACTGACTCGATTTCAGCTGACCAAGAAACGGATTCAAGAATTCCATCTCGTATTCGTATGTCCACGGTTTCGTCGTGGTGCTACCATCTACACGCCTCATTTTCCTAGTCTTTCGAGATTTCATATAGAGATCCCTCAGATAACTCCACCTTGTTTTACATCGTTTACCTTAAAACGACAATTAGAATGTCGATATTTATATAAAATATGAGAAATATTCTATCTAATACTTTTCTCTTTGTACAATCGATGGAAACAACACAATGAACTACTTTAGAGCAAACACCTAAAAAAACTTCGAATATCAATCACGAAATAAACAGTAGTCTTGCATTCCCATTTCTCTATCTCGTTTAATTTACGTTTTCGCTACGTTTTTTTCCAACAACTAGTTTCTACGATTCATCCGAAATTTCATCGATAATAGAAACTACTTAATTAAACAATTTATATCGAACTCATTTCTGACCTGTTACTCCCATTTTCGCTGCTATTTCTTCCCATATTTTATCTCGCACGAGTTGATTGTAGTAATCTGTAGTGCTAGTATCGTAGAGCTCTTCGTATTCCTTCACATTCAAAATTAGTTCCCTATCGTCCATCTCTTTTATCTGCCTTCCACGCTGCTCTCTAGGGAATCGAAACTATGGGCAATGAACTAACCACGATACGATTCGTACATGTATTCTACTGCGAATACTTGATAAAAAAAAATAAACAAACAATATAATTTTCGACTAATTTCACAAAAAACTGAACGTTCGATTCATTTCGGCCAGGTAAATGCTTCTAATCTGAACTATTTTTAGCTTCTCTCGGTTAGTTTCGTTTCGTTTCGTTTCGTTTCGTCTCGTCTCGTCTCGTCTCGGTTCGGAAGTATTCGGCTCACTCGACACGAAACTTCGATTCCCAAACGAAGTTTCATTCACCGACAATACGAATGGAATTACAATTTTTAATTAGGAATCGTGTTCAATCAGAAATTAACTAAAATCGCCGACAACATAATAATTAAATAATTCTAGAAACGATACTCGACCAGAAACTAACAAAACCACAGATGTAACTGTTTTATCATCCATGGAAAAGACAACTAGCGCCACCATTGCTCGAAACAATAATCAATCGATTTCAAACGAAATTGTTACAAAACGCTCTTCGTCAATTTGATGTAAATGTTCGACCAGACAGTCATACAATATATATAAAATTTTATTAGCCTATTTCTGGTAGACAGTAAACATGGACCTGTTCATTTGTAATAAGTGTTCGATCACGACTCAGAGAGGAAAGAAACCGTTTTGTTTAACGCAATGCGGTCATATATATTGTAATGGCTGTATACAACAAGGTAAAAATTAAAAACAACTGATATTAAATAATATCTCTTACAATGAGTACAGCCTGCAGTCTTTAAATTTAAAAGAGGGAACTCGGCGGGCGACAACGTTCGAGTTAAGAAAACATTTTATTTTTCGTAATGTAGCGGAGAAACAGTGCCCTCAATGCCAGCAAATGGGTGTATATTCCGTGGAACTACAACAACCATCCCTAGCACGGGTGGAAAACTTTTTCGCGCCCGTGACCGAATCACTGGAGTCGTTAAATAAAATATGCGGATTTCAAAATAATCAAACGAAACTCGTGATACAACGTTTTTATGAAATTGTGCGTTTCTCTAATCATTGTGCAATTTGTAGAAAAAAAATTATCTAAATTATTTAATCAAATTCAAGGACAAGAAATATGAAATGCTGAAGTCCCACTACTATAATCTCTCGCAAAGTATGAAAATACTAAGAGACAAGTATATGAAACTGAAGGTAGAAAATGTAGATCAAAGAAAGAAACTTATGTCTATTGAAATACAAAACAGAACACTGAATTCTATGAGTAGTACCTCTACACCATTTAATCCTACTAACAGAAGGAACAAAGGAAGGTATAGGATATGCAGATTATTGAAAAATACAAATTTATACGATTTTAAATCAAACTGAATACAGTCAAATGTCTCAGTAATAGAGTAAAAAGATAAGAGAGATACATATGACAATTCACAAAGAAATTAATATCTTTCTATTTATAGGAACACAGGAAACTCGTACCTTCTATCTTGCGGAACTAATATGTCAAGTCAGTCTTATAACACAGGGAAAGGCAATACAATCTTGGAAGGTTTTCGTATACCTAATCCACAATCTGTAAAGTTAATTGCACCTAATGGTGATTCAAATACAAGATCTACTTATACTTTCACAACTTAAATAAAATTATATCTTACATCATATGTTATTAATTTTAAGTATTTAAGTTTTCTTAAATTTTATAAATAACAGAAAATAGAACAAAAAAAGAAAAACTATTACCTACAGCCTTTTGCGACATTAAGTTGCAAACATCATCAATGAGTTTTTTATTATTTGTTTTATTTTAAGTAGTATAAGAAAAATTATTATATGATAGTTTTAATATAAACATTGTTTATGTCCCAAATAAATAATATTGAAAAAATTGGAATTTGAATACTAATAAATTATTATGAAAATCAGACGAATTTCTTTTAAAATAATGGTTACTTTATGTTTGTAATGCAATTACAGTATCGATTTGAAGATCTACGCGACGTTGTAATGATTATTTCGAAAATGGACTACCTCACCAATTTTCATAAGATCGAAATATGTTGCCAGAGACATTATTTTCAACTTTTTCCTTTATATCATAACGTTGCTCAGCCATCATTTTCGAGACAATCATAAAAATATTTGTTCTGCTATACAGTATTCTATTTTCAAACCTTTTAAATCTTCTCGTAAACTGTTTCTCATTTTCAACGATAATATTATATGATCTTCAACACGAGACACGTATTATCAGCTACTATTTTATTACATGTAGCAAAGTGTAGTGCAACGTGAAGGTTAGACGCATTGGGCACGCATGAAAATAACTGATCCAGTAACTGTTTTATCAAACACCATTACCAAATGACAACACACGAGGAACAGCCCAAAATAACAAATACGAATTTTATTTTCGTTGCATCGTTAATAGTAAGTTATATATACTTCGTTTAAATTGTTTAAATATTTCCCAATATCTACGGAACAGAATTAAATGCAAGAATTGCGGGAAAATTAAACTTCGCTTTCCAATGATCTAAATTTTTTACAAAGATACTTACTATTTTAAATTAAATACCAGTGATTCTAATAAAAGTGTCACGTGTATTAGAGCATTTTTATATATTTCTTTTTTTCTTTACTTTTTTCATTGTTTAATTATAAAATTAACTTTAAGAATAAAGCAAATTTAATTAAATATCTCCTAATTTAATTTAACACTATACGTATTTTCAGAGGCATAAATTTCTTTTTTTCATCTGTAATTTTCTATTTTTAGCTTCATATATTTGTCTCTTAGTAATTTCATATTTTGTGTAAGATCATAGTAGTGGGGCTTTAGCATTTCATAGCATTTTAATAATTTTTTTTCACAAATTACACAAAGATTAGAGAAATGCATAATTTTGAATAGGCAGGAGGATTGGCTGGTACTTCTGTTGATGTGGCATTATTTCCATTGGATACATTAAAAACACGATTACAAGCTAAAAAAGGTTTTAGAAAGTCAGGAGGATGTTCCGGTCTTTATAAAGGAATTATTCCTGTTTTGATCGGTTCTGCACCAACTGGTACAGTAAACATTTTCTAAATCCATTTTACAAATACAAGAGAACTATAAAACTACAGAAATTAAATTATATTCTTTTTTTTCTGCAATATTACAGCATCCTTATTTTTTGTAACTTATGAAGGTATTAAAACTGTTGTACAATGTAAAGTTTCCGAGAAATATCATTCCTTGCTTCATATGGGTGCTGCATCTTTAGCAGAAATGGTAAAATTTATGGGAAATTTTAATCCAATATATAATAAAGCCAATATATAAATGAAGATATCCAATCTTCATTTATATATTGTAAAATTTCAATTAGTAAAATGTAATTTAATTATCATGCTTTGAGTAAAGGTAGCATCTCTGATAAGAGTGCCCATAGAAGTTGTGAAGCAAAGGAAACAAGCACTAGTATTAAATAAACAAGATATTACCCTTAGATTACTATATCGTGGATATTGGAGTACCGTGTTAAGAGACATGCCTTTTAGTTTAATACAGTTTCCAATATGGGAATATTTAAAGAAAGTCTGGAATTCTAATATCGATCGGAATATACTTCCGGTGGAAAGCGCCGTTTGTGGAGCAATCGCAGGTTTAAAACTTTAGATGAACATTACTATATTTTATTTAATGTACAAATGACTATAAATAACTTGTTAGGTGGTGTATCTGCTTCTGTTACTACGCCATTAGACGTAATAAAGACGAGAATAATGCTCGCCCATAAAAATACAAATTCCGAGAAACTGAAAATATTATATATGCTAAAAGATATATATAGAGAAAAAGGTTTGCCCGGGTAAGATTTGCAATTTAATTTACAACTAATAATCTAATAGACTTTATTATTAATGTGAATACATGCCTATGTAAACATAATCACTGTAAATTTTTCAGACTTTATGCGGGTATCGGGCCTAGAATAATTTGGATAACATTAGGAGGTTTTATTTTCTTCGGCACGTACGAAAAAGTAAAAACTGTAGTGACAAACTTCTCCACAGACTTACTTATTTTTTTATAAGAAGAATACCAAATATTAATGATGTATAGAAATGATGTATACAAAAGATTAACTTCTTTAATTGTTATAAAATATATATTACAATAATATATGAAAATATGTACTATACTTACTTCTGTACGGTTGTATAAACATGTCATTTGTAGTATTAAATTCTCACAAACGATGTAACATAAAACTTTCAAAATTTAAACATTTCGCGGTATTTGTAATTAATCAATTAATGCGTGTGTCGCTTTAAAAAAATGAAATATACTGACGTATATTTCATTTTTATAATTTAGATTTCAAACTTTGCATTAATTTTTCTAACTTCATTGCTTTCTGAAGATTACCTTGGACTCTTAACTTACCCATCATGAATGCTGATGCCGGTTTCAATTTTCCTAAACAAAATTTTTTGGTACAAATTATGAAAAAATACGACTTATACTCGAACAGATATTAATATATTATTACAGTAGTAATAATATCTATGTCGGGCAGGTCCCGAGCGCGGACAATTAAGCGGGTATGGTCACTTCTCAGAATTCAACGGAGGTAAGGAAAATGGATAAGTGCGAATGAGATACAATAGCTGACACCCGAAACCATATACCTGCATATACATATACAATGTACCGATCAAGTGCTAAAGTAAATTGCACAGTACGAAGGACGCTATTCGGTGGCGATAATAGTTTAATAATAAGCATATCAACTTGCTCTTCAAACGGATACATCGTGCCGGATTTACCGATTTATCGATAATAATCTTATCATGTTTATCTTAACCTGCAAACTATTAAAGGGTCCTTCAAACAGTGTTAATTCTCAGTGAAGAAAAACGGTAAGCATTACGCATTCCTTTACTGTTTACAATACGTATGTTTCATTTACTATCAAAACCGTAAGTACTATCGCCTTTCTCTACTTTCAATGACCTTCAATGACCTTGTGTAACAGGTCGTTGAACTCGTTTTAAGATCCTCTATCGTGATACGGAAGCAAAAACATACCGATCCATTTAAAAAAATGGATGTGACCTTCAAATGTCCGAAGTACCTCCACCTGCAAAAGAACTATTATCGCCACCGAATAGCACCCTTCGTACTGTGCAATTTACTTTAGCAAATATTTCTGTGAAACTTATAGTTTCGAAGATATCTGAGGTGCTAATAGTTACTGCCCCACCCTGTATTATAGCTACATAAATTCCCTTCGTCCCCTGATATTTTATTGTAATATTATCACTTACCCGAAAACATCGCAAAAAAATTTTTAGAATCCATCGTTAATGTAGCATCTGGTGGCTGACTTGGTTCTCCTTTACCCGTCGAACCTTTACCATTTTTAAGATCCAAATACCAAGTATCAGTTTGATCACCTGCAAAATTTACATTAAATAATAGTCGAAGAATAATGAATAAATGACACAGCATTAACAAAATAACTGATTATTACAGAACTTTAATTACCGTTAACATTAAATTGAAATATAGCTCCTGTTTTGTTAACAAGTTCGCCGCTTAAATTAGCTTCAATGGCAGTAAATATTTGTTCGATTTGTAAATTTGATTTACTGGTATCTTGTGTGCTTTCAGCTTTCTTTTGCGCGGTAATATTAATTAACTGTTCTTGTAAATTCAGCCCTTCCAAATTCTCTTCTAAGAAGAAATCAAGCATCAACTTGTCTTTGTTTGCTAAGGAAAAAAGCAAAAGAGTTTGAAAAATGTATTGAAGATACTACACAATGACTAATTTTAAATTATAAGTTATGGTAAAACGTAGTTTTGTAAGTTATTGCTTCGTTTATATTAACCCCCTGGCAGGCGCGTTTTTTTAATCGTAAAACGAGCGCCATTTTTCGTACTCCGTACACGCGGCGTTGATATTACGAAATTGTAACTTTCAAGTCAAATAGACAGAAAAAATAGCTAAACTGCCCAAGAACCTATTGGAACAAAAGTATCATGCATTGGTGGAGGACATATTACATTGCAATGTTCGAAGCAGCTTCTAAGAATTGGTGGGAATAACCGCGGACACTTAAGTGGGCACTACTGTATATAACTTACCTGGATTACATGCATAATTGGTAAAGTCCGTAATTCCTTCGCTTTTTAAAATATCTTCGTCGACTAAAAATTGTCCAGTGACGGATTTACTATCTCTGCAAATTAAAGCGTAAACAGCATCTCCCATTATTTCAGGTTTACGACTATAATCGCTTGAACTTGGGCCAGATAACATTTCAACTGCAGCAGTATGGATAGCTTAAAGGTATAAAATAAAAATTTTTATATTTAAAACATAAACATCAAGATTTTTAACGCTAGTCGAATAACATCAATTAAAATTTACCAGTTTTTGGCCAAACAGCATTGACAGCAATACCAACATCTTTAAATTCCTCTGCCATGCCAAGAGCACACATTGACATACCATATTTAGATATAGTATACGCAACGTGATTTTTAAACCATATTGGTTTCATACTCAATGGCGGGCTTATATTTACTATATGAGGATTTGGACTTCTCTTTAAATAAGGTAAACAAACTTTAGACCTTGAAACGTTAATATGAAACTGATTAATATAAGTTACCAATTCGAGCAATCAATACAGGAATTTGTATGCTTACACAAGAAATGTTCCTCTAGTATTAATACTATTCATAAGGTCATATCTTTTCATATCCGTGGATGTTGTGCCTGTTAAAGATATCGCGCTTGCATTATTAATAACAATGTCGATACCGCCGAATTTATTAACAGCATTCTCTACTGCAGAAACTACTTGCGCTTCATCCCTTACATCCACAACACATGGCAATGCTTTTCCACCTGCTTGCTCAACTAAAACAAATTAAGATTTTCCCTGTTAATTTGATATTAACGTTTAATAGATAAAATATGTCTGGTCAGAAATCCTTTCAATAGAATCTAAGGTAACTATTTACTATACTAAAATACTATTTCAAATAACATGCCATCTTATTTTACAGTCATTTCAGTTTTAATAAAATAGAACAAAATTTGTGCATCTCTGTTAAATTTATCATAATAATGAGATCATCAGTCTCATTAACATTTAAGCACATTGGAGAAGGAGGGTCACTGATAAAGGAATGTCAAGACTTGCCAAATTATAATTACAACAAATTTTGTATACATTTAGCATTTAAATGTTTGTTATTTGGTTACTCCAGAAAAATAAAGATATATCTCTTATCATGAGTGGAACTTTGATTTCAAAATTGCAAATGGGACATTTTCAGAATATTTACAAGGGTGTGATCCCTTGTTATTAACCATCTTGAAAGTGTACGGACAGTTAATACAATAAATAATTATTAAGACTACTATTTATAGTTGTTATTATGATCTAAAAGTAAGATAATTACTTTCTGTAGCTGCAGTGTATATTGTTCCTGGTAACTTTGGATGCGGTTCTGCAGTCTTAGCTGCAACAATAATATTAGCTCCATCTCTTGCAGCTTTCACAGCAATACTTTTCCCAATGCCTCTTGATGCTCCAGTGATAAAAATTGTACGACCAGCAAGTTTCCTAGAATAAATATTTGCATGACACATATATATAATTATTTCATAAACGATTAGTAAATTTTATTTATTTAAATTATCTAACAACTTTATTCGGCACATTAAAACAAGAAGAATTGAATCAAGGATGTTTTACAAACAAACCCAAATTAATAGAGCAATTATGTTAATTGTGTCTGAAAAAAAATTTCATTCATTTGATCCACATTCGATCGGTAGCACTAAATAATAAACATATTAATCCTGTTTCCGCGTACTTATTAAAATGTACAAATGTGAAAATACGTTATAATTTCCAGCTGACTTGCAGAATTAATTAAAAGTTGTTGTTTAATATGTATGTTACATACCCCGTATTGATCATATTGTAAATAGATCGACGAACTGTCAGAAATAATCGATGTATTTATTTAATCGTCGAACCGCTTTATTCGGTTACACTCACGGTAATGAAATAAAAATATGTTTAACAACATAAAGGAGTAAATTATACTTGAACTGGATTACTATCGATAACGGTGCAATGTCCAATTTTTAAATTCTTTTAATTGTGTTTTCAAGATTAGAATTCCATCTTCAACAATATGGCGAGAATTTCACGTCGAAGGCTAAATGACTAATGCAAATCATTCAATGTACTCGCACGTGTTACTTTTGCAAATTAAATTTTCTATATACCTACATATTATAAAATATATTTGAAGGAGTATAAAAAAAATTACAGGTGGCTTTAGATACGAATGTCGATAATTTAATATCACTGTGTAAAATCTTTATCTGGAAGATTAACGATGCACAAATTGGACGAATTTGACATTTTTATTTCCATTAAATACGCATGATTAGTTTCGTAAACGTTAGATTTATTTCAATTTTTATGCAGACACGAGTATATTTTATATCGAAGATTTAGGTTTTCTTATAGAGAGAATTATTTATTCTGTAATTTCATTGTCCCTTGACCACAACTACAGTCGATGATAACAGACAAATTAAAACAATTTTGTGTTTTTATTTGTATTTTAATCATGAACACTACATATTCGATTGTTTATCCATAAACATACTGTAAATAAATATTGCGAGAACATTTTATTTGTGAAATATTTTTAATTTTAGGTTATGTTTATAACACATCGATAAAAAAATGTGCGGAATATTTTGTTATATTTCACAAAGCCAAGAGAACAATGTGAAAGTTTCAAGCGAGGTATTATTATTTATATTTATATACTGTTAAAAGATAAATTTAATTAGGTTATGAAAATATGTATCAATGAACTGATATTATCTCGTCAGTGGAATATTTGTAAGGATTTAATAACTGCTCGTGGTCCTGATAAAGCAACAGAAAAATTCGAACATCTAACTGAAAACTGGTCTGGGCATTTTGCTGCTTCTGTATTATGGATGCAAGGCTCTAATTTTACTGAACAACCTGCCATAGATTCTAATGGTAATATTCTTCTTTGGAATGGAGATATATTTTCTGGAAATTTGGTAAATATCTTACATCAAGAGTGTTGGACATTATACGAATAAATCTTGTTCTTATATCTGTATTGTTTCAGGCTCAAGATAACATATGCGATACTGATGTGGTATTGAATGCTCTCCAATCATCACCAACTATTATATCTGTATTTAAAGAAATACAAGGGCCATACAGTTTTGTATACTTTCAAAAGTCCAGCAACCTTCTGTACTTTGGCAGAGATACTATAGGGCGACATAGTTTGCTCTTAAAAGCAAACACGGATGAAAACATTCTGATATTAACATCTGTTGCAAATAAACAAATAGATGGGATAGTAGAGCTTCCTGCAATTGGCATTTTCGTGATGAATTTAGCTAATTTAAGGGTAAATCTTGCATGCTATCCGTGGAGGGAGCCAGACTTACGATTCACGGACGTTATCGAAGTATTGGAAACACATTTAACCGTGGATATCGATATTAAAGAAACTATATTAGAATCTGATACATTGACAAATCTACATTTACACCCAAACGTTATAGATTTAGAATGTTTTGAAAATAGTCCTTACTTTGAGAATTCTTACATGACATTGCGATATTTTTTACAAAATAAAGATATATACGAAAGAGTAGATCAACTGTCGAAACTTCTCCATAAAGCTGTGGAGGTTCGAGTAAAGAAACAACCAAAATATTGTAAGAACTGTATTAAGCTATTTTTACGCGGTGAAAATGTTACGTGCGATCATGCGAAAATAGGCGTGTTATTTTCCGGAGGTTTAGATTCTGCTATTTTGGCATTAATCGCTGACAAATATGTTCCGCAAAATGAACATATCGATTTGATCAACGTTGCGTTCGAAAAGTTAGTTAACGCATCTATGAAATCTAATGCGAACAATGAAAGACAATGTGCGCAAATTCAGTACGATGTTCCCGATCGAAAAACCGGAAAGCAGACGTTCTCAGAGCTTTTAAAGATTTGCCCGAAAAGGAAGTGGAACTTTCTTGAAGTATAGTATTTTTCATTTCTCACGAGCCGATTACTATCGATTATCCATTTAAGTTGTAATCGTAAATCGTTGCTTCGATCAAATATTACCCGGCGTTGTACAGGGGATCTTAAACTAATATATATTTATTCCAGGTAAATGTGTCTCAAATAGAATTGCAGAAATATCGTTCCGCGCGAATTTCCAATTTATTATATCCGCTTTGTACGATATTAGACGAGAGCTTAGGTTGTGCTGTATGGTTTGCAAGCCGTGCCAGAGGCACGCTTTCAGCGAGCAACAATTTTTATGAATCACCATGCAGAGTAGTTTTGTTAGGCATGGGAGCAGACGAACTGTTCGGTGGATATATGAGGCATAGGACAATATTGAAACATAAGGGTTGGAACGCCCTAGCGCAAGAATTAAGTATCGAATTAGCTAGAATTTCGGAACGAAATTTAGGCCGCGACGATCGTATTGTATCCGATCACGGGAAACAATCAAGACTGCCATACTTGGACGAAAATATAGTACAATATGTTCAACAATTGAAACCATGGGAAAGGTAACAATGGTGTACTTGAAAAATAGTGGAATTGTTAACAAACATACAGCGTCATTGAATTGTTTATAGGTGCTACCCAACAGATAAAATGCCATCTGGTTTGGGAGACAAGTTGTTATTGCGTTTATTGGCATATAAACTTGGCTTCCAAAATACTGCTAACTTCCCTAAGAGAGCATTTCAGTTTGGGTCGCGAATCGCTAATGGCAAAGAAAATGCTAAAGATGTATCAGATAGATTATGAAAATTGGTTTGTAGAATGTCATTTCGTTATTAGCAAATACATTAACAAGTATTAAAAATGATCCAATATTTACTTTCAGACTGGTTTACTGTAGTGTAACTTTGCCAAGTCTGTGATATTTAGTGTGTACTGCAGTTTCTGTCTTATGTTCAAACATGCATTTGTCTTGTAAAAAAAAAAAACACAATTTTTAATGTAATTTTTATATAAACTTTTTACGATTTATGGAAATAAAATAAACTATTTCAATAATATGTTTTATGTTGTTTATATGTTAATTCTATGATTATATCTATGCTGCTGGTATCATGGTTAGAACTATTGCCTTGCTTTTTTAATTATTTACGGACATAATTCGCCACGAATGATAATCTACATAACTTTAAAAGAAAAACGTAAGCAAATATTTTAAATAAATACCTTGTAAAATTGAATAGCTGGTAGTTAAAAACAATACTAAATAATAATAAATAGTGTATTAATATCGAACTTACGGAAGAGAGAAATGCGTTAAAGTAAATGAAATTAAATACGGAAAGGTTAGGAATCCTTTTCGGATATTTTAAACAAGTACTACATAAATACATACGTATTTTTATATTCTTACATTTATACTATTGTTCGCTAATATTCATTATAAAATGTTGGAATTACACACTAATTGTTATATGTTTTATTGAACAAATAATAAAATTATCCACATGGCGATCGTTTTAAATGATTTAATAATTACTTGATTTGTCACGTAATTTTACACATTTACGTCGACATTGTATAATTATAATTAATACACATATATTCAAATAAATTTTATTATAATTATGAAAAATATTTTAAAATTGCAGAAAGTATCAATAATTGTTGAATCCTTTACACCATCTGTATATTAACAAATTTGATACCGTATGAAATAATAGCACAATGTCAAAAAATACAGTTTGCTTAGACACAGAATTGAGAAAATTAAGACCAGCAGAGTTATATATGCTTGGGCAAATATTAAATATGTCAGATTCATGGAAAAAGTTAATGGCAATTGTACCAAAATGTGAAACATCCGATCTTCCCAAATTTAATGCAGAACACCTTAGGTGATGTTATGAAAATTTTTTAAATATTTACATAACAAATGAATAAGTTCAAGAGGAATAACTCGTTCATTTTTATATTTCCTTCCCATGCATTCTCATAATAGCATGATAGAGCAAGCTGCTCAACAACAAAGGAGGAATGCAGCTGAAATATTTTTGGCAGAATGGGGAACAATGGGAAGAAACAGACCAACGTTACGCACTTTATTAAATCTTCTAGTGAAAGCGGAATTATTTAGAGCAGCCGATTACCTGGCAGGGGACATTTTAAAAGGTGTAATATATAAAAATGTACAACTAGCTTTATTTATAAAACCATATACAGATTGTGGGCTCAATATTTTCTATTTTTGTTAACAGAGGAACTACCAAAACGGCCCGAGTGTGGACCTGCGGCCCCCGTAGATATTTCAGACGAGGTTATAAAAAAATTGTTAGAGGAAAAAGTGGATCTACAAGATATCGATTCTAACGAGTTGTTAATATTCGGACTGCCCTCCGAGGCTAATGATAATAAGGTAATAGATAATGCGACGCGCAACAGTTCGTTGGAAAGGAACATGCAGTCGACGAAATTAGTTTCCATTAAGGAGGAACATAATAAAAAACATTTAGAAAATGTTGGAAATGCAATCGTTCGACAAAAACACGCGAAAACATTGTCAAATGTAGATGTGTCCGATTTGATGAAGTTCAGTAGCGAACCGAATGCAGAGGAATGCAGAGCGCGGAATAATTTTCACATATCGAAACAACCGGTACGTACGCATAATGCAAATAATAATAATTCAAAGGAGTATGGTTTCGAGAAACAGGAAATGTTGTCCCGTGATTTACCTGTATTTTTAAATAATTTTGGACAAAGTATAGAAGAAATTAAATTAAACGAGGAAGCGCAGTCAGACGAGCTTCCGGCATTTTTGAACAGCAATACGTTTGCATCCAGCAGTACTTTACATAATAATTCTACAAACGATTCATTGAATCTGTCTAATCTAAATATTAATCAAAATGAAATAACTTCTACCGAATTACCGCAATGCGTTCTCGAGCTACGTGAGAGTTCTACAAGCGATCCCGATAACACGGCTGTTGAACAAAATGAAGGAAATATGATACAAAATGCATTGAGTTCGCAAGAATTGCCAGTCACGGTACTGGAATACGTTAAATAAAATATTTATAAGACGCGTTTAAGTATGCAGATGTCTATTTCGATAAAGGAACATGTATATCGATATTCGATATTTATCGAAACGAGTTTAAGCACTAGCTTAAATCTGTATCATAAAAAGAGGCGAAAATAATGTTGTACAAGTGTTATTACATTCATACAAATTCACTTAATGTCTAATAAAAATAATATTACCGATAATCGCTATTATGCAATAGAAGTAAAACGTCCATTTAAATATTTTAGAAGCGTAGTATAAATAACAATTTTTATAGTTCATATAAACGAGTATTGTAAGAATTTATTTTTCAATGTATTCTGATATAGTTTAATATAAACTTCATATTAAAAATTATATACTTTCTTTAGTGTCATTATATACAACAATAGATATATGCTTTATGAAATATATTGGTAATGCGATATAATTGAACTGATTAATATAAAGGAACCCTTGAAATATATCACATTGTGCAATAATACAGGATGGGACGTTTAAAACAATACATCCGGACAACTCGTTTATTTTTAATGGTAGAAAAGAATGTTTGCATTTTTTCCTTTTTTTTAAAAAAATAAACAAGTTATTCGAGCGATATGATTTACACGCTTCATCTTGTATATGAATTAGATGCAGTGATACGTGAAACTTTGGACATAATCGAAATATTTATAAGTATCATTAAATTTGATAAGAAATACGATATTACCTTGTAGAAAAATGCAGGCTTAGCTGTGTTTCTATCCATCGCTATTATTACCTTGATTCATAGTAAAGTATATGCTTTGTAATTCTCTAAGATTGCCTTCTAAGGTAGCAACTTCATCGTATCTGCAATCGTCTCTAGCTTGTTTAATGTAAGCTCGAAGATTACTCATTTGCTCAATTATGGGATCCATAGACGGAGGCATTTTAGGAGTAACGTTCGAGGGTCCCCAGCCTTGTGATTGGTTCACCACCACTACCGGCTACGCAAATAAAATATCGATATCGATTAATCGATATACAGTAGTGACCACTTAAGTGATCACGCTCGAGACCGGCCGTGGTCATTTATGTGGGCATTACTGTATGTAACTTCGATAAATTGTAGAGTTACCTGATTTTCCTTTACAGAGGATCGAGCCTCGGTATTCCACGTTTCCCTTTTACGATATTCTTTAGATCTCTCTCTTTGTTCTTCTTCTAGCTGTCTTTCATATGCGATTCTAGCTTCTAATCGTTTCTGACGTTCTACTTGCAACTCTGCATATTTTTCTGTCGACGGTAAAGACGGTATACTCAGCAAATCTTCTTTTAGAAATATCATCGCAGATACTCTGACCATGTGGTGCAACCGGAGTTCTTGTTCTTGCGGTGGATTTTCTACGCATCTTGTACCCAGTACAGAAATTCTTTTACTAATTAAATCGATATTTTCACCTAACTTTGCAATTTTAATTCGTAAAGCCTGCGCGTCGTCTAAGTTGTATGTAGTTTCTCCCTCACTAAACAAACAGATTTTTTTAATATGAATCGTAATGGTAGAAATTTATATTATAGGTCGGCATTTCTCAAACTTCATCTTCTTGCGGACCTTTTCAATGAACTTTTGGCGGACTCGTTACGGTACAATTATTATCTTTTTAATAATCATTAAAGTAATTTAAATCTAAAAATCCCTGGATCAAGTTTGAGAAACATCGTTACAGCCGATATGAAGTCTTGTAAGACATACTTCAAAGATTCCCCCATTTTATTATACATTTGCATATGTTGCGAAGCTTCTTCCATGTATGCTCTCATTTTTTCATAAAACTGACATACGATTGGTTTGTCGAAGTGTTTTGCTTTTTGTTTTTCCCTCGCGTCAAGTAAATTTGCGCAATGTATACAAATTCTAAAATGTTGCTCGCCAGCTGCCGAATCGTTGACCAACGATAAAACGCTATTCAAGCTACCACTGGATGGCGATCTGGCTAATTTTGTTAGACCAATACCCGCGCGTACTATGCGCTCGGAAATTCGTCGTTCCGAAGTAGGAGACACTGCAGAATCATCTTGTACCGACACAGGACTTGTCATTTTCCCTATAAATTAGTCTTATTTTTGTTTTTTGCTATAATTTCTTGGGGTTTTTTAACACGTTCGCCGCCTATATTTGGGTGACGCGGCGACGAACGTGTTAAAAACCATGTACCAACTTTACCAGGTACACTTAATGGACATTGCAGAAAAGAAATTTGTGTTGAACGGTGAAATTAATGGAAGTACGTACGCGCATCTTGCAGAGATAGAAATACTGTACAATTGTGACACATAACAGCTCCGCAAAGTCTACAATGATGTTTCCTTCTCGCAACATGAAAACTCTTCGCACACGTAGGACATAACTTCACATCTTTCTCGTCTATCCATGGCACAATGGCACGTTCATGAACTGTATCAACAAAAATCAAGAATGTTAAGTTGCTTTTGTCAAGCAATGTGAATAATATATCGCTTTTGACAAATAATGACTAAATTAGTAATTCTACCTTTCCTATCAACAGGATCCGTTGGTAAATTATTTAATAATTTATCTAATCTTATTATGAGTTTATTTGTTTCTGAAGAATATCGTTCCAGTCTTGCGTTTCTTATATCTTTAAAGTAAGCTGTATGTGATTTCATCATACCTGAAAGTTTTATTCAATTATATACTTTGTAAAACTTGTTGAGTTTGGAAGGATACACAGCTAGAAATAATAATCCTTAATGTTTAAGGGGGCATTGCGGTCTAAAATTTCGAAAAAAAAAAGAAAAATAATTTACTGCAACACTGAATAAAACTTTCTTAACATTAAATATCATAATGCATGTGTTTACCAATTTCTTGAGGTCCCCAATTAATTTCTGGGCTATATTGTCTTTTATTTGATATAGAGCCTGAAAATGATTCCGGTATTTCATCTTGTTTTAAGATTTTTTTTTTTGCCTTGCCAAAGAGATCTGGAAATAAAAACAGCTTTAAGATGCTGCTTTGTCGATCGCGTTGGTTCATTTTTAACGTAAATATACGAATTTATTTATTAATATTTTTGTTTCGCAAATTTAAAAGATCCCCGTTCAATTTAAACTACCAAAGTTCTCACCTTTAAGCGACTTGAGAATTTCTGGATCATTATTATGAAAATCCTCGAAATGTTTAGTTAATTGATTAGGTGCCTTAAATTCGGTCATGCATATCGGACAAATAAATCCTTCTAATACTTTCTCGCTGCCAGCCATGGTAAAATATGAAATTTACGATACTTTGTAAAATTTCACGATTTTTTATTGTAATGCTTTTCTACTTCACACACGGCAATACTCATTTGTAAGCGTCTCTTCGACCGTGAATGGAAAACGTGCTTCGCGAGCAGCCATATTGATTCATATCAGCTGATGGAAACGTCAAATTTTTCTCGTTCGATTTTAAACAGAATTAAACGAATTCGTGATTGTAACATTATTTAATTGACAAATGTACAAATTCAGTTTGTTATAAATATACCATAAGTCATATGTTTCTGTAAATAATTTAAGGACATATAATATGATTACTCCATTTTTTAATAAAAGGTCGCTTATAATTATATTTTCATGAAATTCTGTTACAAACTAAAATTGTTACATCTTTTTATGCGCCGCTAAAATTTCTATTGCGATACCACTGTGTCGAATAATTGATCTGCTAAAGTTCGAAATTCGTCCGACGCCTCGCAATGTTTCAGAACATTCAAACTAATTTTTTCTTCGCCATAAAATGCACCGGCAATTGCGCCAGTCATACTGCCAATAGTGTCTGTATCGCCGCCCAAACTAATCTGTAAAGAAGAGAGTAATATTTGAGAATTAATTTATATTCTGTTCTATTCTTCTTTCGATATTCATTTAATTTATAATTTAACGGATTCCCGAATTAAAAAATCAAGCGGCGCGCTATGCTTACAGCATACTGTATTGCTCTCCTAAGGGGATTTTCTGTTTCTATGTCTATAATTGGTTTCTGTGCCCTTAAGAAACAATATATTGCAGTAGGTACTGAATATAAAGCTGCAACATTATTTCCTAATTGTTTTACTACTTTCTGATCATGTGGCCCTTCACCATCTTCCGATATTAACGTTTTTATTACATCTAATTGTATTTTATAGGGCTGTGGTTCTGACAAACCCAATCTGTAAAAAGTATGAATTCGTTAAATATTTTCACGAATTTGTTCTAGTTACAGTATGATATATTTTACTATATTTTTAAAGCATACCCATCTTCGTCTTTTTCTATTTGGTCCATTTTGTGAATTAAATCGTCGATAAAATTTATTACGTTTAATTCTTTGTTAGGATTTAATAGAAGACTTTGATGGACTGCTATTGCCTGCAAAATAGTGAAAATGTTAGATAAAAAAATATTTTCTATTTAAAATTCCATTGAATGTAAATGTTCATATATTCAAAATGTAACTACTTGTAAAATGGCACCATCAATTCCAATTTTATTAGTATGAGTAAGCTGTGTTGTTTTTCTAACTATGTCTAAAAGTTTGTCATAGTTTTGGTAGGAAAACAATGCAACAGGAGTGACTCTCATTGCTCCACCATTTCCCCATGATCCTTGACCATTGAATTGTTCCTTTGCTGGTTTCTCAACATCCATAAATTTGTTACCACGTAACTTTTGGAATACCTTGTTTTGCCAAAATTATGCATGAGCGACAATAATGAAAAATTCATTTATTTAATTCATGGGATACTGTATGTACCGTTACAACACCAGGCCCGTAACCACGATTAGGCTCCAAATAATAACTCTTGACAAATTTCTTTGCTAAATTTACAACATCCAACTCCTTTGTCTCTATCAAAGATTTGGCCAGAGAATAGGTCATTGCAGAATCATCTGAAAACTGTATGACCGGTGCTATACAGTTAAAAAAATGCTCTGTGTCAACATCACTATGCAGACAAAAAATTAATTACTGTATTTTACATGTTTAACCCCAGAAAGGTTACAGGGGATAACTCGTTTAATCATCGGTAAAAGAATCTTAAAAATATACTATTTAAGATCGATTTTAAGAAGTGGTTTTGATTTACATCATAGATCGTCTTTACGAGATTCCCCTCTCCGCGCCTAGTCATTATCGCAACTGCTCGTGCTGTCTTGCTAGGGTTAAGATTTTACCTTTGTAAATTGGACCCTCCAATTTATCGAAAGACCGTTGTAAAACTAATTTAATGCCCTTTGTCCATTTTTCCTCAGCTTCGTAAGGGCTGCCAAGGCAATCCCCCATTAGAACACCAAGCATAGCACCGCGAAATTTGCTTCTCAGCAACGACAAATCTATCTTTGCCATACTCTTTACGTTCTGTACTTTGGTGGAACTAGATTCGACAATTTTTAACTACAATAATGTTCGAGCTGACGTACAAAAAGACACGTATTAACAAAAATTAACGATTGGAAAATGAGTAATACTACAGATGCTGAGGTTATACATATGCGTCTTGATACATCTAAAAATTGATTCATAACAGTGTTACCAGACGGCAGACCGGTGCCCAGAGTAAGCTTGCCCCTCCATTTTCGCACACCGATCTGCAGCCACGTGTACGTGAGCTTAGGCGCTTTGGACAGCTTCGGGTATTCAAGAAAGAAGGCGAATGTGAGCCTTTCTTTCTTGCTTACGAAACAGCTGAAATCCGATTTGTGTTAACCTGCATACGATTCTGACTCTCAACTGCCCAGGCAATTTTATTTTCTAACCCATGCATACCTATTACACCATAAACGAGGTAAAGAATAGACCTATCGTTAGTGGGATGAACGCTATCGCTGTACCACGAGTGTCTTATAACATGAGATACACTCTTCCAAAGTGGAACAAAATGTTAAAAAGATCATGCATCAAATTGTAAGGGGATCCTCGTAAGAAGGCTTTAATCTTCGACTTCGTAATGGTTTTAATGGGTCGATGACCATCAATGACTAGCTTATGGTCACTGGTGGTCAACGGTGAGATTGACATCAAGGTCAGCGGTCCAGTGAAGGTCCAGAAATGGCCAAGAAGTGGGACCAATCGAAGTAGTTTCTTTGTAGACAAGACAGTCCTAACTCTTATCTTCAACCATGACTCTGATTAGTCTCCCCACCCTTTAGACTCCATCACCTTAGACATATAAGCAGGGTCACTGCGAAGACTTCTTCAGTCGCGTCGCGAATTCGGGAGTGCACAAATCGCCTGAGGTGGACCGGGGACCGCTGCTGACCTCTGCTGGCCGCTGCTGACCACTACTGGCCAGAGCTGACCAGGACTGACCACTACTGACTACTACTGACCACTACTGACCAGTCCTGGCTAGCACTCCTGCCACTACTGACCACTACTGACCAGTGCCGGACGGTGATGACTAGGGTAAGAACTGTTTAAAAATTCTCTCCCCTCCTCTATTCTATCGTTTGATACCAATTTCGTTTCAATGAACTGATTTTGCCTTGCTTGCCTAACTGCTGTTGCTATAATATGAATATTTTCTTACTTTACAGCTCGTCCAGTGGTAACTATCCTGTATACTGACAACAAGTAGTAAGTCCACTCCACTTATTTATATTTTATTATGTTCATTTGTTTGTTTGATGTGAATTCAACTGTATTTATCTATCTGATTTTATTTGGTTATTATGAATGTTCCTTTTCTATGTTTCTACTTTTACATTGTTTGTCGAATTTATGTGATTGCTTTGATATGTATAGTATTGCAGGATATAGTAATGTAGTATTGTTTCCAATCATATACTATATTCGTTTCTACACGATTTCATGAATTTTTATTTTCACCTTCTTGCTCGAATTCTCGTAATATTCTGCGGAGGTACTTTCTTTGATTCTTCCATTTCGTTTGATTCTTCGATTTCGTTTGATTGTTTGGTGTTGATTCAATTTGGTGTCTCGATCCAAGTTCCTATCGTTATTACGAATGGTCGTTTTGAGTTGTATCACAATGGGGCGATGTATATACTGTATTCGTTTCGATGATACTGATCATTAGAAGAATGTTCGTTTTGATACGTAAAACATGGTGTCGATGGATATGCCATATTTGTTTCGATGGCACTGATTAATATAAGATTTCTATTTTTACGTTTAGCCCCTTTAGCTAGGTGATAGATTATTTTTAAGTGTTTATTAAATTTCCTTCAATGTCTCACTAATATAAATATTAGTTTTGATTTCAGTTTAAATTTGGATTAATCGCAAGGACACCGAGGGAGAACGCCGCGCCCGCCGAGGGACTTTTAATTCCGAGTTGATTAGTCTTAAGCTTCGTCGCGAGTATTAAAATTAACGTCGAAGCCTTCTTTATTATACGTGTCTCCGCGTCCTACCAAGCAATTATTCAATAAGTAGATTGTCTCTCGCTCGTTCCCTCGTTCCTAGCTTCGGTCACCGCTGTTTCATCGGTTGAAACATGTGATCGGCCGTGTAGCTGGCCCGACAGATCTAACCGCCTTCCCTTGGTAGCTCGATCCAGGGAAAATGGTACTCTGCTGGAAGGTGTGGAGTATCCGTATCCTGCGGAAACGCATACCTTCCAGCGGAAGTCGACACTGAAACAGAGGTACTCTCTCTTTGTCAGACAACTTGAGTCGGGTCCTTCGGGCTCCCGGCGGGTTGCGTTGGAGCAATGGAGACCTTAGATTCGGAGTCGCAGCCGTCCGTTATCCTGTAGAGATCTAGTTAGCAAGGGCAGTAGGTTCGATCCTCGGATCCGCTGCACGGTTCAGCTTCGCGTCGCGTCGTGTCGCGTCGCGTGTCCCTCAAATTAACTTCGTCCCTCTTTTTGACCAAATAATTGCTTGGTACAACTAAATCAGAACATCCAAGAATGTTCGTTTCCTTCTATCGTCCGAATTTTAGTTTCAACTTGACCAGACTTGAGCTTCGACGTTAATTTTAAGTCCCTATCGTACGCGTCTCCCAATATTTCCAAGTAATTATTTAACAAGTAGCTTCTCTCGACTCGTTCTCCGGTTCCTAGCTTCGACCACCGCTGTTTCATCGATCGAAACATGTGATCGGCCGTCCAGTTTGTCCGAAAGATCTAGTCGCCTACCAATGATAGATCGATTGCTAGAAATAGGAATCAATCTACCAAGGGCAGTGTTGATTCGATCCGAAGATCTGCTGCACGGTTCAGCATCGCGTCGCGTCGCGTATCCCATAATTTAGCTTCATCCCTTTTTAAACGAAATAATTACTTGGTAGCTAAGCTTAGCTAAAAGGGAGATCGATGGAACTTTGATTCCATCTATCTCCCTTCGGGTCTCCACTCGCAGCAACCTCCACGTGGTGAGACCTGGTAATCGGTGTTACCCACGATAGAAAAGTTCTTCTTCGTGGGTACACCGAGCTAATGGCTGCGAATTTAAAATAGTTTCTTTGAATATTGGATAAAATTATGGTATTTTATACGTGCTAGCGAATTCTCACGAATCGATGCATCGTTTTATAGTTTCTTTTGCGTGTCTGTGTCGTATTATGAATCGGTGTAGGTAAGTTGCAAGTTTAATGAGCCCAATATTGACGAAGGGTTGGAAACCCGACGGATTTCGGTCAAGTTGAACTTGACAAGTTTCCAATATCGACGGTATTGGGCGTCGAAAGGATATCACTTTTCCATATATGTGTAATTTATTAATCGAGCAGTCGGTCACTTGTGCATGCGTCGACGTAAAACATTTTTTTTTTTCTTTGTTGCGCTCGTAAATAGGCAGTGCAACCTGGAACGAAATTATTGGGAATTCTCGTATCAGATATTACGTTATTGACTTTATCCCGCGGAGTAAGCATTTGTTCCATTTAAAAAAATAGTAACGTAAAACCTGTCTGCTCGATATAGAATTTATATGTAACAAAAATGAGCATTCTGTTGCGTTTAGTGTCGAAATAGTAGGAACATGGTACTACAAGTAAGTAGATTATGGTCGGTGCGCCGTGAAATTTGAAAGAAATTTTCTAAAAGGCTGACTATAACGTTGGCTGCATAGTAATTATTTTGTACATTATCTTTCTAAACTAGTTTATACAAGGTATTTAAGAACAGGTGTCGAAAATTTAAAAAGATAATCGACCAGGCTATATCCTCCACGAAGCCAAGAAACCACGCCATACTTTTATAAAATAAACATTTAAAATTCCCCACGTACAAGTTCGTGAACCCCCATAACCCCATTTACGGATTTCAGGTTATTAACCACTGTTACAGAGGTTTGACGAGAGTACGCGTGCGTTCTTTTCGGAGTCTGTGTAACAGTGTTGAGAGCCGCTGCGTTCGACTGCATAACAATTTCATTTAAGTATTCTTTCGATTCGTTTACTCGTTACGTCTCGAAGAAGGAAAGGACGAACGCGGGCCGGTACGGAAGGAGCGCCAGCGCGCGTCCAGTTAAGGGTGGTTTTCGTGGGAAGGATCGCGTAGGCGAAGGCGAGAGAGAAGGAGGGCGGCGATTGGTCGAGCCAGAGGATGCGTGGTCCGCTCAACCCGGGCACCTCCAGTCTGCCGCCGACCGTCGTAGGTGTGCGGTCTGTCTCTCCCACACTTGGTCCCGGCTACGCGCGTCCACAGTCACCTCGCCGACCCATGACAAAGGAACGCCGTCGCGCGTACTCGCCGCGCCATGCACAGACACGACGTAACGCGTCTCCATCGTGAGCTGTGATACAGCGTGGATGTTAAAGATCATAATTAATCGACGACGTGTAATGGTGTCTGCTTGACTCCCGTGTCCCGATCCTCCGGCGGAGGAACGTGCCTTTCCATCGACCACATCGACGCCGATTCGAAAACGACCCAGGGTCATCCACCCTGCGCCCGAGCAGTTTCGCGAACTCGCGTTGTCCTCCGAACGCGATCTGTGTTTTCCTGCTCCTCTCGGCCCACCACGCCGTCGTCCTCTCCACGGTCTTATCGAATTTTCACCGTACGGACCCGAGGCCTGCCGCTTTCCACGGACAAACGTAAGCGATTCTCCAGCGACGTTTCGACCCTCGGCGATATTACGCTACCGAGAACTATTCGATGATCGTTCCCTCGCGCTCGATAAAAAAGCTTACTGTCAGGGCACCGTTCCCCAAACACGCGTCGCGGTGACCAACATTTTATTCCGTACGATAGACGAAATCTCCGATACGATTTATTCGTCTTTATCGGACAGTGACATTTATTCTCGTTGTAATTTTTATCGAATCGTTGCCTACCAGAAAAATCATAATTAATAAACAAATTTCCTATCGATACTATAAAAATGTATTATTAAAGATTTGGAATATTAATTCGCGGTGCTCGTTCACGTCGAAACGCTGTTTTAATTGTTTCTACAAATTATTCAGACAGGCTTTTACTCGTTCAACGTGAAACTTATTTCTGTTGTACAATTTATATTGACCAACCCGATATATCGCTACGTGAAAAGTGCACTCGCGTCTATGAAACATTCAGAAGCGTTTGGCTCAGTGTCTCTTTGATTCCGAATGATTCGCGTTCACCGAACTGTTCCTGACCTGACTTTCGTTCGTTGCATGTTCAGTTTCGTTAGTGCACGCAGATTCGTTGTGGTAGGGCAGACTGACAGGCCACAGCAGAGGTAAATACGTCGCGTTTCTTTCGTCTCTGATGTTTTGTTTTGACCCCGTCTAGAAACACGAGCTCCTTTGACCGTTTTGTGCAGCGATATCTGTTGTGCGGCTGCTTTTTTTTTTTCTTTCTTTTTATCGTGGCAAGTCGAGCGTTACCGGACCCGAATATTCGTCTTTGTTGATTGTCTCGATGTTCGATGGAAACAACTCTTTCGCGATTGTGTTTATAACAGAAATTCGATGATTTTTGGAAAGCAGAAAAATGCGTTAATTTTCTACGAAATTTTGTTAAACATTTCTCGATTTCTATCGTTCGATTATTTTTTAAAAACTCGTAGTTTTTCTCTAATTATCTTATAAATGAACGAGGTGAGCAATACCTAGAGAGATATTTATACTGCACAAGATGAACGTTTCATAAACATGTTACGGTATTAAATATATGTCGCCCCTTTTGTTCCCAATGTTTGGTTCGTACTTCAGGCACGAGATCCTCCAATTATTTAAGCATTGTGCCTCTAGCTGTCCTTTGTACTCTACAGATAACATTTATAGCGACGGTTCTTTAGCAGTGATAATATTTTTATGCAAAGAACGGTGTTATATAACTACCACATACTTTGGCTTTGTTCAGACTAGAGTCCATTCGAATATTTAAAAAATATCTCACATTACTTATATATTTTAGTCAGCTTGGTGAATGCTACGACCAACAAGGACACCAAACAATTGACAATTTCCATTTTTTGCTGTTTATGCATTTAATTAAATCTCCCGAAAACTAATGGAAATAGAAAAATAGTTTTAAACATAGGAGAGATAGATTTTTATCGAGTTTCATATTCAACATTCTTCTCTATCGCTATTGGCTTTCGAGAAATTTAATTAAATTGGTATTTCATCCACAACTTTGAGGATAGTTTCCAATCCTGGAACAGGGTTATCAACGATCCAGTTTTTGTACTAAATTTAATAACTTTATAACAATTTCGTCTACCAGTGCAGAATATATTTTAATAAAAAGAAAATTTGGCAAGCGTTCCCGGCTCTAACAAAATCATACCGAATGCTTTGATTTTGATAGCGTACGTGCAGGTTCAATCTTAAGCGTTACATAATGTTATTTTATCGTACGTCCCTCCATATTGAATTAGTTTTCTGTATCGTCGCTGTCATGAGATTCTGTTAGGGTTGCTCCTGCTCGTGACGAGCTATCGATCGACTTCTGGATATCGTACAGCATTTCGAAAGTCTTGTGGTACAGCAAAGAATTCTCGGATGAACATAATTTGTAGAACAGCTATTACAATCGTTTTTGGTCGATGAAGCAAATTTTAAAAATATACGAAAATACTTCACGTTTAATATACTAATATTTTTATTGTCACTGGGAAAAATTTTAATGGGGGATTCTAGAGGCCAAAATAATACGAAAATCAAGAATACGAATTTGTTGATGGAGGCTTCGTTAAAAAGTTATTAACGTTTCAAGTTCCACCCTTACTGAATTTTTTTCTAGAAAGTGGATAGGATTTCGGGGGTAGGTCTATTCACCAAAAATGCTTGTAATTGACCCCCGCAATCGAAAATAATTTTTCCAGAACGATTTGAAATTTTTTTTCCCGTCGAAAAATTTCACACCTTCTCGAATTTTTTTCTCGAAAGTGGATAGGATTTCGGGGGTATGTCTATTCGCCAAAAATTATTGTAATTGACCCCTGCAACCGAAAATAATTTTTCTAAAACGATTTGAAAAATTTATTTTTGTCGAAAAACTTCGGCACCTTCTCGAATTTTTTTCTAGAAAGTGGGTAGGATTTCGAGGGTATTGGTAATGACCAAAAATGATTGTAATTGACCCCTGCAACCGAGAATAATTTTTTTAGAACGATTTGAAAAATTTTGTTTTGTCGAAAAATTTCTGCACCTTCTCGAATTTTTTTCTCGAAAGTGGATAGGATTTCGGGGGTATGTCTATTCACCAAAAATAATTGCAATTGACCCCCCAAACCGAAAATAATTTTTCCAGAACGATTTGAAATTTTTTAATTTTGTCGAAAAATTTCACCCATTCTCGAATTTTTTTCTCGAAAGTGGACAGGATTTCGGAGGTATGTGTATTCACCAAAAATGATTGTAATTGACCGTCGTAACCAAAAATAATTTTTCCAGAACGATTTGAAACTTTTGAATTTAATTGTTAATAACTTTTTAACGAAGCCTCCATCAACAAATTGGTACTCTTGATTTTCGTCTTATTTTGGCCTCTAGAGTCCCCCATTAAAATTTCTCTCAAGGGTGGCTGAACACCCTGTACACGTATATTGACACGTTCCTTTCTTAAAGAATCTTTTTAATAAATCAGTCCATTTCTCGTTAACGTTGTCACGTAATTATTTTCTTTGGTTAAAACATCGAAAATGTATACGGGTTCCACTATGAAGACGACTTGCAAAGAATAATAATTCGATCGAAGATTTAACGCGGGTGTATCTGACTCTTGTACGTATGGTATTTGGTTTACTTCATGGTCTATTTTTGATAGCACTAGAACGATCTTAAACTTTACTTCGGGCAATGAGCCTGCGCTCTGCCTTCCAATAAAAATACATTGCTTCGGTTCATCGAACAATAATCATCGAACAACACATATCGCTGTGTTAAATTTTCTCAAATCCCCTCCATTGCAACAATAATTTAACGCTTCTGTTTCTATCGAAAAAAATGTGAAAAAGCAAAGGTAATAACATTGTTGCTTCGTTCAAACAATAATTGTTATTCGTTGGTATTTTAAGGGACTCGTTATCTTTACTCCTTCGCTTCTCCCGTACTTTCTTATTTATTTATTTCCGTCGATACTCAAACAGAGCTCGAGTTGCGATCGATACTATCGAATTCCCTCAAAACTTAACCTCAAATATTTACGGATACCGCTACGGTCGAATTCCTTCGAAATTACAAATATTTGCGGAAACCGGTAGCCCCGAATCTTTGCTTACGCCGCCATATTATTTTTGACGAGATTCTCGCGTTCCATCAATTTTCTGCAGTTCAATTTAGCGAGACTTATACAGGACGAAACATGTATGTAATTTGATCGCCATGATTATTTTCCGCGTTGGTAGATCGGTTCAAAAATTTATCGTCCCTATTTTTCTTTTCAAGTATTCAAGGTATTTCTTTATTAAATATTCCGTGCATTCGAAGTATTTACGATCATCGATACGTTCGCCATATTGTTTTGCGCTTGTTCGGGGAAAAGGATACCAGCGAGACATTCTTTCGACAGGATACCTAATTATTTTTGAGTTTTTTTCTCTTCATTGTTGTTACGAAACGTAAATGCTTGTTTTCTCTTCTTTTTTTTTTAACGACCACGAGTTCGTACTCTTTATTTTAATTAATTCATTTTCACAGCAAGGAGTGCATACGTGTTAGAAGCACTCTCGTAACGAACAGAGCCGCACAAAAGTAGGTAACGAGAACCGCAATTAGCGATTTACGTAACTTATATTTATTATAAACTCCACAAGAAACCGCAAAGATTGAAATTCAGCGGGAAAGAATTACTTGGATGTTCTCTGTCCTATTCTTATCAATTATCTTTTTTCTTATATTTCGCGTACAGGTTGCATACAACTTTTTAATCCGTCTTCTCAGTGAAGAACTTATTCTTAATTAGTGACAATGTACAAATTTCGTGTATCCTTTGAGACTTCTGCCTAGACTTAGAAAGGAACCTCAAAACTTGACCTCCTTGGATCTGTGTCAAATTTTGCATACAAAGCTATTTTTGTGTGCAGATACCAAGTGTAACAATCTTGTCGTACCAAATTCATAGGGTGCCCCAAAAAAAATAAGAATGTACACTTTTTTTATAATCTAATCATTTTCAATCTAAACGTTTGTTTTGAATTTTTTAAAGCATAACATTTTAACATTTTTTCGTCCCGTACGAATACCGTGGAGCATCGCGCCGTTCACAAAACCGAATTGCTGACTCTCGTGATTCGATTCCGTGAAACAAGGACACGGTGACATCGTTATTATTATTATTACGACTTACGTAAATGAAATCCATCGCGGTTTCTTTAAAGACCCACGCGTAGCCGGGAAAAGTCGATAAAGGAGGCGAATTTAAGCACACCGACGAAATTTATTCCGGAAATTCGCGCATGCACTGCTTTTGCCAACTTCCCACGGAAACCTCGAATAACTGCACGTGCTATAGACGCACGCGGTAACGAGGGCTATGTAGCCCAAAGATTATACAGAGAGATCCAAGTAACTGGGCCAGGTTATAAGTTCTATCCTAAGCGAAGACATTGCAATAATAATGTCTAATAATCAACCTTGGAAAAAATTTTAATGGGGTATTCTAGAGGCCAAAATAAAACGAAAATCAAGAATACCAATTTGTTGATGGCGGCCTCGTTAAAAAGTTGTTAACGTTTCAAGTTCCACCCTTACTGAATTTTTTTCTAAAAAGTGGATAGGATTTCGGGGGTAGGTCTATTCACCAAAAATGATTGTAATTGACCCCTGCAATCGAAAATAATTTTTCCAAAACGATTTGAAATTTTTTTTCCCCGTCGAAAAATTTCACTTTCTCGAATTTTTTTCTCGAAAGTGGGTGGGATTTCGAGGATATGTCTAATGACTAAAAATTATTATAATCAATCCCCGTAATCGAAAATAATTTTTCCAGAACGATTTGAAATTTTTTAATTTGGTCGACTTTCATCTATTTTCGAATTTTTTTCTCGAAAGTGGGTAGGATTTCGAGGGTATATCTAATAACCTAAAATGATTATAATTGACCTTCGCAACTAGAAATAATTTTTTTAGTATGATTTGAAATTTTTTAATTTCGTCTAAAAATTCCATACTTTCTCGAATTTTTTTCTCGAAAGTGGGTAGAATTTCGAGGGTAGGTCTAATGACCAAAAATGATTATAATTGACCACTGCAACCAAAAATAATTTTTCCAGAACGATTTGAGTTTTATGAATTAAATTGTTAATAACTTTTTAAGGGAGCCTCTATCAACAAATTGGTATTCTTGATTTTCGTCTTATTTTGGCCTCTGGAATCCCCTATTAAAATTTGTCCCTGTAGTTAAACATTATTAAATGTACGAAAGTATTCGAATATTTTGGGACCCAACTATTTGGCTACTTGTGGTACAAATTCGAGCAGTGGCGTAGACTGTGAGGAAGTTCCTCGAGTTCATCGTCTCGCCATAAACTTTATTGCACCGGTGGCAGCTGTTGTGCACCCTTTCTCGACTCCGGTCCCTTGTGCAACCAACGTTTCGAGTTGACGCGAACGCATAGACAAAGAAATATTTTCAGGTGCCAACGCATCCAGACCTCGTTTTGTTTTATTGACGCGGAATGCAAAATTATCGCTGTCACGCATACGTGACGTTGGTCTACCACCAGAATGGGGACGTCATAAATACAGTCCCGTACAAAAGTCGCGGACCATTGCACCATTGGCCACGCAGAGTCGATCGACTATGTTTTCAGTACGTTTCCATCGAAATTACGCGGGATAAAAAGTACACAAAATTTTATAGTCGCATTGAAATTTGTCTCCGAGATATTTCGAGGGGGTGTGGCCTCGAACAGTTATCGTTTACGAAAGGAAGTCGGCGATGCTTGACGGGGGACGTGTACGTGTTTATTATTTTTTTCCTTTACATGGCACCCGGTTCGACATTGTATTTATTTCAATAGGCGTCAACCGAGTGACCTGAATATGCAACGGACGATCGTCGCGTAAATTTTCTCGTAAAAATTATTCCTATCCGCGTCTGCGTCGTAATTTCTATCTTTCCGGGTAGCAAAAGACACGAGAGTCGATTTACTTCGAGGAAACGCCTTGTGTACAAGGTCGCCTATCCAATTACTTCGTTATTTCCCGATTACTTTAATTGCGCCGAAAATACAAAAAATTCTAGACATCGGATGTCGTCCAGTGCCAATCGCGGCGGTTTTAAATGGGTCAAGCGTACCCTTCCGTTCGACGTGGAAATAAAATAAGTCGAGATAGAGGATTACTTATAAAGAATTCAACGCCGATCCGTGTTGCCTGTTTTATAATTGAACGCGTTTGATCCATTTTCGTGGGTTCTCGAAGACTGGTAGCTTTATCACGTTCGCTGTCCAATAGCGTAGTGCTATGACCCATATGCGGTTCACAGGCAGCGAACGTGTTAAGAATTTTAGATCGAATAAACATGACCAAACACGTGTGCACAGTTTCAATGTTGTTCATCTATAATTATAACAAATATTTAGTATCAAAGATCATTGTGAGAACGATGGCTCCTAATGGGAATACCCTCTTAAAGAAAATATAGTAAGGAAGGGGTCGCTGGTGGTAGTCCAGTCAGTAATGGCGGCATTTATCTTACAAAGTAGTATGGGATCGTGGCCGGACAGACCGCGCGCGGTCTGCAACACGTGTCTCGGTGAAATTCGATTCGTCGAACGTCGGATCTTTCGTGGTCTGTGCACAGCGTGGACGTGGGGGGCGGGCGGTGGAGGTTTGTTGCAGACCTCGCTGAAATACCGGCTGGCAAATATTTGATTGGACGTCCGGTTCGCGTCCGTTCCAAGCGCGCCTGTGTGCACAAAGCCAGACTGGCACGGTTTTAAATCAGTCATTTTACAACGGCTCGCGGCGTTTCACTTATCACCGGGTCCGCGGATGTTTACGCGAGCCCGTCCCGGCCAAATATGCAAAATATATGCGCGACATGCGCGGCGCGGGCCACGTTTATTCGTGGCTGCGTGTCGTTTGAAATTGTTTCGTCGACTCGCCCGCAATTTAAATCTAGTTCGTAAAATATTCGTATATCGTAATGATTAGATGTTTCATCGAAGTCGAGGATGAAACGTCCATGAAAGCAACGTTTATGCTTCTCACTTTGAATTTTGCTTTATGTCTTGCCACCAGAGGGCTACGCTCTTGTCTCTCTCGCAAGCGGTCGATCGACCACCCGATATCCCGGCGTTCAAGTCAAACGATTCCGTTGTTTTATTTACAGCCGCTTTGGCAACCGATCGCCAGCGTCTCTTTTTGGCGGACGAAACAGTGGGAGACGGGAGGACGGCCAAGGGACGGGCGAGAGGACGAATGAAAATAGCGAGGATGAAAGTAACGGGAAGGGATGAATTAGCCGTGGTGTGACCGTGATAGTCATCGAGAAGGGGGCACCAGGAGCGGGTCAGCGGTCGTCGTTAGGGACTTTGCGCGAGAAGGAACCCCAGGGGCTGACCAGGAATGGCTACGCCGCCGGACTCGCCCGGACCGGAAGAGGCACTTTTCGATTTCGAGAGCACGAGAACCAGGCAACAAACCGCCAGGCCGGTGGCTCTCGAAGAACTCCTCCGGCAAACCAAGTTCTCCAGGCAGGAAATCCGAGTTATGTACCGAGGTTTCAAGCAGGTAAGGCGATCCTGAATAATGTACAGTTGGTAGCTGAATAGAAATGGTCTCGAGGGATTATGCCACGGGGCAAGGAGATTGCTTCCGTAGACTGCGTTTTCTTACACGAGAAACCCCCGACCTCCGCGTTAAATCGGGCGGGGAATGTGAACGTTCTGACCAAATAAAACTGCAATTCCTTTCAGGACCATTTTTATCCGCCCCCGACGCTAGCCCGTGGTACAGTCGGTTCTAAAGAAAAAAAAGCGTTTCGCCGATATTTTTCATGTATATTTTAAGGGCGAATCTGTATATTCCACGAAGATTCGTTAGCAAGTATTAACGAACCGAGAACCTTGAAGTCTTGCACGGTACGACGAACGAATAATGAGATTTGCCTGGTTGCGCCTTCGAACCCCGAGGTTCTGTATCGCGAACGACAATTAACGTAATAATATAATAACAGGATAGACGAAACCGAGAGGCAAAATGATTTTGTTCGTACCCTGCAGCGTTATGAAATCATTTTTGAAGCGGAGTCCGTAATAACAATTCTATTCCCTACGCGAGTCAGCTGTTTGCATTCTACCCGGTTGCTCGTCGTCTCATCAATTCTCCCCGCTATAATTCTGTTTGCATGAATATTCACGAGGAAAAGGCGAAAACGTTACGAGAGGGACCTTATTTTAAAGGGTAGAACGGGGTCTCCGTTATGCATCCGATCTTCAACGCTCCACTCGAAACGCTCCCTGGCGGATAAAAGTGCCTTTTCGCGCTAATTATAACCACGTTAATCCTAAATACCAATTAAAGATAAAATACCGGCGATTTTAATAATTTCCAAACACAGGCACTCGTTACACGAGTAAAAAAAGAATATTTATACGACGTAACGGGGACAATGGAAATGTAATTACTCGCATGTTTGTAAGTCCGCCATTGCAAGACGGAAGATAATTATTTCGACGGTATGTAGCGTACTGTAATTACGCGGGACACCGTGTGTAACGTTGCAGCAGGCAGTACACCGTGTACATTCGTTACGACAAAACAAACTACGCTCTGAACAACCTTTCTCTATAATTCATTTGCACTTCTGCACTTTCAATACCGCGAGGCAAGAACCAACTCGGCGCCTTCCGAAAGTGGAACTTCGGTACGCGCGCGTTTAACACCAGCCTTATCGCCCTCGCTCTGCCGATCTGATATTCATGTTTACGTTAATATATATATATTACACCGAGGTATAATCGAAGGCCTCGCTTAAGCATAATCCAGACCTAATCCACGCTAATCTGTAGTTAAACTAAATGTAATTCAAACTTAATCCAGACGCAATTTAGACCCACCCCTTGGAGCTAGCCACGACCTGAGCCAAACCTAATACTGATTTGACCTAGATCTATCGTAGACGTAACCGAAACATAATCCAGACTTACCCTGCCCCATAGCCCCATACCTATGCAACACCGCTGCAACCGCTACGGTGCTGCAATTTGCGAACCACCCGAGATACGAAAACGGTCCTACGGTCTTCGATTTATCTTCTCCAACCCACCAAGATACTCGCGTTAGGCTTCAACCTCACGGATATGACTCTAAAATCGTTGAACGCCAGTTGTATTGTGACCTGCCGTACACCTCCGACATTTAACGTTCATACGCCCTAACAGCGTATGCAACCTTGAGGCAATCTTGGATCCAGAAGCACCAACCACCACCGCCCTCGAAACGCTACGTAAATATTTTACGAGCGAGACTGGCGTGGCGGGTTGGTATCGGCGACGATAGGCGTTGTGCAGCCTCGTCTGTCGCGAAAATGGCGCCACGCGGTACACGAATATTCGCGATCCTCGATAGGAACGGGCTCCGATCGTGCAAGCTGAAACGGAACAACCGATAACGCGACGTTCGGAGACTTATGGCCTGGCAAGGAGAACTGTCATGGCGTCGCACCATCTTCGCGAAACTACGCCTTAAAGAAATCGAATCCGCGCGATTCGCGCCAAGGAATGTCAACGTTTCTCATCCAAGGTTGCAACAAACTGCAAAATAAATACGCCCCGCCGGACAACCTCGACTATTTCCGACAGTTGGTAGTTTATTTCCAGCGAGTTTTATTAATTTCTCGGTTAGAAGCGGAAGGTATTTTTGGCCACCTTTCAAGAGCCGCGCTCCCCGGGTCCTACCGTTGGCAAACAGATTTTAGACGTTCGTAATTAAGTTCGCCCCGTCATGCGACAATTACGAAGAAAAGATGCCTTCAATTAAATTAATCTGGCCAGGAGCGCCCGTGCAACTTGTTCGTTCGTGTTTCCTTCGACGGGGGGCGGTGCGTCGACGAGAATTTTTCTATTTTTCGCGGAGAACGTCTCCGCCGGTATCCTCCGATCCGGCGGCGAATTAATTGGAGCACCTTCGCGGGATGGATCTCGCTCGCGATACGCGTTATATCGTCTCGCCGCAGGAAATTTACCGGTACCGGTGTCCCGCAAATAATTCCGGCGCGATCTGGGTCGAAAGTCGCAATGTTTCGACGCTTTAATAGAGACTCCCGATTTAATTAACGGCGGACAGCAAATAGAAGTCGCTGACGGTCCAAATGGCCGAGCCTCTCGATGGTTATCGATAAAGATAGCCCGGCGCGCGCGAGACAATGGAAACGATGGCCTGTCGCCCGATGCAGTCGATATCAGTCGACAATCGCGGTCCCCTCGCGCGTGGCGTCGTTCACCGTGTAAAAAAGTATTTCCAAAAGTAAATTCCGGCCAGGACCATCGAACTTACGCGAGCGCGATAAACGCGAAAGCTCTTTCGGCCCGTCGCTGCGACGCGGATCTTGCACTGTTTTTTCACAGCCGGACGCGGAGACGCACGCATACGCGCGCACACGTACACACACGTTTAGATATTGATCCGGCTTTTATGCTCCTGCCAGCCTAAATGTGTGTCACGCCGATTACTGTTTTGTAAAACGTCGCCGCAAACAGTGGTGTCAAGTCCTCGCGGACGAATGGCTCCGGTTTCGACCATTGATTTTCTGGAGGGCACTGAAAACAGAAATAAATTCAGTGACTCGCCGGTTGGACGGTGTTCGGAATGGTTTTACACACGAATGAACGGATGAATGGTGGGTTCGTTCGAATGAATTTTTACGCGAATTTCCGGGAGGATAGACCCGGGTATTACATTACGATTCTCTTTTTTTCGTACACGCAGGGAACAGTTTGCACAAACCACGCAATAGTAAAATAGACAAGGTTTATATCGATGATATTCCAACTTCGATTATCTTACTGTCCGCCATATTGGACGCTTTGAATCGTAAAATAACATTCGCGAAGATTTGTCCGGGTGACTTGCGTTCACGTAGATACGATGCGAAGCTTGGGCGGACACAAAGATGGCGAATGATGGAGGACAGAGGACAGACCCCGAACGTGGTCGTGCAACAAGTCCAAACGCGCCTCGTACCAAGTACTAATTCGTTTTTTATTCGCGTCCATTCGTCGATCCCGCTATATATAGTCGCGAAAGGAATCGAAAGGTTAAATTTCCTGCCTTTCGTCGCTGGAATTCGCGGACGGGCACTTATCGCGGGCAACTAAAAGCAGCTTGAAACGGTCGCGCGCGCTAGCAACGATGAAAAAGAGTCCGGGACTCTTTAAGAACTTCTTAGGTGTTTTAATTGCGCTATTTCGTAGTTGTACACGCGCCACTCGAGCCGAGTCTGGCAATTGTGTCAAGAGCGTGCGTTTACACGGGCGAAACGTTCGCGCTAAGTGGTCCGCGAGATGGGTCACGTTTAACGAAAATTAGAAAAGAAAGCGGTCCCTGATACCTCGCCGTTTAAGACACTTACGACATCTCAACATCCGGTTCCTGGATTTAGTCAAACGAATTCTAGATCATAGATCAGACTGATACTAGCAGTTAGTGTATATTCAAGTTAAATTATGATCCTAATTTAACTTTCACATCACTCATATTTAGATCAACACATGTACAAGTAGGTGCAGAAAATCGGCGAAATTAAAAAATTTCAAATCGTTCTAAAAAAATTATTATCAGTTACAAGGGTCAATTGCAATCATTTTTGGTGAATAGACATACCCCCGAAATCCTGCTCACTTTCGAGAAAAAAAATTCTTTACGAAAAGTATAAATGTGTGACCTGAAATTTTATCCATGCGTATGTTTAAAAAAATCGTAACTCGTATTTAGATGAAGACTATGTAGAAATTTTAAGAATGTCGGAGAGGTCATTCCTTAATCTCGTAATAAAATGGTAATGGGGAAAAATGGGTGAAAAAAATACATTGTACGTAGGATTTACTCGTACATCGCGTCTGTGGTTTGACGGGAACGATGTTTTATCGACGTTTTAAAATACGAAATAAAAGGTGTAAAAGTCGACTCGGTTACTGGTATGGTCTCTTGCGTAATTATGGACAGTATAAGACACTTTATCGATTAATATAAAATAGAGCAAAAGAATGTTTGTGAAAACATGTGCGAATGCCCATCGGATCGAACGAATTTCTATTTATCCACATTTGAATAACAGTTATCGTTCGCTTACGTTTTTCTGAAGGTTGTTCGAGTGTCCAATACCCTCAATTCCTTTGATATCTTCTCGTGGCTGTCGAGGAACCTCTTTGTCTTTATTGGTTCCCCTGTTCCCTTTGATCCGACCTAGCTTCTCAGGTAACGTTCAGCTTCTGGACAGAAGTTTTTCAATGAAGGCGTAAAGGTTAGACGAGCGTTAGTACGTCCTATTGAACTCGATTCTATTTAAGGGTGTAGCACCGAGAACGTTGCTATCTAGTGGAAATCGAAGAATGTCAGCTGGAGGCCACGACGAGGCCAGGACCTTGACGTTTAGGAGGATCGGGAGGATACCTGGCCTATGTTAGGGTCGTCAGTTTGCAGATAGCTATCCGGGAAGATCGATTCGATAAATAAGTTCACGAACTCCTCCCTATCGTACCCTGGAACCCCCGATAATTTTAACGAACCTTCGAACTTTCACGCACGTGGCTGGCGAATCGTTATGGACGACGTGTATAGCGCGTTTGGCGTCCACCGTTTTCTGGATAATCGCTCTTTACGAGTCACGTTTCGTTTGCTCACGTGCACGATGGCCTTTCGAAATTCTAAAGAGCTGCAAGAATACGCTTTCGAGGCTTTCAGAACGTTAAATGCTAATTAAAAACTTCCAAGCACGTAATGTTTTTTAATATAGTCGAGACATTCGAGGCTTTTAGGATCTTTTAATGCCCTTCCAAAGCCACATTTGTGAATTTCTTCGAAAAACTTTTAATAGTTTTAACGTTTACGAGCGTTTACAAGACTTTCTCGTTTGTCGAGAAAAATTGAAAGAAAGCGATTTCGCCCTGCGCGAAACGGACGCGCCATTGAATCGAGCGCGGACGGGGCTGTAAAGCTGAGATTATCGAACGGAAATTACACAGGAAAATCAGTCGGCATTGCCGGCGATTAATGGATAAATAAACGAATGCCCCGCGTGTTTGAACTTCGCAAACATGCCGCGTAATTAGCGAAGTTTAGTTACATCAAAGAGCACGTACAGGGTGTTCAAATTCTCTCCATCATCGTCGAGAGAGCCGGGCGTTGAATTACAAGTGGCGAAACACAATGCAAACGCGCGGAACGGAACAACAGATATAAAGGGTGGTGGTTGAATGGCCAGGACGGACGGAGAAACACGAGTAAAACTATTTCGCAAAATGGCGAAACGAGCTGGATCGAGGGGTGATAGGCGGATCCCAGAAACGACCAATTCTTCAGTCGAGTGCCACTCTGCTCGCAGTTCTCGTCGTTAACCTCCTCCTGGTTCGTTTCTGAACTTTAATGGTCGTTTTTAATCGCGATATTTATACATTGAACATTTTATAAATAGTCAAATATTAGCTCGATCACGATGTATCGAAGCAATCTGGTTCCAAGTTGTATTTTACAAGTGTAAAAAATGGAAAATATTTGGACGATCAAAGGACACCGTCGAAACAAAGAGGAAATTAAGCTTTGCTCGTCGCGAGAGATAGAACCAGATTTAATCTGTCTGTCTGCAGATACGATGAATTTTTCCGAGACCGTGGAAAACCTGACGGGCTCTCTTTTTTCTTCGTCTACATTCGTATTAATAATGGAAAAAGTCTTACGTCTGGCCTACTTTTCCCGCAATTTACCGTGCTCACGGCTTTCGCATAAGTTTCTTCAAGTAGCTGCACCCTAGTTCCGCTGTTCTTTTGTTGCCAAGCTTTTCATTAGTCACTCTCCGTTACAATGGTCATTTTCGTTTCGCATTCTCGAGCCTGATTTTTATGAAAATATTACGAGTACGGAACGACGCCAAAGACCGCGGAGAAGTACGATCTCGCTCGATGGCGCGCGTCGAGTATCGAACTCTCTCTCTTGCTCAAGCTCAAAATGGCGGGCGTTGTTTGTAGCTTTTACTCGTGCGAAAGGGTAATCGTGCGCGGGACAATTTGGTTTCCAGGGAGCTATTGATAATTTCTCACGTCGCTTTCGATCTCGAATGGCTACGTACGCGAGCTGTTCAGTCGATCAAGCATTCCCTTGGTCCTCTCTTTCCACTGTTCTTCCTTGTTCCTAGAGACAAAGGGAGCCAGTAACATTTTATCGCGCCGTGCCAATGGTTTCCTTACCTGAGCACCGCCTCGTGAATAGACAATTTCGATTGGCTGGAGAAATTGCACATTCGAGCGTCGAAGTCGACAATGAACGTCACGGAGTTGAGCGCAGCATCGAACATCTCGCCCACTGAAATCATATCGTTTATCATTTTCCGGCCCGCCTCGTGCATTCGTATCAACAACATCGATCCGTGCACACCGGGTGTCGCGACTTCGTTCGAGCACCGGATAATGTTGATGACACCGGGAAAATGTTTCTATCGTCGAAACAACAATATCCAAACAGCGGGTAGCCGAGCGCCGAAAGTTTGCACGTGGCATTAAATTATTTGGATGTTCCTCGACCCAATTCGCCCCTCACCCTCTTCGCCAAAATCGTTATTAGACACGTCGAGGCTCAACATTTTAAACTTGACGCAGCCAGACCTTAATACTTCGGCGAGAGCCGCGCCTCCGTCAGCTTTAATTCCGCAGCCACTCACGTTAAGTATCTCTAAGCTGTCAGTTCGCAGTAAATCTGAAACAAATATAGGCGTCTTCGAAAAAAATTTTCAGGTCAAATGCTGAACAACCAGAAAATAATAAAAAAATTCACCAACGATTATTGCTTTTATTATTTTTTCTTATTATAAAATTTAATTAACATCCTCGAAGTGCTTTGGGGGTTCGTATCGTGCGCTCGTGCGCAAACACAATGATTAATTCAGTCCTCCCTCGTTACAGAGAACTGAACAAAGACTCGTGATTCTCAATAGCACTTTGACCGAATGGCGGCTCATTTGCTGCCTGGTCCTCGGTTCATCTTTTTATTATGCAGTGTAACGAATTTTTGAAAAATTTCTTATCCGTTCAGTGGGGTATAAAATTATAAATGACACTTTTTCGTACGAGTTATTGCAACAGTTCGCAACGTGCACGCGTGTGGTCGCAATGTACGCCACGAAATAAATTGCATTCGTCTGAGGTGGCCTTGACCAATCGAAACCTGACCCGGCTATGGATTGTTTTACAGGGGAGCAAAGCCTCCGACATACCGAGAAAGTAAATATTGACTGACGGAGGGGGCCAATGTCAGCGAACCGATGCCTCGTATACTCACAAGCGCACACGTGAATCGTCCCGGAATCCAGCAAAGGATTCAACCTCAAATTCAGGTGCTTCAGTATCGACCCTTCGGTCTTCAGCAATCCGTATATCACGCCAGCCACTCCATCCGGGCCAATATCGTTGTTCACCAAATGCAAAACCTTAAGGCCCTTGTGCATGGAGAGGAACTCCCCCACCGCGTGGGCGCCTTTGTCCGCCAACTTGCAGTGAGAAAAATCGATCTCCTCTATCTGGCTTTAAAAACAATCGTTGCCAATCCATGGACGGAGGAAAGATATACCAAAAGTTAATAGTTCATCGAGCTCTAAAATTTATAGGATACTTGTCCATTTTCGTGTCACACTATTTATATTACTCTAGGCAATAACGAAAGTTATATACAGTGTATATACAAACTTCTATATGATTACTAGACTAGGACATCTTAACTCTCAACAAACTACAGAATGCACTCAATATAAAAAAATATAAGAAATACTTTAAGATACGAATTATTGTACATAGAGGTCGTGACAACCCTCTAAGAAGCTTCCATTTTATTAATAAAAATATGAAAGATTTTACCAACATTATTGTTTGCAACAACTCCTTGAAGCAGTGCGGCAACTCGCGATTGGTTCAGCTTGCTCCGCGATAGAGTAAACTTTCTCAAGTTTGGGCAGGCTTTGATGCCCTCCCCGAGCCCCGTGCAGTCTTCGACGGAGAACCTTTTTCGCGTGAATCAAGCGCCCGGAATAAATGGCCGTTTTTAATGAAAACCATCGTCGCGAAGTGACTCACTCGAAGTCGCGCCACTCGAAGCCGTCGTTCATGTAAATAACACCGAAGATGATGCGGATCTCGACGAGATGAGGTAGCCGGGGGAGAATGCCGGCCATGGGGATGTGGTGAACGACGTCCTCGCCCGCCAGACACGGGTCCTCGTCGTCCAAGGCTTTCACAATTTTTCTGCGAATTTTTACAACGTACAGAAACTGTTTATCGAGAGTATTGGAGAGTTTCTTACTTGGTAGGCACCAGGGAACGGATTCTTATCGCGTGCACGTAATCCCGCACGAGCTCGATCATCTTCTCGCACTCCTCCTTCTGTGTTTCGAAGAAGGTGGGCTCCAGACGCTCCAGACATTCGCATAACAGGCCCTCGCAATACCGTTGTCGCCACGAATTACCGTGCTCCGTTGGGTCGTTGTGCTCCCATCTGAGGCAATTGGAGTATTCGAGAAGACTGAAAGCTCAAAAGATTGCTTATTAATGCAACAACCAATCTTATAGTTTTACCTATCTTTCGAGCAACGTTCCCAATAGTATTCATCCTCGATTCTGGTTATGGTCAACTCGAAGGGCAGGTTGGTCGGCAGAATTTCTATCAGCTCGTTTTTATCTTCGCAAGTTGGCAACTCCTCCAGTATAGGGTTGTCCTTCCACACTGAGGCTATGACGTGGAGAGCTAAAGTTCTCAAGGTTGGGACTCTCCCTAAGTCCCAGGAGACATCCTCCGATCGAATTGTCCTCTCGAGCTCGTTCGATAACTCGGTTGTTTCATAGGAACACCTTATCGACAGATTTAATTGTCATTACGTATCCTTAAGGGGAAACTCTGGATCGCAATACCCTCTTAAATGCGTGCCAGAGTACTGGAGGCATTAAACTGTTATTTCCATAGGCCTTATATATTAATAAAAGTTAATAGTTTAATGGGTAAAACTCGAAGAACAACTATTGAATCTGCTTGGGTTATTGGGTAATAAAGTAAACTTTTATCCTATTAAATGGAAATTATAAATTCTATCAGAGGCGCCGCGTTTTCCCAACGACCACGAGACGTTCGATGAATTTGAACGTAGCAGGGAAAATGGAGGCATTACCTGTAAGTCTCGAAGACGTTCCTTGGCACGGTGTGGGGAATCCTCATTTCTCTGCTGTCCTTTCCGCGTCACCTTCGCAAATATGCAAACACGAGTATCTGTCCTACCTCCTCCCTCCTGCTCTCTTCGAATTTCCTACTGTTTTATATTCTTTCCGAGGCGGCACGCTGCCAAACGCCATTGAGACCGAAAGCCCCTATCTTCAGTGAATTAACATATACCGTTCGTTTTTATCGCCGTACATGAATCTGCATTGAAACAATCACTATTATGCAAAACGAGCGTTGTTCAAGGGACAGAATCTAGGAATTATTTCACCCGTCTCGCTGAATCACAAGTGGTTATTACAATAAATAGCAGAAGAATACTTGTTGGAGCAATTTTGCCTCCATTTTCTAGCTTCGATTAAAATGTTTCGCGTTTGAAATTAGGCAAGAAAGCTGAGGGATCAAAGAAACTGGACTTTACTGTAACAAAGATGTCGTGTTACTGTTTAAACGAACAGTGTGTCCTTAGATCAAAATGACTTCCCTAACGTGTTCTAGAAGTATAGCAACTTCCTCCCGGGACAACTTATGCTTTAGCTGAACCAAACGAATGGCCACGTAGCCAAGATAACGCTCTTCCCGATTGCTTTCAGGAGTGTCCGGAGGGTGTAGTGCACGAGGACTCGTTCAAGGACATCTACGCGAAATTCTTCCCCCATGGCAGTGAGTTCCAATTAAATAAGAGATCCCGTTTTAGCGTAAATAGTTAACGGCGACTCCTCCTACGAATTGCAGACTCCAGCCTCTACGCCCATTACGTGTTCAAGGCCTTCGACGTAAACTGCAACGGCGCCATCAGCTTCAGGGTAATTTATTTATCCGCGTCCGTGTATCGGATCCGCGTGGTTCGCGCCTGTAAACGCCTTAAGGTCCATTTATACAGACCGAGCTCGAGCGGATTTTTCCCAGATCGACCATAAGTCGAACGCCAAACGGTGTCCCAACAGCGATATTCGCCTCTCCGTTTGGTACTTGGGCATCCCAACCGCGTGAAACTTGTATCAACCGATCACCGTGCATGGGAATTCCCTCCTCAATTCGCTATAAAAGAATCTTCCCCAGAGCTAACCCAGATCTATGTAACGACTTGAATTTGACCCTCGGTTTGTACGAATGGACATTTGCACGTTGCGTGAAATATGGCTTTCGCAGGATCTTTTGGTCACTTTATCGACACTGCTGCGAGGCAGCATCTACGAGAAGCTACGATGGACGTTCAAGCTGTACGATATAAACGGCGACGGATGCATCACCAGAGGCGAGCTTGGGGAAGTCGTGACGGCGGTGCACGAGCTCATGGGCAGACGACATCACGCCGAGGAGGACAGAAAAGTCAGGGAACAGTTGGACAGGGTGTTCAAGAAACTCGACCTAAATCAAGACGGCGTAATAACGATTGAGGAATTTATCGAAAGCTGCTTGAAGGTGCGACATCTTATTTTCGTTCAGAGTTCAAGAGTTCCTAGTCACCAGAGTCCTACAGAGTGGAGTTACAAATTGTTTCCCTATTTGGGAGGCTATTTTGGACCGAATTAGAGAATTCCTTGTTCGTACTTTAACGCGAACAATCGCTATCGTTTTCTTCCCTTCCACGCGATATTTCATTTGGTTCCTTGTCGACGCTATCTTTTAGAATAGTCGACCGCAAACTACCACATTTTTCACGCGAATTATTACAGTTAAAGCTGAGTTAAAGTCTAGTAATCTTCCTAGTGTAGGGTACAGTTCATAATCAAACATGGCCGCCGTCATCGACTGTTCCAACATGGCGTCTTAGCCTGTTCGACGGACAAAACTCTCCATTCTCATATTTTTGACCAACAACTTGGCATATTTTAACAGAAATTACTTCATGCCAAGTTTTTACACACTTCCCATGCAAAGAATCACAATTAAAGCTGAGTTAAAGTCAAATTAAAGGCTAGTAATCTCCCTAGTGTAGGGTACAGTTCATAATCAAACATGGCCACCGTCATCGACTGTTCCAACATGGCATCTTAGCCTGTTCGACGAACAAAACTCTCCATTCTTATATTTTTGACCAACAACTTGGCATATTTAGACAGAAATTATTTTATGCCAAGTTTTTACACACTTCCCACGCAAAGAATCACGATTGAAGCTAAGTTAAAGTCAAGTTGGAGTCTAGTAATCTTCCTAGTGTAGGGTACAGGTCATTATCAAACATGGCCGCCGTCATCGACTGTTCCAAGATGGCGTCTTGACCTGTTCGACGGTCAGAACTTTCCGTTGACATATTTTTGACCATCAAATCGGCACCTTTGGGCAGAAATTGCTTTAAATGAGAAAATAATTGCATTTGCCACCTAGACTACTGTTTCAAAATGCGTATATAGCCCTTTATGGACGATGAATATTGAGGCGATGAATCTTTTAGGATGACGTGATCACTCAGTCGCTGGCAATGTTCGACTGCACGCTTTGATCTCCGGCGAAGGAAGAGCCCACGGCAGTGACCACGACGCCGCCAACGCCGCTCTCCATCACGACCACCTTCTCACAGTCCCAGTCGCCTTCGCCACCGCCGCCGTCCTACTCTCTGCTGCCACCGATTCCACCGCCTTTGCCTTCTCAACCACCTCCAGGTTACACTGTTCAGGATCAGGAGTTGTACATGCTTCTAGCGGCGCACTGGTGGAATCAACCGGAGGCACCGCTCTTTTGCTAAGGGTAACGTACTCAACGAGCCCCGTATACGACAGTAAACTGGGATACTCGGACAGTGGCGCTTAACACCACGTGTACACCTGTAAAAGTATCCAAAACGATGTTAAAATTTCTCCACAGGCCGAGACAAACGCGATTCCTGACGAGCACAAAAGCGTCCAGTTTCTGGAAAAGGAAGAGGGAGCCGAGCAACAAGGAAATTCGCCGGAATCTTGTGGGTTCGGTAATACAATTAAATTTGTTCGTCGTGAGCGAACGAGCCGAGGATGTTTCTTCTTGCGGAAGAGGTATTTAACGTCACGTAAGTGAACCAATCCGAGCACGTCCCGATGCAAGGTACTGCGTGAGAGAGAATAACGATTTGTCAATTGCGAGTTAACGGATCGGTGTACGGGATCGTTAAGCGACCGACGTCGGTGAATTAGGAATATTAAAAAGATATCTATCCGATGTAATGGTTGGATTCGAAGAGGACCGCGAAACGAGAGATTCGAGATAGACGGCTTTTGATATCTTCGAGTTCTCGGGGTTCGTTTCGTCGAACGTTGTGGAGGATAATTTGTTATTCCACGGAACGGAAATGTTAAACGGACGATGAGACGTAGCAGAGCATTCGATTTTTGTTGACTTCTGTGCCAAAACCCTCTATAAAAACTATTCTATTTCTTTCGTATGCGATAGTAGGTTGCGAACGATGAGGAATTTCGAAAGATACGATTTTATCCAAGGGATTGATCACGATGATCGAGACACAAGATTACGCAGTGTTCCTGAGTTCGTTGGGCGAAAAGAAGCAATCCAAACTCGCAAATTGCAAAATCGTAGTCTCGCGTACTGTGCCTCGGTTCCTTGCAATCTTCAAAACCGCTGAATTTGTTTTAAAAACAACAAGGTTACGTTATCGTCGATTGTTTTAACAGAATATGTAATCCAGTACGGTTTGAAAAACAAGAAAACAGTCGCTAAAGGCGAGTGCAATATTCGATGGATAGAACTATGGTTTTACAATTTGTGAACCAATGGCGAGTAGACATTGTCGATTTAGATACAGTTTCTGTTCAATGGCCAGAATTCAGAAGTTCAGTCTGAAGGTTCAATCTAAATCAGTTTTTAGACATTTGGTTTGATTTGCTTTCTAAAGCACCAAATAAATTTGAAGAATTTAATGTCTGCAGAATTCAAACTATACAAAGGGTCGGTAGAAAATTAAAATAACAGTTTATTTCGTATTTTGATCACCTCGTTTTCATCGTACATCAACATTTTGGATAGATCTTATACTTCTAGTCGGGGAACCACCGATTTCATTTATTGTTCTAACATGCTTTCCTTGAACGCCTAACCAAACATTCTGTAGGTGTCGAAAAGGGATTTATTTCCAGACAATCGTGCGTTTCGCGAAGTACCATACGAGAAAAAGAAACAGTTCGTTCATCGATATTAAAATGGCGGTATACGAGAACGATGTAGTTCTGCTAATGAAACGACAGTACGGTATTACGTTTGTCAATGAGAAACTCTGTATTCCGGGTACACCCGTTTTCGATAACGTTTGTAGAGATATCGTAGGGGTAAGCGAATCGAGAATCAATTTTTTTAAGAGTCGATTGTTAAAATTCGTAGACACTAAGCGGACACACTGAGTAGATAAGGTTAAATCTCGTCGTGTAGAACGCGAGAGAAGTTTCCGTTATTGCTCACCCATGGTAATGAAACACCAAACTGCAATAATTAACTCGTAATAAACGACCGTAATAAAAGCGAGTAAATAACGAAATTGCACACTGCGGTTCACGTTTAAATTTCGAACGTCGAGTACAGGTAGTTTCTGAGCTTCTAGAGTGACCTTTTGTTTCTCGAGTACCCTTTTGTCGATCATAGCGAGCCACGAGGAACGATTCGTTCGATAAAGAAATTCAATAACAGGCAAAGTAGTAATTTTTAGTGAATTTTTAGCAAATTGGACGTCCTAACCTCTTTTCGACTCAATTGCGTATTATTAATTCTATTATTGTATTTGTGTACTGTTCTCATTGCATTGCAACTAAAAAACTCTCTAGCAAAAACTCTACCATAACCTGTACGTTGAACTCGACTCCTTATTCGTTCGAACGCACGTTAGTTTGTACCGTATTCGAGGTAACGAACGATTCGGAGCTATAGTTACCTGGAAATCGTCAGTCAATGCTTTTCGTTTCTATTCCAATCCTTCGAAATAGCGAATGAAACGAATTAGGGTCGTCAACCTAGGACAAGTTAATCTAGAATAATAAAAAATTTGTTAACTGTTATCGTCTCTTTGTAGCACTGTCACTTGTTAATCGACGATATCCCATGTCACGGTGTTTCTAATAGGGGATCGACGATGCATAGGTTGCTAGGCACGTTCCTATAACAACTGTTAGTTGATAATGACGTTGAATTTTGGGTTATTAGGGGAGAAGGAACATCAGTGAACAGTTTTCGCCTTATCGCACCAAACTTTCGCTAAATCACCATTTAGGTTAACTGTACAAATCCTTAAATTACAAATCGTACTCTGAAACGAATCTCTGGATACGACAGGCGCCTCGGGGCCTTTTTCTTCGATCGTTTGTCCGGTTTTGGATTTAAATCACGTTTTCTAACGACTGATTATAACGTTTTGAATGCGTTCTCGCACTTTTAGGGCATCTACATAAGTATCTCTTCCTCCGTCACATTGTATCGCACACGTTACAGCCGGTGATGGGAATGATACCAGAGCAAATTTTTCATAACCTAATTATCAACCGTTTAAAAACATACGATTTCGTTGACTCGTGCAATTGCACGTATTCGGTATCATTCGCATCACTGGTTGCAGTCTTACTATTAAAAGAAAGATTGAAAGTATGTTACAATCAAGAATCCTTTACCCGTTGTTCCTAAAACGAATGAAAGCGTAAATGTAAGTGCGAGCACACTGCGAACGAACGATTCCTCAAGTCTCTAACTCGTCGCGCCAATTGAAATAACCAGATTTCCGCGAGTTCGGTCAGCGCGACCAGTTTCCCGCCTTAAACGACGCGACTGTCGCGCCATTTTTGCGCAACTGCTCGGCTAGGGATTTAGTCGAGTCGGTTGAGGTTGGACGTGCAGCGACCGTCTGGTGATAATTTTTGTCCAGTCGCGTTGTTCGGGCGGGAGAACAGTTTCCGGTCGATCGACGAACCAAGAATAAAGAAACTGTAACGAAAACGATCGAGCCTTCAGCATTCTCTGGTTATTCGAAGTTTCTCGAAATCGTACACGGAAGAGTCCCGACATTTTTTTTTTTCTTTTATTTGAAAAAAAAAAAAGAAAAAAACCAAAAAAGCGTTCAACTTCCGAGGACAGTGCATCGCGTATGCCGTATTCGATCTTAATGTTAAAACGATTTTTATATGTTTTCTAAGAAAAACAAAAAGAGGACCCTAGATGGAGAAACAACGAATGTTATATTAAAACTTTTTCTACGCAGTAACGATCGAAACCAGCCGGCAAAACATTCTTCGTATCATGTAAGGCGTGTAACTTTTAACTCTGCCAAGGTCATCGTTCTTTAGTTCACGTATAAATTGCCGGATCGTCGTATTAAATAAACCGCGAAATTTAAATACCGTCTACTGCGAATAAAGAAGCTAAGGCGAAGCGACGACTTTGACAGCGTTAAACGGAAGCTTCCAACAACTTGTTAAATTTTTTTGTTTCGATGGAATGTACGAACGTTTAATGAAATTTCCGGTTAAAGATAGGGAAGAAGGAATAGGCTGGATCTGAAGATCTAAAGATCGAACAAGAAAACCACTGTACCCGTAAACTGCTCTGAGGTCGTTGTAATTCCGCTTTCAGTTAATCGTCGAGGTTTCAATTAATGGGAGAATTAATTATCGTGTCTTTGTATTCAATTGTTTCACGAAGATTAATCTAGGAATCAGAAATTTATGGCAAGTAGTTTACGTACAATGTTGCTCGTATAATTATTCGAACGACGTTATGGTGTTGGATTCCAATAGAATAAATAACACTTTATTATATAAATCGTGACTAGGATGTTTGGATGAGTAATATTTGCAACAATGGAAATATCTTACAACTCTTATTAGTTAACGTTTGAAAAGTTATACCTTAAGTAAAAGAAAGCAAGAAAAAAGATTTTCGGATAACAAGATCTTTACGAATCGTTTATTTTACAAATTCGTCGTTCGAATAATTGTAAACGGTAACAAAAAATTTCTTGTTAGTTACGTCGATGCTTCGACCAGCCCTTTCGTTTGACTTAGAATATTCCAGTCGAATGTAACCTTACATTTTCGTAGGCGTACCATTCGACACAGCTTGTTCCTCGGTAATCTGTAATTTAGATACATATCGTATGTGCTTGTTGGTTGTTCGAAGTCGGAGGAACCATTAAATTCGGGGTTTCTAAGTTTAAGATCTCCGTATCCCTTGCGTTTAGGAATCAAACACGCTGCGGAATTCGGAGGAGCGTGTAGGTTATGATCTGTAACGCAGAGCAGAATGTATTGGTCGTTCGAGGCCACTGGGCTAACCTCTACCGCACTATTTAAGTACCCCATCCCTATCCACTGTGTTCGAAAGGCAGCATCTTTCTTGTTCCCTATACTTTCTCTCAAACAGAGACGAACTAACTTCGAAGTGACTGTAAACGGCCAATATCATCTGCTGCGAATACAGCAATTATCGATTTAGTCTAAAAACGCGAGCGATCGTAGCTATAAATCGAAGAGAACCTAGTCAATTGATGATCGTTAGTTGGTAACATAGATCGTAATTAACTCATTGGACTTTAGAACTAACTCGTTGAACTCCCATGAACCAAACGGTTTTTAAATCGTGTTAAACATTTTATTCGAAGCTTATGGGAATCTTTCATTTTCTTTTTTTTTTATATTCCATTTCCATGTAAAACGTACGAAATTGCGGGGAGACTTTAACGTAAAATTTAACTAATATTTTAACGAAACGACTGGAGACTCTTAGTATAAGTTAAATTGTGATCGAAAGATAGAGTTATTTGTTATTATCGTTAAGTGAATTGATAAAGAATCGGCTCAATTCGGCACGTTTCGTTGCGTTCAGTTGTTATTGTAATCAATTTACGAGGGAATCTCGCCGACAAGCGCAATACACGCATTAAGATATCAAAAATGCTAGACGATAAAGGTAAACCTAGCGTAATGATCATCGGACGAGAGGCACGAATAACGAATCAAAATTTGTTACGATAGTTAAGTAGCGATTACGGAGTATCGGTTAGTTAGTAGCGGGTACGATACCAATTGTTAAGCTTAAAGGCACTTTTTTATGACGAAACCTAAATAATTAGACAGTAAACGATTCGCGGTCGATTAGTATTAATGTATTATCTCGTATATCCGGTGTGCCCGTGATAATATTCGAACGATCGTCGTCGGAATAATACAGCGAACAGAACACGTATGTATCTGTTTGCTCACTCTCTGTTCTTCGATAAGTTCAATTCGACTCTGATCCGTTTTTTCTCCATCGATTGCAAACGTTCGAATGTTCTCGGGGCCCCGTTGTCTTTAGATGCTCCGCAGAGTACGTTAATTAATTCTCGTACTGCCGATTTTCCGTAAGACCGAACGTTGTTGGTTAAAAAGGGACGTTCGGCGCTCGAACGTGTCGCGGGATAAAAATAACAACTTTGCGAACATGGAACAAGCACTGTTCGTAGACCATCGTATCGTCCTTCACCCGGACCTTTCTCCATTACTCGTAGCGTTCATACTCGCGATCCTTGTTCGTTAGATCACAGGTTAGGTATTGGTGAGTACCGATGAGGCCGACTCGATTTCGAACAGTATTCGCCCGGCAAAAATTGTATCTTTAGGTCAGATCCTCGCCACGCGTCGACAACTTGTATCTCGCAACAGCTGAATTCTAAGTTCAGGAGAATAAAAGAGGAATGTCGTTATTGTTAATCGTTGTTCCGTCTTTCTATAACCCTAAACTCACTGTAGACCTCAACGCCACCTGTGGCGGGGTGACGAATCTCAGAGACTCGCCACAACACCGCTCTATAGCATAATACTCTATGGTAGCTTTAAGTAACATCATCTATCGTTTCGATTGGTTTATATAAAATCTCTGTATCTTAACAAATGAAAAGTGAAAGAGAGACTTGGTAACTTTCCGTTGATTCGGCACGATTCAACGTTGCTAGAATGATCGTGGATAAATAGTGATCTGCCGCGGAAATTTTAGAAGCGATTGGAAGAGAAGATACACGCCAAAAATGATTGAATTCTGTACAATATCGATGTTTCGCGTCGAGTTTATCACAGTGTTGTCTACCATTGATCATTAAGCATGAGTTTTCATCGAATAGCGTGTGCAGTTTTAAAAAAACGATGGATTCGTTCGAAGGTGATATGTTCGCGCTCAGCGACGAAGATTTACCGATATCAACAACAAAATGCAACCCCATAGAAGAACAGTTACTGAAACAATTTTTCGACGTACAGAATCGAATCGAGAAAACCACCATCGACATTAAAGAGATTCAAAATACGACGAGACACGTTTTAAAATCTTTGCAACATCGAGCCCAATACGCGGAGAATGTAACCTCGGATTCTGACAGTGATGTGAGTCACTTTGCAATATTCATAACAATGTCACTGATATGTTACACAGAAAAAAATATAAAAATCCTTCAATCCTTTTCAAACTAATTAACGTAAAAGTAGAAGGTTCAACATTTAAGACAACTCTAGGAAAATTATTGAATGACTTTTTGTTTTGGAATTATAATAGTCTAGACTAACAACTATATTAGTTTTTGAAATTTTTGAAGGTTTTGAGACTTGATTACCACCTCAAGATCATATTTATAATAATGCATGTCTATCAAAGAAAGCAGTAACACATAGAATGGTCTAATAATTATTTGTTTGCTATATATAATTTGTAATTAATTGTAATGTGATGTATAATGATTGAAAGGAGTGGTAGCAAAGAAAATATTGAAATGACATACATTATTTATAATATATACATTCTGTATATGTTAAAATATATTAACATTAGTTTGCACACTTTTCAGTTGTACAATGTAGACGGGCAACCAGTGGTAAAGAAGAAAAAACATGCACATGAGGAACCAAATCGGATCTTAGTTGTACAAAGTACTTGGAAATACATTATTTGTGACAAATGGATTATTGGTATAGTTCTACAAAATGCTTCACTAGAGTAAGTACATTGTTAATAGTTATTGCTGAATTGTACAATGAAATTTTGATCAAATGCATTTATATTTACGACGGAATCGTATAAAATTATTAACGAATAAAAAAAAAAAACTAAAATTTTTCATTTTCGTAGTTTCACGTAAATAAAATTAATTTCCAATATAATCTGCTTGTTTGAAATTCCTTTTATTTGCCAAAATAATTATTGTCATATTGTACTTACGATTTATAAAATTATAAAGGATTGAAATCTACTATGCTGCCATGTGTCTCTTAAGTTCTTTCTGTTTTATAAAGAATTTCGTTTTATTTACATAAAATCCCACAATTTTAAGACATCGTTTCTCTATAAGTATTTTGTCATAGAATTAAGTACTACGTGAAATTCAGTATTCACAAAAAACAAATCCTAGAATGATAGGGGGCTTTAAGAGATTTGTTTATACACACTGCCACCTACATTTTCCACGCGGAACCGTACGAATAGCGCTGGTCGCAATTTAAACGGCTCCCGCCCTTAATTAAGTAAGTTTATATTAAGGATTATATATTATGAAAATATAACCCTGTATCAATCAAATATTATCTTTTTAAGCGTAAATAAATATTAGAAAAATCGAAATGTATATATTTCTATGCACTCTTGCATTTGGAAGTCGTGTAATTTAATACATCTTACTAATACAATTATATGCTACAGTTTTTCTTTTTTCTTCTGAGGCAGTACTATTATCATTTTATCAATGATAATAATAACTATAATAACAATGTTTATATTAACATACGTATATATACATATAGACAGATATACGCATATAGAATCTGGGAAAACATAAACACGTTTCTGAATAGATAAGAACAGAAAATAACTAACATACCCTTATCATAGCAAACGACTGACCGTGGCTTTTACGCGTAAACAAAGAAATCTTAATGGGTATATGCAAATCCGTTGTACCATTTATAACTCGCTCGGATGGAAAAATGTTGATTCTATGCATTCTACAGGAATGCAAGCATGTACTCGCGTATGTATACATCGCCGCTCATAAATATTAGGACTTCTTTTCACGAAGTTGCAATACTCCAAATATCGATACCGTTTCGATCAAGTGCCCCAACACTTACGAACAGCAATGCATAAATGATCACGATGCGCTTGATTCCATATGCATTAAAATGCTCCATGTTTGTTCTAGCTAAAATATTCAAGCAATACTCTTGATTTATGCGTACAAGATTTTTAAAAACGTACTCGCATCGCCTCGTAACAATTATACAAACACCTTGTTAAGGCTGTCGTAGATCCTAACAATTTAATAGACCGCAACACTCGTTATTTATCAAAAGTTTAAATGCAGTAGCAGTGCTTGCACAGGTATCATCAACTTTGAACAGCTGAATATTATCAATTCGACGCCCTAGTAGGCGGACAATGCGTTCGGCGCGCAAACACTAAGAATTAAGGGAGAACACCGTCTCTGCGACTTCGAAAATAAATGCTTTCTTTCAACCGTTACGTTTTAAGAATACTGCACTAGAATATTAAGATGCAACGTTCGTTGAACGTGTCCAACGATAAGCAATCGATCCCTTAAACCTTAAACCTTAAAACCCTCAACTTTTCTCAGAAACTACTTATCGACTTCTTCTTTTTTGTTGATCCTTTAAAGGATCAACAGGTACAACGATAACGATATTCGTCTAATTTCTAAAAATTTTAATTGTATTTAATTCTGACCATTAGGACCAGAGAATACCTCCACGCGACTAGGAAATTCTTGTAGCTCGGTACGAGGATGCTTCTATTTTCTAGATAGCTTAACATTTTCTTGAGAAAATTGTTAGAAATATTGTTCAAAGTATGTACTTGAAATGTATGCAAGGTGTTCACTGGGAAAAATTTTAATGGGAGATTCTAGAAGCTAAAATAACACGAAAATCAAGAATATCAATTTGTTGATGGAGGCTTCGTTAAAAAGTTATTAACAATTAAATTGAAAAGTTTCAAAACGTTCTGGAAAAATTATTTTCCGTTGTGGGGGTCAATTATAATCATTTTTTATCATTAGACATACCCTCGAAATCCTACCCATTTTCGAGAAAAAAATTCGAGAATGGGTGAAATTTTACGGCAAAATTAAAAAGTTTCAAACTGTTCTGGAAAAAATATTTTCGATTGCAGGGTTCAATTACAATCATTTTTAGTGAATAGACCTACCCCCGAAATCCCACCCACTTTCGAGAAAAAAATTCGAGAATGGATGAAATTTTACGGCAAAATTAAAAAGTTTCAAATCGTTCTGGAAAAATTATTTTCCGTTGCGGGGGTCAATTATAATCATTTTTTATCATTAGACATACCCTCGAAATCCTACCCATTTTCGAGAAAAAAATTCGAGAAGATACTGAAATTTTTAGACGAAATTAAAAACTTTCAAATTATACTAAAAAAATTATATCTACTTACAGGGGTTAATTACAAGTATTTTTGGTGAATAAACCTACCCCCGAAATCCTATCCACTTTCTAGAAAAAAATTCAGTAGGGGTGGAACTTGAAACGTTAATAACTTTTTAACGAAGCCTCCATCAACAAATTGATATTCTTGATTTTCGTCTTATTTTGGCCTCCAGAATCTCCCATTAAAATTTTTCCCATGAGTGGCCGAACATTCTGTACGCGAAATATTTATATTGGACATTTCGTATCGTCAGAAAAAATATCTAAATATCAGAATTTTCTTGGATCTTGAAAGGTAGCGTCCCCCCTTAATTCGTTATATTAACAAACATTGTTTCCTATCTAATATTTTCGTTGTAACCGACGACACACGGAAAGAAGAGAAAGAATTTAAGCGCGCCGCAAGGCGCTCGTTAACTATGTACGAAACAACTGTTATTATATTTTACAAATCAGTTCAGTGTCCTCGTCCCTCCCAAACGCGATGTAATCGTCGGGAGAATAATCGAATAGCACAAAGTCGTACCTGAAATCAAACATGTATTGAATTTTCTACCGGTGCGCCGAGTCGGCCATTTGCAATTTACCTAAACATCTCGTAGAGATCTTTGATCTGCGATTTGGACAATTGAGCGAAGTAATTCTTTATTACATCCTTCGTTTGGACGCCTCTCGTGGGGTTCTTCCATTCCGGTTTGATAATATGGCCCACGTGTGCTTGTTTTATCAGATAGTCTTGGTCTTCCTTCAAAAAAACAAAGAGCAACTTTTATTTAGAAACGAGTATCTCAGTCTGATAAGTCGAGTTTGCTGTAAATCGAAAGGTACTCACGTGAAGCGTTTCAAATTTCGCGATCACGTCGAATCGTACTTGACACGGTGTACAGAAACTGACCACCGGTGTCCAATGCATGTCCAGTTCGTTGCCAGCCCTCCATTGGCAGAGAAGCCAACGCACGAACTCTTCGAACAGCGGATACCTCGGACCGTGTCGTCCATTTGTTTTTGGATCCTGAGCGTCGGTTGGAAAAAATGAAAATTAAGTCACGTTCATCATTCAGTCACAATTCACGCAAAACGTTCTTACTATATAAATTTAATCGCAGAGCCCACGGTTACTCAAACTTGGTACGCGACCTAAATTCCCATCCCGGTAGGATTAGGATCAAGAATTAAATATCTTCGGGGCCGGCGGAATTAGAACAATGACGTTCCAAAACGCTTACCCTGGATCTGTAGTGCCAAACGATATGAGCCCCCAGATTGCTGTGAAATGTATGTGGCAAACTGTGCTCCAGCTTGTCCCTGTAGGCGCTGAGTAATCTTTCAAACGGATGTCTGACGATCAGGAAACTGATGCTGTCGTTTAGGAACTTGGCAAGCTCTTCAGCCGTGTGCCTGGGGTACTTCTGCCTCGCCAGGGACACCGGTACAGCCTTTGAGGCCTTCAAAAACTGAGGGCCATACCTGACAGAACGTCAGAGCGTAGAACAATGTTTCTTAATTTTCTTTTTTTTATCCCTACACCGCCTAGACGACTTATAAAAACGTGTGAATCTCGAGTTTGCTTTCTGAACTAATTAAATAGTATCACGGGATCTTTTATCTACATTGTACGAATACTGTCCGAGATCCGTAAGATTCTACCAAACATGTTGGTTACGTAACAATAAAGGGAATTGCTTAACGCAATGTGGAAAGTACTCAAGTCCCGCCTGTTGTTATAAGACGTGTCTGGATGGTGTAAGCCCTTTAAGTAGCAGAGATCTAACCCAGCAAGTAGATTAAAGTTGTACATCCAGGACGTAGACGCTGCTTTGAAGACGTTGCACCATATCAGATGGTACTCTCTATTTACAAGAAACTCCCAGGCGTTAGGCCTATGCAGAGAATCGTTTCCAGGCCGATCCAGCTCTTCCTCGGCGCATTTCTCCGCCAAAAACTTCCTCCTGATCTCCAATCGACGCTCCGTCTCGGCGTTCGTTGCTTCCTCCATCAGTCTTTCCTCCGGGGTCAAGTTCGAATCCTCCTGGCAACCGACAATGTGTCTTTCATTTAACGTTCACATTAATATTATTATTTTATATACGAAGAGTAATTTTTATTAAACATTTTGAGTCTCATTAATTCATATGCAGGGTGCTCGACCAACCCTGGGAAAAATTTTAATGGCAGATTCTAGGGACCAAAATAAGACGAAAATCAAGAATACTATTTTATTGATGGAGGCTTCCTCAAATAGTTATTAACGTTTAAAGATCCGCCTGTAGAAAAGCGATCTGCGAACAGCTGCGTGCGTGCGCAGGTTGGTCCCAGTGGTTCTCACTTCTAAAACTGTGAGACTGTCGATACGTCACTAAACAGAGTTTCTCATGTTGAGTGAAATTTCAAACGTTAATAACTTTTTAACGAAGCCTCGACCAACAAATTGGTATTCTTGATTTTCGTCTTATTTTGGCTCCTAGAATCTCCCATTAAAATTTTTAATCGAAAGTATAGTCTGCAACAATTCTGAATGATCGAAAAGACGAAAAAAGACAATTAATATTTGTTTCTAGCAGGGCACTTTGTAGAGAAAATTTATTGTTATTTGGTTCGACGCAGGACTCGTGGAAGAGGAATTGGCGTAATTATCGTGCACGTTCGAAGGAAGTGAACGGTTCTAATCACGCGTGGACGTTCGCGAGGCTTTTCAGTCGATTAACACGGAGGCTTCGGAGTTCGAAGCCGTTTCGTTGCCAACAGGCCTGGCCGTATTATATCGTGTATCGCTGTACGTGCGCCGACCTTCTGCTCGCCACGCAAGGTTAATCCAATTTCCTAATTTCTGCAATTAATCGAAAATACTCGGCGACGACTGTTAGCGGTAGCGCCGGATTACGCCTTGCCTGGCGCATTGCGGTTACACGTTCTTGCCACGAGGCGTAGCGATTCTTATAATAATTGCCATAATTGATAGAGCTTAGAGATCACTCGAGATTGCCCTCCTTGTCCCCGGTTTCTCGGCACATTGAACATTCTCAGATGGAAAACACTGTTGCATTAACCGCGCGGGGTCGTGGCTACCGGGTCCCGACCATTTTATTTTTAAGCTGCTTAGACGGGGTAAGTCACGGAATTAGGACTGCTTCCGCGGGGACAAAAGAAAAACCGACGGTATCGGTTTAAAAAATTCTTTACACGACAAAAAAAGAAAGCTCTTTGCCATCTGTTCCCTCAGAACCGATCTTCAACTCTTCACCGCCATTTTAATCCACTTGGAACCGAGATGCGTGCTTTCAGCATTGAATTAGCCAACGGTCATTAGTGTTATCACAGAATACATTTATTTCCTAGTTAATGAAACAGGATCGATTAGAATATTTTTTGTATTTTTCTGGGCAACTTCGAAACATTTGCAAAATGCAAAAATCTGCGATTAAATTTTGATCTATCGCGATACTTCTTCTCCGACGTATTGAATTGCTGCCAGGAAAATGATGTATGGTATAACAAGGTTTTTTTTTTATGATTAATGCACAGCGAAATTGCCTTTTTATATTTCGTATAGAAGTGTCAGGGAAACGTGTTTGAAAAATGTAATTGTATTTGCAAATTGACCGACGCAAATGTTATAAGACAGACCTTGGTAAACCGGACAACCTTTTCTTTCGCCGTTTGTTTTTCTGTCTTCTGGGAAACGGGACTCACGACCCATCCCACGTCCATGACGCACTATGTGTTAGATAGCACTGTGAAGTGTAAATATTGAATATGTCGAGATTGAAAGGAGGCCAAATATGTCATTAGAACTTGGAACGATCAATATCCTAATGGGAGGCGTCAAAGATGTTTCAAGGTCGTTCGCGGTGTTGCTCAACGAGACCAGGAAAGACGCGAGACGATCGGAAAGTAGATTTTAATATGCGTTGTCTTGCCCGTCGTTGGGTAACAAACATTTACATTTGTCCATGAGGTTGCAACAACGATCGAATTGAGTTTTTAGTCGCCGTCCGGACGGGGATGCCCCCTTAAAGAATAGCGACCCTAAATGCATCCGTGGCCTTGCGTGTATCCAATTCGACGGAGAGTAAATATAACTTTCGTCGACGTGGATGGCGATGCAATGAAACGAAGCCACCGCAAACAACGATAGTTTTCATCCAATGTTTACGTCCGTTCGATTTTGTCCGGACGCGCTGACATTGCGTCAGGTTTCCACACACGTCGCGCGATGCAACGATTCAGACGGCTCGTGTGTGCCTCGGTGGGAAAATATTGTACCCGAAGGAAGTTATACAACTAGATACACCTCGAAGTACAGGCGTAATCACACTAATGTGTTATATAATGTTTGTCCGTGTGTCATATTGTCCGTATGAACAGGTTGGTTTTGTAACGACAAGTTCAATCAGTATTCTCTCGCTGGGACGTAATTGATTTTCAATAGATTTTATGTTTCTTTCCTTCGAACGAATTGATATTCGTTCAGCAATAATTCAAAATCACACGTTTATCGATCGAAGTGACCCCTGTTTTTGAGGTATTAAAAAATTTCTAGCTTTCATTTGTGTTTTAGGAGAAACTAGGTCCGAAGTTTTCATATCACTTTCGTTTTTAGTGATTGGAGACATAATAAAGACTAGAATTGATCGCTTTGTGTGTATAAGTACTGAAATTTTTAGACGAAATTAAAAAATTTCAAATCATACTAAAAAAATTATTCTCGGTTCCGGGGATCAATTATAATCATTTTTGGTCATTAGACATACCCTCGAAATCCTAGGCAATTTCGAGAAAAAAATTCGAGAATGGGTGAATTTTTCGACAAAATTAAAAAATTTCAGATCGTTCTGGAAAAATTATTTCTGGTTGCGGGAGTCAATTATAATCATTTTTGGTCATTAGGCATACCCTCGAAATCCTATCCACATTCGAGTAAAAAATTCGAGAAGGTGTGAAATTTTTAGACGAAATTAAAAAATTTCTAATCATACTAAAAAAATTATTTCTGGTTGCGGGGGTCAATTATAATCATTTTTGGTCATTAGGCATACCCCCGAAATCCTACCCACTTTCGAGAAAAAAATTCGAGAATGGGTGAAATTTTTTGACAAAATTCAAAAATTTCATATCGTTCTGGAAAAATTATTTTCGGATGCGGGGGTCAATTATAATTATTTTTGGTCATTAGATATATCCTCGAATTCCTACTCACTTTCGAGAAAAAAAATTCTTTACCGAAAATATACCGTGTGACCGGAGAAGTTTCCATAACTTTTTAACGAAGCCTCAATCGACAAATTAGTATTCTTGATTTTCGTCTTATTTTGGCCTCTAGAATCTCCTACTAAAATTTTTTCCCTGGTTCGACCGAACACCCTGTATATCGGGTTATTTTTCTGGGAATAATCGGTTTCGTCGATGCGCGCCGGTGCACGTGCACGTGGATGCAAAGTGCAGACAACAGCACGCTGCACCACCCGTATGGCCCACATTCGCGGCGTCGGCGTCGACGTCGCGGCAAACCGTTCGGCTTCTACACCGAAATCAATAAACGGAAGCAGGCACTTCTGCATTCGCCTGTTTCCGTCTAACCGTGGCTGCCACGACACGTTCGACTTTAAAGACATCAAACTGTCTCCTGTCTGCTATCGCGTCAACTGGTCTGCAATAGTTAAACAACCAGGGACGCCTGCTAACCGCGAAACGACGCTTCGAAGTTCCCCGGTATACTCGCCTGTTAAAACACCGATCGAATTTATTATGTTAGGTAGCTCAAACAAACGAGGATAAAAAAAGGTTGTAACTTTGGTAGAATTCAAATTCAAACTCAAAAAACAAGCGTTCTAATTTTATATTGGTACTGTATACATATTTCTTGAACATGCAAACGCGTCCTATCTTTCACGGTTTCTAGACTCTCCTTGGATTGTCGTTTTAAGTCTCACCACGTGTTCTACTGCTGTATTTTATTTTACAAATAAATCTTGCATTTTATCTTTTACTTAATCTGGGTAACAATATTTTATAGGAATAATTTTTATGTTGAGGATCTAGGTTAAGATGAAGGTTTTATCCGGAAGTCATTCTGAGTAGAAAGGCAGGGATCGTACAATGATAATAACAATAAATAATATAAAACTCGACACGTACTTATGTTACAAGACTAAGTAAAATGGCGACTTTAAACTCGGGTTTCTCGAAAGACTAAAACCTATTTTGATAAATGCTTTTAGGCCGTACGCTACAACTTGCATCTACCCCTAGTTCCAAACGGCGATTTCCACGTTCTGGCCTTCTCCTTGCCAGCAAACGTTGACCGTGCGCGTAATTGCAACGTAAAAGTTTGAGAGCGTATAGACTCTTGGAACGTATCGAGAAGGCGCTTGTGACCCTAGAATCGAGGAGCAGTTACAATAGCTCTCACAGAGCTCTCATTTGTGGTATGCTCATTATGTCTCGAGGAATTGTGCTGATAAGGGGACATCTAGCTCGAGAGTTTAGAAAACTCGAGAGGGGTGGCAAAGTGTTGGGCGAACCTAAATCGGTTTGCTACAACCTCCCGCGAAGATTCTTTCCTTTTCATATAACAAGAGAATATGCATCGATACAGTCTTGCACCATGCTATTGCAGCAAAGTTAGACCTAGGCTTTTAGATGTAAATATTTGCTTACACGAGATCCCTATCGCAATACATACAAAAGTATCAACTTTTTGTTGATCTTAAAGAAACTAGTATTCCAAATGTACCGATACAATGGCGGAGTTGCTTTTGCAGAACCATTTTGTTGCCTCCTTAATAAATTCTATTTCACGGTAAACCCGTATGTAAAACATTTCTGTATCGCGTTACGCGGATCTGACTATGCACTTTCGGTCGCCTGCGGGCTAAACAAACATACCAGTTTCCGGCTGGACGGTACTCGAAAGTTCACGAACGTCGAACGTTTCACGTGCGCGATGCACGTTATGCCGTGCAAGCGGCAGATATCGATTAACCGACGACCGATCTCAAGGTCTCGGAATTAAATACAAAGCGAGTTTCTCGCCGCGGCAGACACGGTGAATCCCGGAAGACTCCGCCACGGCGAATACCGTGAAATTTTATAGCTTCCACTAGGGATTCGCAGGGGTGGGTTTCCTCCAGCAAGTTCCGCTCAAGTTTCTTCGGAGAAAACGGCCCGAGGTAACGAGAGAATCGTTCCACCGGATCGCGACATTCATAGACGTTCGAACGTGCTGTGAAAATTAAACATTCGATGAAATTATCGTTCGAAACGAGTCCCGCGAGTTTTTAGAGGATGAGCGTGTTTACCACTGTAAAAACACGAAGTAAAGCGGTTTTTTGCGATTTGTTTTTTATGGATGTACTATTCAAGAATGTTATTAATTATGTTGTTAAGTGTTAAAAAAGAAATATTCAAGAATAGGGCAAAATAACGACGCTGGGAGCCATTTCCGCGAGGCGTGCTTTGAATTTGAGGCGCCATGAACTTTGTATCCGGGAAAAAACAAAAAATTTTCTCTTAATCTGCACGAGTATAGATTCTTACACGAGTTACAAAAACTATACAATTTTCTCTGTCCTTACACTTTTGCCATAGAGGCTGCTTTTTATTTTAAAAGTAGTACACTTGTATTATTTAAAACCCTGTGACGTTCAGTGGTTTGGAACAAACCATCCTTGTATATGGTCGTGAGAGAGGTATCCACGGATTTTTCTTTTTTTTTATTCCATGATTATATTTATCTTCGTCTTTTCCTCTTTCTCCAACAGTTAATCGACTCGGACCGATAATCGATATACAGGGTATTCGACCAACCCTGGGAAAAGTTGTAATGGCGTATTCTAGAGGCCAAAATACGACGAAAATCGAGAATACCAATTTGTCGATGGACGCTTCGTTAAAAAGTTATTAACATTTAAAGTTCAACCTGTACTGAATTTTTTTCTCGAAAATGCGCAAGATTTCGGGGGTATGGCTATTCACCAAAAATTATTGTAATTGACCCCTGCAACCGAAAATAATTTTTCTAAAACGATTTGAAAAATTTATTTTTGTCGAAAAACTTCGACACCTTCTCGAATTTTTTTCTAGAAAGTGGGTAGGATTTCGAGGGTATTGGTAATGACCAAAAATGATTGAAATTGACCCCCACAACCGAAAATAATTTTTCCAGAACGATTTGAAATTTTTTTTTTCCGTTGAAAAATTTCATACCTTCTCGAATTTTTTTCTAGAAAGTGGGTAGGATTTCGGGGGTATTGGTAATGACAAAAAATGATTGTAATTGACCCCTGCAACCGAGAATAATTTTTCCAGAACGATTTGATATTTTTGAATTTTGTCGAAAAATTTCACCCATTCTCGAATTTTTTTCTCGAAAGTGCCTAGGATTTCGAGGGTATGTCTAATGACCAAAAATGATTATAATTGATCCCCGGAACCGAGAATAATTTTTTTAGAACGATTTGATATTTTTAAATTTTGTCGAAAAATTTCACCCATTCTCGAATTTTTTTCTCGAAAGTGGGTAAGATTTCGAAGGTATGTCTAATGACCAAAAATGATTGTAATTGGCCCCCGCAACCGAAAATAATTTTTCCAGAACGATTTGATATTTTTGAATTTAATTGTTAATAACTTTTTAAGGAAGCCTCAGTCATGAAATTGAAATTCTTTATTTTCGTCTTATTTTGGCCTCTAGAGTCGATTAATCGATTTTAGAATTGATACTTTATAAATAATTGAAAATGTTACAGAAACGATGTTTCTATCGATTTATGGAATTTATCGGGTTCGATTATCGTTCGTCCGATCGTTTCGTGTTGTCCGGAAGTGGCGTAACCTACAAATCAGCGGGCTAGTTGGGCTTTGGTTCGCCGTAGCGCGGAGGCTACATCCCGCGAAACGATCTCCTTACGTAAAGCATTGCGAGCATAGATTGGCAGGCTTCCAGGCGCAATGCGGCACACGATCGCGGGCTCCTACGGCCCCTTTAAGCATGCAAAGGGTGGTCGTAGTTGCCCCCTCAATCTCGACTATTACTACACCGATGCTAGATCGATCCTCGATTCGAACGATCGCTATTTTCTTCGACTTTTCAATCCCTCTACAATGGGATAGGAGAATGTTAAATGATACCAATTTTTGACGTTGTCTAAAAACGAAAAAATCGGTCAGCGTCTTTCAGAGTCTCCCAAAGAACAAAAAAACGACGTTAAACTTGTTAAAAATGAGTCCAAAATATAAAAACGACGATAATCGAGCTCACTTCTATTCTATGCTTCGTCGTATATTCCTCTTGAATTTTATTATCTTTAGTTTCAAAATTATCGTAGCACGCGCCAATGCTGTCTTCTTCGACCGACAATATCGTCCACACTATCTACTTTGTTGACACGAAAAGAAAAAATGATTTCCCGCTATCTAAATACATGCTAAACAAATGGTAAAATTTTCAGACCGATCGCTCGGAATAAATTCCCCCCAAAAAATGCTCGCTCGTCTCACTATTAAAAGAAAAAAGACGAGTAATCCTATTTATACCGCGGGTGATTCGACGCCTTTGGTAGAAATAATGTTAAGCAAACGTTCTCCGCGACGGGGGGGGGCAGAAACAACAATCCCGCGCGGATCCAAGATGGAGGGAACCGTAAATAAAAACGCTCGAATCTGAAATTTCTTCGTCGTTGAATTCAACCACGTAACAATGTTAACCGGATAAAGGTAATTCCGGTGTTGGCGGAATGAGATCCTCGAGCATCCGTAGCGTTTAATTCAAAAATCCAGGTCGCGTGGGCTTCAAGGACCCGGGGAACACAATGGTCTCTCGTCTGCCTAATGACATCCTGGCGCGGAGTAACGCTATCGGCGTACTGGTTTTCGCGATCCCCGAAAATACAAAATAACACCAAGTGTCGACTGGTGCAACGAAGGACACTGAAAAGGTTCCTCGCGCAACTCGCCACGGCCTCGAACAAAGAGGAGTCCTCTTTAGGATGGCTCTTCGAACTATCAGGTCGAGTCACAAGTAACTTCCGATGCAGCTAAGTAGAATCTATTGTTCGTATCTACAAGTTTTTGTTTTGCACTATATAGACGAGGCTTCAGTCAGTCTTTTGTCAACTGTTTTGTATGATACATGTTATGTTAAACTGGTTTTTTTTTATCTCTGAAATGGAGAGGGGAAAAGTACGTATTCGACATGTGATGTTTTGCGAATTTAAACAAGGCGACAGTTGAAAAAATATGGAGTGTATATGGTGAAGGACTGATGACTGATCGGGCAATTAGAGATTGGTTTATAAAATTCCGTTCTGGAGATTCCGACTTTGACGACAACGTTTTAAAGGCAATATTGGAGCAAGATCCACGTCGATCAACGAGAGGTATAGCAGAAAGGTTGGATACATCATGATTAACTGATAACCACCACCTGGGGAAATTAGGGGAAGTCAACAAGTTAGGAGTATGGGTCAATCGCCACAAGTCTGCTCTCACGGGTTAAAATTGAGTCTTTTTTTAACAGGATTGTAACAGGGGATAAAAAATGGGTCACCTATGACAATATGGTCACATCTACCAGATCCAAAAGCAAACATCCATGGCAAAAAGATTTTATTGTGTATATGGTGGTGTTGGAATCTGCGTGGTCAAGTAATGCTCCTTTTGTGTTATAAGAGTTTATTCATTTATGTTGAACTCACACCCAACTCAACTATGAAGAATAATGGAATTTGCAATGGAATTTGACTCTTGGACAAGGCCTCTTAAGACCTCAAAGACAAGGTCTCTTAAGGCCTCAAAGACTCTTAACACCAGCAGACTTCTTGTGCAACTCTGAGCCCCTGAGCCCTGCGATATTTGTATGTCTTAGCAATAGTAGGGGAGGAGGACCCTTAGACTTAGTGACTAACAGACGATGACGTGTCGATATTTGGCCTATTGGTCATCCAACAGTGGGATTGTCAAGGAATAATTCACCACGAGTTGTCGAAGTCAAATTTAACGATTACTGCGGATAAATATGTTCAGCAGTTGCAAAGAGTGCAAGAGAAACTCAGTAAAAAGCGTCCTGCACTCGTCAATCGCAAAAACGTAATTCTTTTACACGACAATGCGCGACCACATACAGCAATGGTGACTCGAGACAAAATTCTTGAGCTTGGATGGTCTGTTTCACCACATCCACCTTACAAAACTTTTTAAATGGAAAAACCTTCAATTCTGAAGAGCAAGTCAGCCAGGCTATCGAAAACCTCTTCCAGTCCAAACCAACCAGATTTTACAAGGAAGGAATTGATAAACTGCAAGGAAGATGATAGAAGGTTATAGTTAACAGTGGTGAATGCACAATAAATCAATACAATTTTGTTATTCAATAAGAGGAAAATAAATGTCTGATAAAAAAACGGAAGTTACTTGTGACTCGGCCTAATACATCCGCTCCGGTTGAAACGACTGTCCCCGGCTGTTCCTCGCGGACCGGGAGTAATTGTTCTTTAGAAAGCAATCCGCCTAATTTTCCGGTGGTCTAAATCCCGCGCGTCCCGCTCGAAAGGGCTTTTCTCTAAGAACAAAAGGGGATCCTCGGGCCGCGCGGTAAAAGATTGCACGCTCACCTCCAACAAAAGGCTCTGATGCACGGTGTTCCCGGCATCCTGGCTCGACAGAGCCAACACCAGCAACGTTATGATACCGGCGGCGAGCAACGTGCGCCTGATCGCCGCGAATATACGGCGGCGCGGTGTCATCTTCTCGCGATGGACGGTCTTCCTTCTGTATTCATGTCGAACTGCAACAAAAATGCCCGATTGGAATCATGATACTTTTACCCCTTGAGCCACATCGCTGAGCAAGATCGTGCATAGTCAGTGTACCCTAGATTGTGAACACTATGACACGGTCTTACTCATCGACACTAGGACTCATCCGAGTGCTACTAGGGTAGTCTATTTCTATTTCTAATTTTTTTATTTTTCGGTGCGATACTCTGGCACTATTGGCTTCGTAGTAACAACATTTGACTTCTATTTTTTAATTTTTTAATTCTCTATTTCCTACTTCTACCTGTCTCCAGTTATTCCCCTCCTTTCTACTCTTTTAACTCTCCCTAGAGTAGTCGTCCGGCACCCCTAAACTCTCTTATTACAAACAGATAAATATGGAAAAAACCCCGAAAAAGGACCTTCTTGTGCTCAGTCGATAATGTAGTCCAGTCGACATTGAACCAGTCTACACCACCAACTAGTGTTCTTGCTTGGACTCCAACAGTATCCGGTTACAGTTACACCTCCGAAACGCTGAATTAAACAATAATTCGAATAATCTTAATTACTAACATTCCACGTGTCCAACTTGTATGCTTTACTAAATTACCATTGGATTTTGTTAACACTGTGACGGCCATTGTCACGTGTACGTGATCTACTCTATCAGTCACCATTTCAATATACATTCAACTTATTACATTTATCGAGATTAAATTTATAATTATAATAATATTCCTAGCATATCCGTGTATTTCACTTTGGTCTACGATATCAGTTATGGCGGACAATGGTCTTCCCATGATACAAGCGGCCATTAACCTCTTCAAGGGACAATTTTTTTTTCTTTGAGTCTATTTATTATCTACAGTAACTATAATTATAAAAAAAAAATTTAAACGTCCACTTACGTGACCAAAGGCGCGACCATTTTTTACCATTTAGTTCCATTTAGCGACCATTCGTTAAACTGTCGTCCGTTCACAATAATGGATACATTAATAAAGTATTTAGGATTCTTCGCTTTAATCTAATCTATCATATCGGTTTTAAATCGTTTGGCAAAGATAAAATTTGACATGTTTTGCGGCAACTAAAATCGACTGCGTCGAAAAGAACGTTTGAAGACTCATGCTATTACGACCGTTTCTGGAGACTCATGGTGTGTAATATTATTTTAGAAACACCTTATGCGTTAAACTTGTTTCTCGCGATACTTCTGCAGTACGAATAATCGGTTTCGTAACCACTGACCGTGGCACGGCGCATCCAATTACATTACGTTACCATTTTCCAAGAAAATATTAGATGGAATTGATAATTGTACCGTTCAATTCTGCTGGCATTCGTTTCACCGTTCGAGTAATTAATAAAAATTTTGATTAGTTTTTACGACGAACGGAACACCTAAAAATTTGTGGTAAATTTCGAATTTTCAAACGGCCGTGTATTTTTATAGGAAAGTTGCAGCTTTTTCGGTTGTGAAATAAAAGATGAACACGACCTCGTTTTTTCAAGACGAAATGTATATGCAATAATCACCTAGATCAATACTATCGATTCGATATCTGTCCAGATTAGAGAATATTTATTTTGCATAGGGTATTTTTTTATAGATACCGTTTCTTTCCTCTTGCACCGTAATGTCATTCGAACACGTTCCTACACGAGAACGAGATTCGTCGATCTAAATTTTATTAATATTTACGTGTTGTTATTTTCCTTGAAATAAAATTTTCGTTTCCGGTTCCGAAATTTTTGGGTCAGCAACAAACTTAACTTTCCACGATTCGTCTCCCCAAATCCTCTCCACTCAGCGTCTCGAACATTAACGAAACCTGACCCAGCAAAAAAAGAAATAGAATTGATAAAACGAACGAAAACGAGACACACGCGGTACGAAGGGATGCCGTAAGGCGATAGTAATCATTTACATAAATAATACAAACCTTAACGTTTATAAAAGTTTCGAAACACTTCTACTCACGGTGTATAAAGTTTTAATTTTTAGAGGTTAGTTTTAATTCATACCTAACGTAACAGTTGCCTTCGTTAAGGGAAGTAATATCGCGGGCAATCGTATACGACATGCAGAGCGTATAAGAAAGTTATGTCTACCGATCGTGGACATTCGATCGGTTACACAGGTGCACGCAACGTCGTACCGTCATGCAAGTAAATAATCCCGCCGATCGGTGGTTAACGTTCGACGCGAAACAAACCGCGAAAGGGCAAGGACGCGTATCTAGGCGCGTTGATTCTCTCGTGGCTGGTCACGACATCTCACCCACGACACGAATCTTGCACAATTACGGTCTCGATCGAAAGACCAGAGTCGCGAGAAAGGAACGCAGTTGCACCGCGTACGTTTCCTGGGTCAATGGGTCAGAGAGCACCCTTCCTTTCACCCGGTTTTATGTCCCCCTCGATTACTATTACTATTACTATTATGCTTCTCTACATTGTTTTGATACACACAGCCAACAACGATACTTTTCAAACGCGTGGAATACGTACTTTCTACGGACATATATGCCCCGGTGTCAGGATTCAAAGATGCATCTATCGCACCCCTGGCACGAAATCCAACTTTCCGCGTCGATTCGTCCCGAGTCACTTGCTTGCCGCTGATCCAATCGAGCACGAGGAAATTGAGACGCAACGCGTTGTATTGCTTCTCGATTTACGAACTCGCGAGACACGTGACACGACTGACCGATCGAACCGAAGATACAGACACCGCACGATCACGGTGGCATCCTGCAGATCACTGAAGGGACACCAACGTCTCGTACCCCGCGCCCTCTGCTACCAGCCGATTCATACAACGCCGCCGATTGGACGAAATTTTCGCGGGTCGATTTGCCGCTCGACGCACTCTGCGCACGCGCGGCACGACGAACCGCGTTCGAGTTTCTGGCTCGCTTGCTAACCTCGATCTCGCGGACGTTTATTTCGCGAATGCTTCTTTTCATTGCCTAAACACGTTTAGATGAAACGTATTATTGCCAGGGGATGCCAACGATAGCGAACCAAAAAACTTTCGTGCTTTTTAAAATTACAATTTTCCTTGGTCGATAACGGACCCTGGTTCTTGAGCAGGATCTATTGTATCGACTAGGTAGAATTCCTAGAAAACTGTATTTGTTTAATAAATAAAGACGTGAAATATTTCGTTTCGTTTCAGAACGTTGTGCAATCTTCAGGTTTATGTAGCCGTGAAAGAGGTCGAGGAAATCAACGGTTCGTCGATGTGTTGGTCTTTGGTGGACAGCACGTTTTGGTACCGAACCGACACCGTTAGACCCCGCAAAGAAGCCATAGCCACCGTGGCTCTTAATTTACCAAAATTTGATAAGGATTCCTTCTGCGACGCGTATGGCACGATCTCGTACCAAGTCGACGATAAAGAGTATCAAACTCCTGTACCCACTGTTCGTCTACGCGTCGAGGAGACGATCGATACTAGTTGCGGGGTAAAGTTCTCGGTCGACGTGGAGCATACCATTCTGGCATTAAAGTGCACGTCGATAGAAAAGACCGTTGGCGTGAAAATTGATATGCATCCTGGCAGAGGGGAACGCCTTCTCGAATTCTTGGAGGAAAAATCTTTCAAAGAAATCTGCGCGGATGTTTACGTTGTAAAGTCGATCGGATGTCTCATGTTCTGTCTAATCGAGATTTTGCCTATTATCGAAGGAGAGGTCAGATTAAGGATCTTTTCTAGGTGAACAAATATTCTCCTTTCATTTGGTTAATATTAGTTGTTATTTCGAATTTTACAAATACTAGACAGACTTTCCTCGAGACCGTGAAACTATCGTTCGATGATTTATTGTTTTATATGTTTGCAGATCTACTAGTCAAATGAACATAATAATACGACTCTTGCAAGATCAGTTTTCTGGCCTGACCGTTCACGACGATGATCACGTCCATGCTGCGTTGGCCCTTATAGAAGAGTTAAAATTATACCGTGTTGACGGAAGTACCCCCGAGCGGCAAATAGCGAGAATTAAAACCGATCTACTTATCCCGTGATGATGGTAAAGCAGATTTTGTTAATCACCCACGAAAGTTATTTTAAATCTTCTTCTTATTGTGCCGTTTCCTTGTATCTTTATTAGGATAAAGCATTCAAATCGACTCATTTTTTTCACCATTGTTCTACTTTATTAGATATTTTTATTTTTAATATGGCATGTAAATAACGTGTGTACGTGTGCATGTCACTAAATTATCTGTATTTAAATTTCATTTAAATCTCGTGTTCCTGTTATCTTACTCCTAGTTCCTTCTCCTAGGCAATAATACCAGGATAGCATGGCACAGGTAGTAGCATCGTAACTATACGAGATCCCACAGAAAACCGGTTTACTCACCACTACACGTTCCTAATCACGAACACACGAATATGTCGATGTAACGCTAGTGTCAATCAGAGATGAGCAAAAATATATTTCATAACAACATGGTCTCGTGCTTGTTTGCTTAAAAAATGACACCGTCTATTAGCTATCACAAATAATCAAATAAAAATTTTCTATCTTTATGCTTGGATTGTCTAAACTCATAATTGATTACCTAGAATAACGAATGAAAGTAACAACTTTTAAGGTTAGAATATAATAACAGATTATTTTTGTCAGACGACATAAATGAAAGAAAAATGATTTTATTTTCCTTTTTTTAACTGTATTTCGATTCCCCCGCCCGTTTATTCTTTCCTCTCTGTACAAATAAAGATAAGAAGATAAAAAGAATATATTATCGTGGGAATGATCCCTTATTCAAGTTCTTCCGCCATTTTTCATTTCCAATCGGTGAACGTGTTTATACAGCAGATTAGTTTACTTCACATACTCATGGTATATCGGTACACTGTCGCCAGTATGTGGAAACTGCCCCACCACTTACGTACGCCAATGTACAGCCACGTTTACGTGAGCTCCGACGCTTCGGGTAACTTCGGGGATTAGAGAAGGAAGGCGAACATGAGTCTTTCCTTTTCTCTCTCGAAACAGATGAAATACGAATTGCATCAACCGACGTAAGACTTCGAGTCTCGCCAGTGTTACCAAACGATGGACTTGATAAAAACACCAATGGTTAATTGAACTACCGAAATCGATAAAGTCTTTCTTCCCTTATATGATGTACAGGTTACTATTATTAACAATTTTATCTGATATTTATTCCTCGAAAGTCATTAGACTCGAAATCGTGTACCGGTTGACGCAAATCGTATTTCAGCTGTCTCACATTCGCCTTCTTTCTCGAATCCCCGAAGATACCCGAAACACCGAATCTCACGTACACGTAGCTGTGCATTAATATGCGTAAGTGGAGGGGTAGTTTCCTCTGGACACCAGTCTACCGTCTGGTAACACTGTATAGGTATCTGGTTGTCATCATCTGTTCGTGGAACTGTGTTATATCGTATGTAGTATCTGTTCACACATCATAGGAAAGGAAATAGAGCATCTCCTGATTTAAAAACAACAAATGGCTAACGCATTAGGTGCTGTCGATTGGGAAGGTAGATCTTGTTTGACGCGAATATTGCTTTCGTTATAATTGTCTTTGCTGCCCTCGATTATCGAGAAATGAAAGTTACTCCAACAAGTAACATCGAACCACCTTGTTTTGACATACGTCATTTTATTATTAAAACGATGTTGACCGTTACGTTGAGAAAAAAAATCACCGTGATTAATCGTTTGCTATCAAAATCTAACAAAAGCTGGGGGTTTTCTTTTTTATTCTGAGAAAACAAAAATAGGGTACTCCGCTTTTGTTGGACCAAAGTGCTTTTTAAGTACAAAGAATGTAATTATGAGGATTGTAACTCCCTTGTATACGATTGGAACTAAAGATTGTGTCGTGGAACGATCTCCTAAGATACATTTCGCTCGAAATAGGCTGTCCAGTAACGAGTATAATGCAAAGTATGTTTCCTAACCCTCACGATCATAGATGGTCAATCATTATTTCCGGAGAATGTAATTACAGAATTTTATGACGTTATTCATTTTAGTCGCACACGATAGTAACAGATTACTTTTACTAAAAAACTTCGTATTAATATATATATCTATGCTCTTTTTTCTCTTTGTTTGGATTGTCACTGACTGCAGATTTTGTTTTAGATCTGCGAAGGCAAGCAAGACATCTAGAGAATGAAATTGACGCAAAGCTTGTAGCATTCAGTAAACTTGGTATCAATACTGGCACCAAGCTCATTAATACAGATGAAGTACCACTTCTGGACGAAGAACATGTCTTTGAGAACATGGCCTCAGAGATAGAAGCTTTATTAACTAAAGTAAGTTTAAAATATCTAATACCGTTTAAATAGTTTAAAATATATACATTTCTTATAGTTATTCTCTATAAACGAGAGAATGAACGAGTTACAACCAAACGGTGCTGCGATGCTACATACTATGCAGCGTCACAAAGACATACTAAAGGATTACAAGCTCGAATTCAATAAAATTAGAAATAATTTTGAAGCAAGAAGAGACAGAGAAGATCTACTGGGAAGCGTTCGTAAAGAGATCGAGTATGTGTTTACCATTGTTTTATTATTTCTAAACATTATTTTCGTCGTCGAACGCGCGATTTAAGACTTATAAAAAATTGTTCGCCTCGCAGTAACTACAAGAGTGCGAGCGGACTGAATCGCCGGGAGATGTATTTGAAAGAAAGTCAACATATTCAGAAGTAAGTAAAGTTTGCTATACAATTCGTTTTATTCCGATGTAATATTACTCGTATATACCAAAGAGCTGATTTGCTTGTTTACATTCGTCAGGATACAAAATTTATGGAAACTCTTTTCTCTTTTTTCTAGTTCGGATCGTTTAATCAATGATCAGATAAGTATAGCGATGGAGACGCGAGAACATTTGATGACCCAGAGGCATACATTTAAACGTATACAAACCAGATTAAACGATATTTCAAATCGATTTCCAGCGGTAACTAGCCTAGTACAAAGGATAAATCTACGTAAAAGACGAGACTCTCTAATTCTCGGTCTTATCGTTGGATTTTGCACGTTCCTTATGCTCTTGTATGCTTTTCACTAAATAACCATCTATACCAAAGTTACTTCCACCCTTAATGGGTTAGTGATTCGTCAATGGGAATGCATATATGTAGAAGTAAGAGGTATTTGGTGATGTATTTACAAAATACATGCAAATAGGAAACGTTGAAATTGGAAAGAGCGTGGCTGTGCGAGATTATACGTGAGTGAACTCTGAATGGTCGAATGAATGTCCTCGTTCTTACAAGTAAAAAAAACAAACAAACAAACAAAAACAACAAAAAGAAAACAAACAAAAAAAAAATGTTGAAATGTACAGTTTTTTTATACCTAACTTAAGTCGTGGGTCAAACTATGTATAGAACTTTAATCCACGATCGACATGTTAATTTAATAAACGTTAAAATCAATGATGAAAATTTTACGCATTTATAAAATTATATTTGTACTTTCTCTCGATTTCCTATATACACGACTACGAACGTACCATACCTAAAAACAAGGTCCGTGGAAAATTATGCCTGCGTAAAAAGCTTCTCGATATTAAATAGAAATTAATGCTTCATAGAAACTCAACCTACGCGCGGATGTGTGTCGGTTTTCATAGATCGAAAAGAAAAATAATACCAAAAATCATTACTATTTGTCGCAGTACAACAGACTGATATTTATATAAGGTTTTTTATTCACTATTCGTATAATTTTAATGCAATGCACTCGCACTCGCAAAAGGAAAACAATTTACATATTTTCTTTACTTGAAATCCATTGTATTTTATACGCCTATGTGATCAATGTTTCTATTATGCTCCGCGGCGTAACGAGTGTTCGAAACAACGAAAGGAAAGAAATGTAGTGGATGCACGACACCGGAGAAAAGTTGCGCGACAACGAAGGGGGGAGGAAACAATGTTAATGAGAACATTGCAATAATAAAACCGGACTTCGTATCGAAGGATCGATCTTTTTTTTTCTTTTTAACATCATCTTTTTTCATTTTTACTACGAAGTATTGATTTTACATACACAGAGACATTTATACATGTATATATACACACGCACGTACATATATATATATGCATATATCTTCAAGTCTCTCATTCGAGTTCACAAAACACAGCACGTTACGAAAGGAATCGTTCCGGGCAAGTGCCAGTGCTTGTTTCCACGTATACTAGATACCACATTTATAAATTACACCTTGCTTGCAATAGGAACTCAAAACAAAAAAAAAAAAAGAACAAAAAAAAAAATTGTAAAAATATTCGAATATAAGGTACACGTGTGACCTAAAACTGCTTTATATTCTTTAATATATAATATTTACAGTTTGAAACCTTCCATATAATCACAAATCACTTTCTATATTTAAATTTCGTTCAACTGGTTTACTTTTCCCGATAGTTTTCCATTATCTTTTCCCCCAGGAATCTCCGCATTTGTGACGAGTAAACGATTCCGCAGATTCGTTTCACGTGATTCTTTTGTAATAACCGATTGCCATTAAAAACATTGATAAACCAAACCAAACGAATGATCCCTTGTACATTGTACAATGTACGTAAATAAATAATTTATAGGTTATCTTTTCTATCGTATCCAATTCCACGAACAAACAGAGAAATGCAACGCAATAAGGACGTTCTTATGTATGCTACGTAAACGGTTGTATGTTACATTGTTTTCTTTTTTTTTTCATTTTTTTTCTTCCTCTTTCTCTTTTTCTTTATAAATGCAATATGTAGTGTATCCGTAGAAACGCAGTAGTTTTCTTGTGTGCTACGTCAAAAACGATTCTTTGCAGTGAGGGGAGTCGCGAAGGATTGGAAAATATTCACAATCACGTTTCCGTTCCCGTAGCGTCGAACACGCCGGACAATATTTAATCCACGTATCACCTTACAATCGAGAATCTACCAAAGAAAAATCCGATTCTATCGTATTGCTCCGGAATTACTCTACACGCTAATCCGAATATTTTTCATTTTATTGTTTCCCGTAATCGACAATAGACTGCGAGATCCAACCCACTTAGCACTCTATCGAAACTCGCCCAGGCGTACAAACAAACAACAGACATCTACTCAATATACATGCGAGCCGCATAACTACACTTTATGATTCTGAATATAAATATATTGCCGTACGTATCGTTTGAATCTAATTATTTTTTTTTATCCCTTTAATGCCGACTACTTATAAATGGAGAACATCGGGAGACAAGGTCGCAACAATTTTCGTTTTAATTTTAAATTATCGGTAAATGCTACTTAACGGCGACACAACGAACTTGTATCGAAGTGTCTAATAGAAGTGAAGAAAACCTTTTGTTCGATTCCAATCACCGAACGCGAATTTAGGAAAAAAGGAAACAAGTTACGTCTACATTGGCACTTGATTTACAAACAACGAACATTCTGCTTCAACGTAATGTTTGATGTGATATAACGATCGTTTATTACCTCGCCCCCTTCCCCCACCTCGGTCATAATAGTAATAGTTTTGCAGTGGGAGTTACTAATACTAATAATAGTAGCAGTAGTAGTGTAATAATATTAATGGTAGCAGTAGCAATGATCATAATTAACTATCCGATCGATTCAACGATTAAACAAAAGTTGAACAGTCGCGTATACATTCTGTACTTTCCAGCGAGAATTGATCGTCATCCTTCACTGTCCCTCGTACATTACTAATACTACGTACACTCTTCTTCCTTCGTATTACACTTACTATATCGATCACAATACACGAGTAAGCGAATTTCCCCGACCTACTGCTACGATTTATACAATCGATTCTCACTGGATGTCGCTTCGGTCCAGGATATAGTTAGCGTAAAATACGAATTCCTTAAAGTCGATACGAATCACCTAATTAAATTGTTCGTGCTTCCCAATATGAATCTCACATTTCTTAACCTCGTTCCACTGCGAAATTTCAGTTGTGACAGACGCAAAGTAAAGCTACGTCGCACTGGCCGAATCTCTTCCGCAACGCGATCGAAAGGAACGAAACCCTAAATATCTCCTATCCGTATGCAACGAAATGCATCTCGCGGAATCTTTAATTTTAATGTTTCTAAAAAAAAATGGCTACTGATTTCGATACCTTCTCCCTTTTTACGCGAAACAAACGAACAGAAAGATGGAAAATTGTACTCCGTTTCGAAACCTAACCCAACGTAATACGGGCGTAGTCTACGACTAAAAAATTTTTTTTTTAAAAAAAGAAAAGAAGGAAAGAAGAAAAAATTCCAACTATTTGATGACGTTTGTGTATTGAGATGCGACGGGCGAGCAAGTAGGCTTTGTTAAAACTTATAAAATAACAACGCGAGAGTCTAACGAAGGGACAAGCTCGGATCTCGTGTTCGTAGAATCGCAAAAATTGGAAATGTTCGTGCCACGCGTTTCTTTCACTCGACATACCGAACAGGGCAATAAACGGCAGGCCACTGGGATTTGCTTTGGATTCTACCTTTTATCTCTTCATAGTTATAACACGTGCATCCGTGCCATCAACATATATTTGCAAGTGCTCCCCCTTCTTCGTCAAATTTCTGTCACAAGGCTTAGGAAGAGGGATTTGTCCACGAGTCACTGTAGAGTCGCTTCCATTGGTCCTGCTCTCGACAACAGACAAAGGTACACTCTCGTTCTTATGTTTAAAAGAGTTGAATTTCATTGGCGCGATGGATACGAATGTACAGGGTGTTCGGCCACCCCTGGGAAAAATTATAATGGGAGATTCTAGAGACTAAAATAAGACGAAAATCAAGAATACCAATTCGTTGATGGAGGCTCCGTTAAAAAGTTATTAACGTTTAAAGTTCCACCCGTACTGAATTATTTTCTAGAAAGTGGATAGGATTTCGGGGGTAGGTCTATTCACCAAAAATGCTTGTAATTGGCCCCCGTAACTAAATATAATTTTTTTAGTATAATTTGAAATTTTTTAATTTCGTCTAAAAATTTCAGTATCTTCTCGAATTTTTTTCTCGAAAATGGGTAGGATTTCGAGGGTATGTCTAATGATAAAAAATGATTATAATTGACCCCCACAACGGAAAATAATTTTTCCAGAACGATTTGAAGCTTTTCTTTTTCGGCGAAAAATTTCAGGGAAACATGTCAATGTATGGTCAGACATTACATTTTCAGTAAGGAATTTTTTTCTCGAAAGTGAGTAGGATTTCGAGGGTATATCCAATGACCAAAAATGATTATAATCGACCCCCGCAACCGAAAATAATTTTTCCAAAACGATTTGAAATTTTTTAATTTTGTCGACAAACTTCACCCATTCTTGAATTTTTTTCTCGAAAGTGGGTAGGATTTCGAGGGTATGTCTAATGACCAAAAATGATTATAATTGATCCCCGCAACTGAAAATAATTTTTCCAGAACGATTTGAAATTTTTGAATTTAATTGTTAATAACTTTTTAACGAAGCTTTCATCAACAAATTAGTATTCTTGATTTTCGTCTTATTTTGGCCTCTAAAATCCCCCATTAAAATTTTTCCCAAGGATGATCGAATACTCTGTATGTCCTAATTAATAAATTTTTTAATCGGATCTTACTTTTTATTTATTTCTTACCTGTAAAGCGAAATAACGAAATGTTCAAAATGAGAGGTCTTCGGTTTTCTCCGAATCGGATGAAAGTTCTTGACGTAGTATCTCCATACAGGACTTCGGAATAAGGGTACCGACAATTTTCAAACCTTCGTCTGTAACAGAACACTTTATACCGGACGGCCCTTAAAAGTACATGATTTCATGTATTAAACTTACCAGTTCGTAAACGTACAACTTGCATCTTAGAGTTGTGACCAGAACGTGTTGCTAGAATGCTTTCTACACGACTCCATACGCTCAACACCGAACCGGATAAAACATTATAGGAACGTCTTCGGAGCCCGACCTCGCAGTCCATACCAAGCGTTGCATTTTTACAATTACCACGCCAGTAAGCGTGCGAACATGTATCCACGGAAGCCTCGTACTGCTGCGACCAATGGGGTTCCGCTTCGTCTGAAGACACCTTCTTATATTTCTTCTCTAATTCACCTAGAGTCTCTTGCCTTAGCTGCAGCCCCGTATTGGGCCTTGGGACAAAAACAGATTCAATCGTAATACAAACAACCAAAGGGGAAAACATCAAAGAGAAGCGAACTGGTAAATTGATCGATTTACCTGTAAACCATGTACAACTGATCCTTCTTGCTCTCAGTCTTCTTTTTACCAGTATCCACGGCGATCGCGAGAATTGCCGTCTGCTTTCCATTACGAATCTGATGGCTCAAATAAAATCCTTCTTTGGATCCCGTTAACTCGGAACACTTGTCCATTGCTTCGGACCAATTCATGCCACGCTCGACGTGAACGACATGAAGTTCCGTCGGCGCCTTACCGGTGGCGTGTTTCCGTAGAAAACGATATAATTTCACTCTCCGTACGTTCTCTCCCGACGTGCCCAGATCGAGTATACCCATATCGAAGCGTCCGGTCTTCTTCGCCTGCGTGACGATCGCGTTCAAGGTGTCGGTGAAGTATTTGAACAAACGATTCTGCAAATCGACGGGCATGCCAAGTATACGATTCAAGAACTTCGACATGTTGTTGTAGTCTTTGTCCAACGTGAGTACACCTGGTGAGCTTTCACTGTTGCAAATTAAACCGACGCCCACCAGCGCGTCGGCCACGTCTTTGAAGAAGTCTCCGTGGTAATCTTGAGGAGGTGGTACCAGCGGCGCCTCGTATTTCATTATAGTCCTCATCGTTGCTTCGAGAGCCGAACGTCCGTATTTATTATCGATATTGAACTGCGAGAGATCTCTGGTTTCCGTGGCCCTCCTGTCTCCGTGCGTGAGAGCGCCAAGGCTCTCCAAACGTTTCGCGACTATCGACGCGAATCTTCGTTCACCGGCCAAATCCGAGATCAAGAATATGTACTCCGGCGCGTTCACTTGATTCGAACGATGCGTACGTCCGAACTGTTGTATCGCTCTATCGGCGCTCCATGGCAATTCAAGTGTGATGTGCACTCGTCGCATTTGGTTTCTTGCTCGTCTGTCGCTCTGTAACGATATACCGCTGCTAGCCGCCTCTGATATAATGGCTACTGTTTTTTCACCATCCATAAACCTGTCATAATGTCAATTATTCAACGTCGTCGTTCCAAGCTTTTAGATATTATTACGCAAACACAAAGAATCGATTGTGCGATTACCTTTGTTTTTCCGTTAAATTAAGCGTCTCCAATGGAACATCGACTTCAGATCTAGATTCGTACTGAATGGTGCCGTCTTCCGTTTGCACGACTCGTCCTTTCCTACCAGTCATCTCAGCGACATTTTCAGGCCCACCGAATTCGTCTATAAGTTGATCTAAGGTATTGGGTGGCAGCCGATCGCCTAGGTCTTCTATCTCCGACAGTAATTCCTTCTTCATGGTGTAAGCGCGCTCGACAGCGTCTCTCGACGGAGCTCGATTACGAATCGCTGCGTTTCCGCTGGCGGCTCCTGCATACCCTAATCAAACACGGCACCACCGTTACGTCCGTTATAAAATCTAAAATTATCTTAATATAAAATCTCTACCTGCACGTTTCTTCACCGGTTTCTTTTGCTTTTTGCCTTTCTTCTTTCGCCTATCGCCCGAGTCTATGATACAATCGACAAATCAGTGAAGTAAAAATAGGTTAAAAATCGCCGACGTAAGGAAACGAATTTGCAAAAACAAACCAGAGTCCGACTCGGTGTACTGAAAGGAAGAATCGGAGGTGATGTTGCTCTCCATGTCCGTTTTATGCTCGTCCTCGCTCTCGCTACCGCTTTGTTTATATTCCGAGTCGGAGCTGCGGCCACCGTTTCTCTCATCGTCGGTGAAATCGTCGTCCGATGGGAACGTTCGAACCCTCTTCGAGGCCCGTTGGGCTGCCTGTCGAACTGGTTTCCTTTTGCTACCACCTGCAGAGCCCCCGGCGCCATCCATGTCGTCCAGGTCCTCTAACCTCTGCATCTTCGACGGCTCTATGCCAAGAACTCGGTGTATGTGATTACGATCCGAGGCTGGAAAGTGTTTCTCCACCAACGTTTGCAACACGCCCCTGAAAACACGAGGAAGAAAGGTGTGGATGCACTTTTATCATCGCCACTTTTCCATCGGAAGCTCGTCGATTGCTTACTTCGCGGTGGAGACGAAATCGCTGAGCTCGCCGTCGTCGCGTTCCAATTGTTCCAAAGTACGAGCCTCGCCAGTGGATTGCAGACCGATCACAACGCATTTGCCGCACTTCACGGCCTCGCGCGCAACCGCGACAGCATGTTTCACTTTAGCGGCGATGCACAGATACTTGAAGAAGCGCTGATGCGATGACCAGAACTGGCCCCACATAGTCTTCTTCATACGATTCTCGGCGTCCAACAGTTCGGCCGCCTCTTGAAACCTTTGCATTGCTTCGACCCACTGTGATAAATATCGAGGCATTTTATGATTGTACACTACGGTAGCTATTACTTGTCAATCACGGAATTCTATTGGTCTCCTTTTCCAAAATAGTTTTAAAGAACGTGGTACGTTGCGTTATTTCCTCCAATACTCACCAATCGAACTGAACTATCGTACACTGCGGTAAACTCTTTGGATAGCGGTACCTCTTCTATTTTAAAAGCTACACCGTGAAAACTGAGTTGTCGAGCGATGTACATGCCTCGCAATTTCATGTCCATCGCTACGATCTCCATTGCACCGACTCCTCGTTTCTCGACGGCGCTGATGAAATCGGTAAATTCAGGGAAAGGCGTCCCTTCGCCCCACATCCCTAACCGAACCATGTACGCCATGTTCCGAGGCTCGGAAGCGCCCGTGGCACTGGCGTACACTACTCTGGCTTTGGGAAGCTTGTTCTGCAGCTCCAAAACTGTCAAGCCTGTGAACTCATTATTACACGACATTATTAGATACTGCAAGTAAATTTAAATAGTTTCATTAACCACTTCCGAATCTAAATAATGTGCTTTTGTATACATACCGGTTTTCGTTGGCTTTGAACTACCCGTAGGACACAAATTCTTCGCGCGATGACACTCGTCGAAGATAATCAGACCATCGAAATCTTCACCGCACCATTGCAGAAGTTGCTTTAATCGACTCTTATATTTTCCACCACTTTGCGTGGACTCTCCGATCAAAGCAGAGTACGTACTAAATATCACGCCTTTCTTTACGTTCCCGTTCACGGCAGAGGATATTTTTGCATACTTAAACTTGTTTAATGCGTGGACCTTTAAATACAATTTCTGCTTGATACATAATAACCCGATTTAAATCGATCAATTAAAACTAACGAGACGCGGTCTTAGCTCAGGATAAAATTAAAATACCTCGATTTTCGATGCGCCAATGTCGTTTAAGTCGCGTTCTGCGTCGTATTTGAGATCGTTCGAGACGGAGACCCAAATAGCACGTTTCCTCCCTTTTAAATAATTTTCGAATATGATGCCAGCTATGGTCCGTCCTTTTCCAACCCCCGCCCCGTCACCGATTAGAAAACCAGCACGCGTACCGTCTGGTAAGAGGTGCTCGTGCTGTTGAGACGCGTACGTTATAGATTCGAGCTGTAACGCGGATAAAGCTCCTGTTCGTATTGATTCCTCTGGTATTGAAACTTTATACCAGACGTCTGTTGGTTCGACGCTTGATAACGATGCGGTTTCCACAACAGGATCCGGGTGTTTCCGTCCGAGTTTAACTGTTGAGCATTACAACAATTATTTGAGTAATCACATGCAAAATATCGAATTTTTTTTGTTTTCAATTTTCTCAAAGATTCCGACAAAATTGAGATCAAATTCGACAAATTCTCCATATTATTCCAACTTGAGTGAATCGAACATACGTTTAGTGGGCATGTAATCGGCGTACGTTTCTGCAACACCTAAGTCCTCGTCATCTACCTCCTCTTCTTCCGGTAATGTTGGTTGCATAGTCATTTCAGTGGGATCCCCAGCGTTCATCCATAACTGAGACACAGCTTTACCTATCAAATTTGTTTTCATCGCGTCAAAACATGTCAATTTTATTTATCGATCATGATGCATTCGGTCGTAACTTGCAATAGCAATGAACAAAAGTACCTGATAGCCCAGCTGGCCAATTCGGATGTATACCGTTTTGATTCAATAGTTGTACAAGAGGATTTACAGTCAAGTTCATTCCAGGCATACCCATAATACCACTCATCAAGCTCATATCCATGCCTGAGAAAATAATACACATAAAACCTATTGATGTTTCTTTCGGCGATGACATTATTATTGTTATATACAATATTTGTCAATGGTATAATAATCACTGTTGCAATTGTCACTATCATGTGTGATACAATGGAGGACAAAAAAAAACTTCAAATGTTACATGTATACACTTTCCTTGTAAGTTACAAGCGAGCATATGGAACTAATAATGTATGTGCATGGCTAATTCATACATACATTAAACGCACAAGGGACGTACGATTCTGAACCGATTTTTTCGAAGCAAATAAATTTTTTAATTTGATTCTGACGTGGATTTAGTCAAACATCGATTCGAAGGTATTCTTGCTGAAGCTTCTACGTTTTTATCATAAGATATTACCAAAGAATTATTGGAAAGTATGTAAGATTATGTAAGCCTTGTTAAGCATTGTTGTAAGATTTACTATTTTTTAAACTCATAACCATCGAATAAATAATTAATAAAATTAATTTATCACTTAATTAAATTAATTTTTTTTCTTTGTAATGCCTTAAATAGAAATATGTAGGATTAACTCACAGGGGGAAAAAGAGGATTTATTTTTATTAAATCGATATTTTTACGAGACTCAAGCATCCCTAACTTGAACTGCACAACACTCATGAAAAATACGAAAATTTTACTTTGTTATATAACAGTGAAAATGAAAAACAAAAGACTTATTCTTACTAGGTGGAAAAAAGGCAGCAGGATTGAAGCCTGCAAGAGTTGCTAATCCCGGTGGAAAACCATATGGTCCAGCCGCGGCCAACTGCCCCAGTTGACTTAATTGATTTGCATTGACAAAACCAGGCGGTACACCCTGTGATCCTCCCACGCGCACCATTTCGTATCCTGGTGTTGCAGTCTTAGTTACTAATCCACCAGGGATTTTGCTCCCAAATTTCTGATTCATCACTGTCGAAAGGATATGATTTTAAATAATATACATATATGTAACCGATGTCAGCAAATTTAAATAAAATAATTGATTCTAATGAAAAACATATATACATTAAATTTATCCTTACTATTTATCCCCCCTTGTCCTTTGACCATAAGATTAGACGGTGCATCCGCTGGTTTCTCATCCTTGATGTTCGCGATACCAGTAGCGGTGGCAAGATCTTTTCCACCACCTAAGAAAAAATGTTGCCAATTGACTAATGCTTCTTTCTTGTTTTATGTATACGACAAATTTATTATTTTATAACGTGTAAAACAATACATAATAAAATATAAATACAGTAATATGTACAACAAATATATGAAACTTACCTGGCACCCCCATGTTGTCGGGATCTTCATCTTCATCACTGCTGCTATCTTCGTTCATTGCATCCTTATCCCTTTTGGTTGACTGGATAAAAAACATTTTCACACTTTATAAACCCCCTATTTAATTCTATTAAATATAAACCACAATTTAAAAACTATTTTCTGCTTTATAACACACTCTGAAAGATTACTACAACGGAACACAAAAAACTTGGGCCCCTGGTTGGACCTTAAATATTTTATAATCGAAAATACAATATTTTATGTATCCGTTTAAATTGAAGTAATAAATTTTTAAATTACACTTACCGCTTGTGTAAATAGAACTACCGATATTGTTCGACGCGTTTAATATAACCAATAAAATTTACGTTCCTTTTGGCGTCGATCATTTAATAACGTCAATTCAAATACTTTAATATTTAGATCCGATCAAGTTTTCATGTTCGCGACAATGCGAATAAAATAACCATTTTGTTTCGATTAAAAATAGATCAAATTCGGAAATAAAATAAGCTATTTATTATTTACTACTGGAAAAGACATACTTTATTCAACTGGGGTGAAGGGAGAGGGATTGAGAGAGCATGGGGAGGGAGAACTGTGTGAGTCATTTGAAATTACAATAAGAGAGACTGTGCGTATGTACCCCGCGTCTATAGGTTAGTCGTGCCAAGAGATGGATGCTCGCGGAAGAAAATATACATCGTACGAAAGAGGAAGCGCGCCTTCCTGTGAACGTTTAACGTGCGCCGACGATGAACAAAAAAAAAAAGAAAAAAAAAAAATACTTACCATGACAAAAGATCTATCGACGTCCTCACGATTGCGGAATATTCAAGATAAACGAACACCCGGACGGTACGACGGCGGTGGATATTGGTCTTCGTCGTGCAGTCGAAGATGCTGACTCTTGACAGGGTGCACGAGATACGACACTTTTTTTCCTCCCTTAAGTATCTCGTGATTCGTGTCTCGTCAAACAAACATCACCCGATAACGACTGAACGCCTGGCGAATTGTGCGAATTAGAATATCACAGCGTGAGAATGTACTGTGCGCTTAGGCCGAGCCATTTACATGGTCTAGACCGAGCACACACTCGAAACGCGTTCGCCAAACACGGCTGCCGCCATCTTGGCTTTCGCCCGGCCCACGGTACACCGCGATGCAAATACAAAAACACACGCGCTGACTATGGCTGCTGCTTGCGGAATACGTTCGTGCAACGTTGCCAGATCGATGCATTTAAGGGGACGTTCTCAGGAGCGCGTTAACCAAAAAATCACCGCGCTTTTGAAAGAATAATTAATCGATAGATCCCGGACGGTTCGATCTTCGGTATTTCCTCAATTCTCTGAGCTTCGCGTATGTGAAAACGTACGTGGAATGAAATTTACGCGAACGCTTTCGATACGAGGACATAAAAACGGCCGAAAATTCTGACATCTATCGACTATTTCGTAACTAAATTTTTCAGGACGATGCATGCAAATTTAAAACGAAACAAGCGGCTGTTCCGTGTAGCGAATATTATTTAAAATCTTGAACATAACATGCAACTTACGACAGCAGGATGTGATCGCGAACGATTAAATTGTCGTAAGTAAAATTGATCGCGAGATATTGTTCGTTTCATCGAAAAAAATTTCAATCGATCCGTGTTGAGTTTTTAATACCGTTTAAATAAATTGCTCCTCGATTTCCTGGTCCGTTCGTGCCTGGGCGGCACAAATCGTACGTCACTGCGTTAATAAATATCGAAAAAAAAAGAGACAAGTCGCGGGACACGCGTCAACTCGAATATTACTAATTTAACAATCACTTAATCGAACACGTGTTCTTCCGTATCACAATGAACAGTAAACAAACCATGCATATCGCGTATCATGTGTTCGCACGCGCGTGGTTACGCTTAAATGGGTATAGCCGTGGTGGACGTTTGGCAACGTTGCCGAAGCGCAGCGCTGATCGTTAGTTGATTTAAAGTATCCGCGGTAAAAAGAAAAGAATACAACAGCTAACTCTACTCAGAAATGTTGAATAATGCGCGTTCGAGTGGATTTGAATCTGTTCGCGAAAATCGAGGGATTTTATACGACCCATTCGCCAAAATAATACATCCCCACCGCGTATTCTACGATTGCTTACCTAAATCTATCTAAAAAATAACATCGTTCTAATACGATCGATCCGAGCTTCGCGCGGCTGACAACGCCACGTAGCGGGTAATGCGAGTAACTAACCGACATTGGGAGATGATTTGATTTCGTCAATTTCGTATCGTAAAAATAAAAATCACGTTCGACGATCGTTATTCCAAAGAAACAAACAAATCCCCAATGCTTTTGTTTTTACTGCAGTTAAAAACGATCGGAATAATGATTAAATGAGAATAAATTTAACACATATCAAGATTGTTGGTATACCAGGAAAGAATAATTGTTTACTCGATTACTGTTCAACAATCGTATGCAAGATTTATCCAATATATCATTTGAAATCTAGAAAATAACTACAACAATATATATGATATACAAATCGAATAAATGTACTTAAAATTAGCAGTAAAACAATCTGCTCTAACGAATAGGTTGTAATTAATATTCTTGCATAACAATGCAGTCTCTTGCGTGAAAGATGATAGACAAACTTAACGTAGTAAAATATGAAACGTAACCACGACCTTCTTATTTCTTAGATCTTTCGCCGATAGATTTTTATTTCTTTAATCATTTTGTAGAAAGTAAATATTATTCCGTAACGAAAAATCCGAAATATCAATGTGAGGAGAGTTTTTGGTCAATGAAACTCCACGACGAAACTGGATGATCGTTCAGAAAATATAAAAAATTACTGAAAAACTGCCTCGACTAAATGTACAAAGTTTACGAAAAGTTCTACGTTTTCGAAGTTTGGAAAAACAAGGTTTCATGCGCACCAACTTAATAGTTACAATGGAAATAGATGTGCAATATATGAAACAGTCTATACTATCTAATTTAATGATACCACGACGAGCAATGGCGGCATATCCGGTGTGTTGTTTCGACATTGTTTGTAATTTCGATCTCGTTTTACAGGGAGGATGCCCCGAACAAGTTGAAACAAATTCGCAACGATAACGTTCGATAAATAACTTCTTTCTACCGATCGAGATGCCGCTTCGCAAACGCGAGAGTTAACGATGCTCGTTCAGTAATCGCGAGTGTAAAAATTCGAATTATTAAGAAGCATTTGCGTGAAGAACACTAGCGTCGACTAGTGTCGGAGTGAATTGAAACGGTGGCCTCGCGCGAACGAAAATTTTGTATGAGAAGATTAAATTCAGAATTCGTTTGCTACGCGAAAAGATCAAGCGTTAACATGGTGAAAGGTAGAAATGCGATTGAAAAAAATTCATGTGTACTTTCTCTTAAGATTTCGTGTTGGCAATCAGGTTATGTTTTGATAGATTTCGTTTCCTCTCTCCTTCTCTCTCTCCATTTTGAACATTATTTCGGAGACGCTAGTTAACCAAACCCTTTACAAATTTACGCGGAACTTATTCGTAACGAATTATCTTGAATTTTTATGCTATCCATCCGTGTTCTTGAAACACATCTTAAATTTATTGGAGAAAATCTCGGGTAAAAACAGCGAGTCCCAAGTTTTTTTTTTCTAACATACCTATTCAATATTCTATCGCTCATGTTCATGACCTTAAACTGTGTGGAATTAAACAGCACAAATTTCATGCATGCACAGCTAGTCTCAGACATTTTTTACACCTAAAATAATAATACATACATGATTCTAGAGACAGGTATATAGAAGAAATGAAGTATATCTCGTAACCGAATTACCAACGTTTCACGTTGCATTAGTTTACAAATTATAGTCATTCCTACTTTTTTTTGTCATAGTTATGAACAGTTTTTCGTAATTGAATTAATTTGATGAATATGGCTGACATAAAAAAATGATCTGTTCCTTCTTTCAACGTTTTCGTATGTAATTTTGCGCCTTGAATGAAAAACTGAAAACATTTTTTACCAAAAAAATCAATAATTTTTCGCTCAAAATATTCTAAAAAAATCGGAAAATCAAGTCCGAGTTTTAACTTGATTTAATTGCAGGAAGACGAAAACGTGTACAGGCAAGGAATGTAGTTTGTACAAGAGCAGCTGTCTTGTCCTTGCAATTCAACGATATGGGTTCCCCAATAAAAAAGGAGGCCAAACTAGATAAAAGTAGAAATATAGAAAATGATATTCCGGATGAGACACGTAAATCTTCCATGTGCATTAGCTCATTTTTTTACACTCAAGTATGCGATTCAATATATCATTTCGATGTACACAAATATTATATACAATATATATCATTGTTATCTATTTTTGGAACACAGATTGCAAATGTTTCGAGTTCGGATGTTTCCAAAAGCAAAGCTTCCATAGAACCTATCGAAAGCTTCTACAGAAATGAAAAGACTACTAGTATACAGGATGATATTCTCATCGATATCGGTGAATTTAGAACAGATGGTAACAATATTTATATGGACACTATAGTTTTTGTAAATAGCGCCGTTAAATCGACGAATACGTTATTTCAGAAACACCTGTGGCTGTACCCATTCATGGGCCAGCAACACCGCACAGGATAAATATGCCAAACAGTCAGTTGGAAGACTTGGACGAAGGGAATGCAAACTGTGACAAGAGTAACAACTCTACAGTGTCCAAGCCTTGTCTGGAACAAACACCTTTGAAGAAATCTGTTAATCGCGGCCGTAGAAAATTAAATAACAATCAAGACATTAGTCGTCGCGTGACGGATTCTACGAATACCAAAAGTACAAATCACAAGCTTACTGATTACTTCCCGGTACGTCGCAGCGTGAGGAAGTCTAAAAAGGCTGTATTGGAGGAGAAGCAGCGTGATATGGAAAACAAAGTGCTTTGTCAAGTAGAAGAAGGTTTGGAGGTAAGAAGGTTGATAAGAATGAATTATACGAAACATGAAATCAATCTTCTTTGATATATATGTATAGTTTGTTTAAATAATTGTTATCTTATCATAAATTCAATTCAAAACACTTTTGTTCCAGGTAAGGCACTTCAGTGGTAAAGGACGTGGAATTATAACAACGCGAGAGTTCGCTAAAGGAGAGTTCGTGGTTGAATACGTCGGTGAATTGATCGATCAAATAACAGCGAAAAAGCGTGAGAAGTTGTACGCCCAAGATCAGAACACCGGATGCTATATGTATTATTTTCAACATCGTAATCATCAGTATTGGTAAGTATGGTCGTTTGTATCTCATACCGTATACCTCCGCAAAATGTTACAAGTGTCCTTTGCATTTTTAGCGTCGATGCAACAGCAGAGACTGATAAGTTAGGTAGACTTGTAAATCATTCGAGAAATGGTAATTTAATTGCACGAGTTGTAGAAGTAGGTTCAACGCCCCACCTGGTACTTACGGCGAAAGAAAACATACCCATTGGTGTAGAAGTGACGTACGATTATGGAGATCGAAGCCGCGAGGCTATTCGTTATCATCCATGGTTGGCTTTATAGCGCTTTTAATTAATTGCATAGTATGATATTTATTGTACAGCAGAAGTGAAATTTGAATGTATTTGCCTCCTCGTACGACGGATCATACAATATGTTTTAGTTACACTTTATGAAACAAAGGTATGCAAAGAAGAATACATTTATATATAATTCTGCTTCCTTTAGTACGTTTCAAATTATATACTGACTTATCTACATGATAGAATGAAATAAATTAGAAATACTTCGCATTTTATGAATGAACAGTATGCTATATTACTGCATATCTGATTTATATAATCTTTTTTTTTTCATTTATTAAATAAACCAAAACTGCACGTACTAAATGTTTTAAATTATAATTTTTCCGGCTGAAGATTTGTGAATATGTATAATTATAAATATTTTTTTTTTTTTATTGTCAAACATATAACTAAGAACTATTTGTTGAGATATTTGTATTGTAGAATAATATTTCTCTCAATTTATCACTGCCAAAAAATTAGCGTCTTTACGAATGGAGCAAATAACGTAACGGAAATGTTGGTTTGTAACAGAAATTCGTTAGATTGAATGAATAATAATCCGGGAAATTGCACCCAAAACCTCTAATTTACTACAATTTCCTATTCTTTTAATGTCCGGGCCTTGGTTCATCTTTCAAACTTAGGTTAAACTCAAATAGCATTATACACCGAAAAAGCACTTTTAAATCGGCCATTTTAAAAGCTCGTTTCGGTGTAACCTCAACAAGAATTGTTCGTGTGTTCATAGTGAAACAAATAATTAATTCTTAAAGAAGAAATACGACACTTGCGACGAGCGAATTTATGTTACAACCCAGTAATTTCATTTGTAGACAAATTATATTAATTTTTGTTTTTTAAATAAATGAATTTATATATCGTGATTCTATTTGCTCTAAATACGATGCAGTGAAAGAATAAAAAAAAAAATGTCTTTAAATTATTATAAAATAATTACGTGATTAACGTGCACGTTTTTTTATCTTGTGGAAAAAAAAAAACAACTGTTATTTAACTTGCACCTAAGTACTTTCGTTAATGTTTCATCAGTATTTTTACATTGAATACCTAATATTTACTATTACTTTGTAGAGACTTCGCGATAATAGATTGCAAGTCGCGTTAACGATACTTTAATTTAATTCTATAATTTCACCAGTGCGAACAGTACAGAAATATCCAATATTTATTTACATTATTATTCATATGTTAAAGAGTTTTATACAATTATAATCATGACATAAATTAATTATCAAATTCAGAAGAATCACTTGGATTATTATAAAAGATTGATATTAATATTATAATATTATGTATGTTACCGTTTGTTGTAAATCTCATTATTATTAATACTATTAAAAAAAACGAAAAATTGTACATATGAATACGTAGAAAATGTGTGTAATTTTGTTCGAATTTGTAAATAAATAATCATGAATAAATTACTTGAACCAATACTTAGTTTTGTAAGCAAAGGAAATACAGGTTTAGAACAAACTACAAATGTATATATATATTATTACATCAAATCCAATTAATATAAACCAATGTCCCCATTAAGAATTTTGTTTACCTTTGTTATTTTTCAACCGAAGTACTTGATTTCTTTTAAAAAATTATTTACATAATAAATACCTATTGTCTCGTTAGTTTTCATTCTCCGTTTCAATAATTTCTTCTTCAGAGTTTTCACCACTGCCTGCAAACGTTTCTTCGCTAGCTTTTAAAAATGGCGGCGGGAGAATCAAGGAAAATCCTGTATTTTTTTGCAGAGGTATTGCGGGAATTGGAGATTTATCATCGTCGAAAGAATTGCATAGATCACTTTTTTCCAAATTCTGTTTGTTTTCGAGCATTGGTTCAACAATTTTCGATTCTTCGGACAGTCTATTCTGCGTGTTAACTTTATCGTTACAAGTTTGATCAACTTGTTCCAGTTCCATCGTTCCAAGTGATTTAAACGAAGGCATTGGCGGAGGTGTTGAATTAGCTTCATTTACTATATTTTTACGCATTCTTTCAAGTGCTTTTAATTCCCTTTCGGACATAGACTTTTGCTTGTCTTTCAAAGCATCTTTTAATTCGGTCATAAAATTCTTAAACAATGATTTGTCCCGTTTATAACTATACGACATCTCGTCACATTCTTCGCTCAAAGGTTTCAGGTATTCTTCCTTAATGTACTCTTCGAATACTTCGTCCATAATTTCTGGCTCTGAATCATGCACAATAGGCATATCGACATTCGCAACTGGCGTTAACACATTTATCTCCGAATAATTATTTGCATGATTATCGGTCCGCGTTTTTACAAGGAATATACTACTGAATTCAACAAAATCTTTTGCAGTCTCAATATCTTTCTTCATTTCGTTCAGCCTTTGCATTGTACTTTCTATAAAATTTTCGTGCGCCACGGTTTCGATAACGTTATTATCGATATCATGGAGTATCGATAATATGTGACCGTAAGCTAGTTGCAACTTATTGGAAGCTAAATACAAATGCATGTACAAGTCTTGCCAATGCGACACAGTCGATCCTCTGAAATTAACATAAACATATAACTGATATATTTTTATTGAGAAATGAAGAAACTCTTCAAAGACATACGCACCTGTACCTATACATTGTTGGTTCTATTTTAAAAGCGTAATAGGCATCGATGATTTTCAACAATTTGTTCTTATACATTGTCAAATATTTCAGTAAAAAATTAATTATGTAAGCTAGTTTCAATTCAGGAATCTTGCTGTACGATTTTTGCCAAGTATGGCTATCGTATCCAATAGCTAGCAAATGCAACATTTCTGATTGTGTAAGAATATAAGTATCATATAAATTCTGTCGAAACAAAGTAATTATACAAATGTTAATCGTGGCTAAACAATGATAAAAAAAAAATTACCTTCAATTTTTGATAATTTATTTCACCCCGTATTTCAAACGACTCGATCTCAAATCTCGTTAATAAATCTTCTTCGATCACATTTATCGGTAATAACTTCGCAAGAATTAGAGAGACACGATAATATGTGTACGAAGAGTGCTCCAAACATTTCACTAAATTTTCCATTATGGGTTGCAAATAATTAAGTCTACTGGCTGTAAGATCGCTACAACATAAATTAATTGCTCAAATTAAATTGGCAAATTCAACGTACGCAGCGTGTTATCAGAAACTTACTTAAATTGCTGAGAACATTTCCTTCTGTTCAACTTCATCTTATATCCATACTTTAAAATTTTAAGCCCTTTCTTATAAAGTTCGAATAAATCGTTTTGCAAGGAGACAACAGATTTCAAATTTCTGTGCGCGTGTACTCTCGAATATTCGACGTAACTGACATAAAACAATGTAAATAGCGCAAATAAATTTGTTGAATTTCTATATCGTGTACCGAACGGAATATACAACGAAGGCGATAAAGCTGCACCTAATAAAAAAAATTTCAATAGCATAGTCCTGTAAAACATTTACATCGTCAATATTTCATTTATTTTACTTTCTTTCTCTCTGTAACAAACTTAAAATATCATTTCACGGTTTGCCTGAAAAATAGCGAATTTCAAAGTTCTACAATTTCGAGAAAAATAGCTGTTTGATAATATAAAAAATAACATTTTAAAGCTTGAAGCCTCAATTTTTGATTTCTATAGAAGAGAACTATTTTTCACAAAATCATCAAATTTCAATACTATTTATCGGGCAAGCTTGATAAATTTTGATATTTACCTCCATGATCTACAATTGTATTTGTCAAAGTAATCGTGTATTATACATGCATGATCATTTAAAAGAACCTTTGCGGTTAAAATGGTTCCTACTTGTTTCTTGGATATGTTATCATCCTGTTACAAATAATACAACTTTATATTAGCGATACTTTATGATACCATACCTTAACATACCTTTACCTGAATTATTCTCAAGCATACAACGAACAGTTTCTTAAAAACATTTTTTGCAGAATGTATAAAATCCTAAAAGCACATAAATGTTTATTGTATCAAGAAATAATATACTGGCTGGTACATTCAAAGTAGAAAGAAATTTACAATAAATCTGAAACTTTTTTCTTCGTTCTTAGGCGTCGATTTGGGTATGGTTACACTCTCAAAATCTGTGTAACCTAAATTATGTAAATGTTCATACAATGAACTACCCTGAAAATGAAGAACAAAACTGATACAATGTAATAATAATGTAATTAATAATTGTAGAAAAAACAAACGTACTTGTATGACAATATCTTCATCCTCATCGTCGCCGTTATTGGTGTCCATAGTATCATGTATATTTCAACAAAAGTAATGAATCAGGTTGTTGAATACACTTGTCATAAATTTATTTTCGACATTTTTAACTTATTTACGAGCACCGTGATGGTTAAGGCACAGTAACACGAATGATTTCGTATTTCCTGATGAACACAGTTCTATTTACAATTTTATTTTATCTACTTAAACGAAATGTGGAATGTACAGTACCATGTTACCGTACTAACCTTAGTGGTAACAAAATTTTACGTAATTTTTAATACTGAAAGAATCACGGAAGTTTGAATATCGAGCTTTCCATCTGGACTGAAAATTATGTTTTTTTTACAACCAGGGACTTATACCGGTATTTTTCGATACCTTCATAACCCCTATAAAAATCAAAATACAATACCGCATCGATATAACCTCACAAGTGACTTGTCTCGAGTCTCAAGACGCGACTTTATTCCCCCACCTCCATTCCTACTCCCCCCACTACCATTCCTCCACGAGAAGAAGGCACAGCGTGTTTACATCCCCACTCCTGTTGCAGTCCACTGACTCACAGGCATTGGTCGAGAACGGTGACGAAGATCGGTGACAGCCAATCAGCGGACTGCAGCAAGAGTGGGGATGTAAACACGCTGTGGGCCACACAGCCTGTGGCTTCTTCTCGTGGAAAGACGGTACGTCATCAACGACGCTTCTCTTATGCAAGAGAATACGTCGTCACGTATGTTACGTGATCGTCCTGTCGACGAAGGCAAAAGAAGGACAATGACAGCGATATAACACACTTGAAATCGGGCGGCGATCGTAGAAGAGAAAATATCTCCGAACATAACCCTAGTTTATTCCAAAACAACCACATTTTCCACCGACAAAATTTACAAAGAAAGTATGTTTGATTCACAATCGATAGAAAACTACGAGGTTACATAGTACGAATGGCGAAAAGGTAAAATAAATTGCAATAAATGATTCAATTGTATTTAAAATAAAGTTTGAAATTATACGATGTTCCTGAAATATTTCTTTGGATATCCCAAACCCTGTACCATTAGCGAATAATTAGCGTACTTAACGTTACTATTATTTCATACGTCAACGTTTATTTATTAAATATATCTAGATGATGAGAAATATTTACTTTTAATTTTGTCAACCGATCTGTATGTTAGCATTGCTAACTAAGTAGTAAATTAGAGTAAATGTGAATGTTAGTCTGTTGAAAGTACGTTAAATATGGTATCGAGAATTAACGTGGAATATAAAATGTTAAAAACTCGTGTATCCACGGCGAATCGATCCAACTTGTGAGAAAACAAGGAATGGCGACTGGTGCATTTACAGAAAGCAAACGTGCTGCAAACTTAAGTTTATCCACCAGCTACGGCAGGTAAACGAACGAAAATTTGAAAAACCTCGAGATCAAGCGTTAATCGATAATCGAAAAACAGACTGTCTTACGTTTTCTCAAAGAAAATATAGGAAATAGGAATTACTTTAAAAGAACAATTTTGAATTTTGAAGAGAACAATTTTTATTCATTGTCATAGAGTATGCACGAGTGGAACAGACAAGACGAAAGTCGCATTTTGCACGGACGTAGAAAAATCTATAATAGTACACAATTTCGAAAAAAGGGGGTGGGTGCAAGTTGGTCCGGAGGATGACTGGAATTTCTATTGGTAATTACAATTTAATTAGCTCGTGAACCACCAGAATTTCACGTTTGGTCTTAAGAAGAATTATTATTTGTTCGCTATTATTGTTACAGGGCAGTCACGCAATCCTGCAGGACCATATTCAGCGTGGAAACGGGATACCGGATGGACGACAAACAGTCAGACATTTATGGCCCATGAAACCTAACAGATTTAGGGAGGTATTCTTATTTGAAAGGGGAGGAAAGATGGTCTTTGTGAATTTTTTGTAAGAAAAATACTAGCTCGAATAATTTGTGATTTTAATAGCAGATAGATGAGTACTATTACTACTTTAAAAAATTTTTTAATATTCAAAATACGAGCACACGATTTGAAAAAAAATATAATCTTTTCGACCCACCCAATGAGAATATTCTCCTTACGCGTTTACCCTTGGTATAATTTTTTTTTAAATTTTTTAGAATGATTAATCACTTTCCGAATCATTACGAATTGACGCGAAAGGACCTTCTGGTGAAGAATATAAAGAGGTACAGAAAGGAGCTGGAACGGGAGGGGAATCCTATCGCGGAAAGGGGCGACTGTCCTGGAAAATATCTCTATTTAGACTTCATTCCAGTCACCTTTGTTTTACCAGCAGGCAAAGTATAATCGACTGTTATAATTGCAATCGAAATACTTAAGGGGACTAGTTAGTGGGGGGATAGAAAGAGCAAGCTCACCCCCCCATGAGGATTTCTCCACATACAAAAAAAAAAGAAAGAGCAAGCTACTGGGACTTGACCCCCCCCTCCAATTGATTAAAAAATGTATTATCTCAATTAAATAATTATGCTCATCCCTGTGTAGATTATAACATGTTCGTGGAGGAGTACAGAAAGTCGCCTCAGAGCACGTGGATCATGAAACCGTGCGGTAAATCACAGGGAGCCGGTATATTCCTGATCAATAAACTGAGCAAGCTGAAGAAATGGTCCAGAGAGGCAAAGAATCCGTTCAATCCCAATTTAACCAAGGAATCGTACGTTATATCCAGGTATCTAGCGGCCATTTTGATTCTAACGATTGTTCCTCGTTGCTTTCAAACTGAACCAGATCTTTCGAACTCGCAGGTACATCGACAATCCGCTGCTGATCGGAGGCAAGAAGTTCGACCTCCGATTGTACGTCCTCATCGCGTCGTTTCGTCCACTGAAAGCGTATTTGTTCAAGCTTGGATTCTGTCGCTTTTGCACGGTCAAATACGACACCAGCATACAAGAATTAGACAACATGTACATACACCTTACGAACGTGTCCGTGCAAAAGCATGGAGTAAGTTTGATTTCATCTACAGGATCCTATAGCTTGAAAGAAAGAACAAATAGTTGAAATTGAACAAATTGTCCACTGTGGTGGACATTAATTGTTTTCATTTCATAGGCAACGTTCGATATAAGAATCAGCCGGTGAAAAAATGTGTGTGTATTATAGGAGGAGTATAACAGCAAGCACGGCGGTAAATTGAGCGTGCACAATTTGAGATTATACTTGGAGAGCACGCGTGGAAAAGCGGTCACCGAGAAGTTGTTCGCGAACATCACATGGTGCATCGTCCACTCTTTGAAAGCGGTCGCCCCGGTCATGGCGAACGACCGACACTGCTTCGAGTGTTACGGCTACGACATTATCATCGACAATGAGCTAAAACCGTGGCTCATAGAGGTTCTCTTAATCCCTCTAATACTCATTAATTATACTATCGCAACGCTACAGTAAGGGCAACGTTTTTCTATTGGCAATACTCATTAATTACACTATTGCAACGCTACAGTAAGGGCAACGTTCAAAGGAGTAACATTTCCTCCATTTTGCTATTGGCAATCTCCATTCAAACTTTGGTAAAGAAATAATAAGATGTATCTGACAATTTGGATGAATAATTCAATGAGATTGATGCTTCTATAGGATCTTTAAAAAGTGTAGATACAAAATTGGTAAAGGCAACAGAATTGAGAAAGAAAAAAACCAGGAAGAGCCTGGCCAGTTTCACGTTACGTTGGAGTGTCTGTGTGAAAGTGAGGGTGTTGGGAAAATAGAGTCAAGGGTCAGCTGTGAGAGGGAGTAAACCCAGGAAAATTGATTGCAAGGACAGGTCCAGGGAAAACATTAGAGATTTAGAACGACCCTTTGAGAAAATATTTCTTCCCATCTTTCCTCGCTTTCTCCCCCATGTTCCACATTTCTGATTCTCCAGAGACCGCTGTTCTGTACGATAATTGTTATTTTTGCTTATATTTGTAGGTGAACGCGTCCCCGTCGTTGACTTCCACCACGGTGAACGATCGAATTCTAAAATACAAATTGATCGACAACATAATTTCGATCGTGGTGCCACCTGACGGTGTGCCCGAGTAAGCGCCATTTTGATCCGCCATTTTGGTCCCAATGTACTTTAAATCTATAATTCCTATCGTTGTATTGTTAATTAACGACGTTTGATCGTTTTCAGCGTAAGGTGGAACAAATGTCCTCAGCCAGAAGCCCTGGGGAACTTCGAGCTGTTGCTGGACGAGGATTTGTGCGCCCAAGAAGACAAAGACTACTCGTCTGGCAAATGTCGCGGCTCCTCGAGCAAATGGAAATAATTATTCAGCGATTTTCTCAACGAGATTCTTGCCACTACGTACTCGACTCGAATTTAAGTTATTTCCAGCAACGAAACGCGTCAATTTGTAAAAGAATTAAACGATAAACCTGGTACAAGCTACCAATTGAATTATTTCACACCTTCGTTCGGTACAAGATTCATTCGAGAGCGATCGAGGGTGGAGGGTAAAGGATTCAGGATCCCAAGCATGCGTAAACACGGCGGGGGTGGCTCGTGGGATTCCTATCGGCGAAGCGCATGTACCAAAACTTCCAAATGCATATCAGTTCGTGTATTTTACTGGCTCGACGCAAAATCTTCCGTCAAATCCGGATACCGCGAAAGAAACCGCAGTCTTCGCTAAGTCGGACCTGCAAAAGCTGTCGAATTTTTAAAAAGCACCGTCGAGGGTGCTATCAATGCGTTATGACGATCCGTATATAAGGGTGAATCTTCTTCGAGGGTGGTTTAGATGTGTTCGAACCGGCGTTCCGTCACGCGATAAACTTTCCAAGTTTAATTCAACGATTTGATAACGTTTCTAATATTCGCGCGTTCTCTTATATTGTACGTGGAATTATGTTGATCGACGCGTGTTGCTAGAATTCTAGCGATGGAGGATATTCTGTACAAACACGCGTTGCCCGCGAGTGCAAAACTTCTGATAATCGTAGGGATTTCGCAAACGCTGTGCTTCATCAACGTTTCACCAGGTGAGATTCGTCAGATTCGTGTTTTAATGTTTATATTCCACTTCAACTGTCAGATAGTGTAATAGTAATTAAGTAATTAATTTCATTGGCCCAACGTTAAGATAAAGGAAATGCAAGACACTCTGTAGACAAAATTGTACAGATTTTTTAAACGCTATGCTTCATCGTCGTTTCACCAGGTGATATTCATCGGATTAATCTTACTTGTTTTGTTCTTTCCGTTCAATCTACGACGCGGAAGTAGAATTTCGATCTTCAAACTTGAGCCAGACAGTGATATTAACATTCATAAAATCAGTTTTAAGACTAGGAATTATTACAGCTAAAAACATATTTTAAACTGTTGAAAAATAGTGTAAATTTCCTGAGATAATAACGAATTATTTTACTTTTATTTAACAACGAAAGATATTTTTCACGTTCGAAACGTGTTGTTTGTTAGGATGACAATGTATCACCAGATTCGAGCGTGTCCCTTCCATTCCTTTTTTTTTTTTGGTCTCACGAACAGTTGCACGTATGAATGAAATAATCATCCTTTCTGTGCGATTTGATTCGACGGCTGGCAACGCGACGGCTTCTACTCGTTTGAATCGCAGATCGGACTCTGCGAGCGCGACCTTCGAAAAGATAATGTTCGAAGATCATTTTTCGCGCTCGTCGTAAAAAAAGAACGTTTTCCTCGTCGAACCGTCCAACCGATACGAAAAGTACGCGAGAAAAATTTGGATCGTCGAGTTTCGGTGATCTTCGTACAATACGAAACAAAATTGAACGATAGCTATTTTAGATTTTCTTTTGCTCGACGAGTGTCTATCGATTCGTAGGTTCAGAAAAATGTTCTTGGTCTTGTTTGTACAGTGAATTATGAAAATTCACCGAGGATCTACAACGTCGGTGTTCTAATGGCCTCGCACCTGAACAGTCCCTTCGATCTCGAGAGATGCGGCCCAGCAGTGGACTTGGCCTTGGCAGAAGTAAACGACTTTTTAAACGTCCACAACGTGCAGCTGCAAAAAGTACAGGGAAGGTAGGACACCATGAAAGTCCAAATTTCATAATTTCTGACAAACCTCTAAAAAGATTTAAAAAAAAGTCAAACAAGAGCTAGCAAACATCCATACGAAATTCTAAAACCTAAAACCCGGTTTCCGTGTTTAATTTTTGGATCCAGGACACCTCGATGCGTCCAGAGATGCAAAGAATTAAGATTGCCGAATTTTAAACGATAACATTCAGCGTTTGTTGTGTTTAATGACGGTCGAGAAATTAAAAAGAAAATGGAGAACAGAAAGAGGGGCGAATTTGTCCTAGATACGCGCGCGAACGACCCTGCGTAAGTTGATCCGCTTCTGACCACGCGTTTCCATTGCTTCCATGTCATTACATTAATTCAATTGGACAGACGTTTGCATAAAAAAAAAAGAATGGGCCTTCGATATCCGACGGGATTCGTCGACTGCGCGCAGTTAAACGTAATCATCCGAATTCTGCGCGAGATCGAAAGCTTGCGTTTATAAAAAAAAAAGAAACGTTTTAGACACGCCTCGCTTGATAATCTTGGCTGCTGCGTAATTTCGTATCGTTATCTACAAGTTTTCGGAGTTGAATACCTCATCGGGATAGCAATATACAGTACTGTGTACTGAATACCGAGTATAGTGTATCGAGTACCAAGTATAAGATATTGGGTACAAAGTATTGCATGTTAAATACTGGAAAGAGTGTATATTGAATATCGAACACTGTGTACTGAGTACCAAATACCCAGTATTGAGTACCAAATACCTTGTACTGAATACAGAGTACAGAATACTAAATACCAAGTAGTAGACATCGAGTATAAGGTGTACAATATACAGTACCAAGTACAAGTATTATAGTACTGAGTATTAAACAGTAAATACCAAGTAGTAGACATCGAGTATAAAGTATACAGTATACAGCACCAAGTACAAGTATTATAGTACTGAGTATTAAACACTAAATACCAAGTAGTAGACATCGAGTATAAAGTATACAATATACAGTACCAAGTACAAGTATTATAGTACTGAGTATTAAACACTGAATAGCGAGTAGTAGACATCGAGTATAAAGTATACAGTATGTAGTACCAAGTACTAGACAGTGAATACTGAGAATAGCATCACGTATCCAATACTGAGTATTAAACACTAAATACTAAGTAGTAGACATCGAGTATAAGGTATATAGTATGTAGTACCAAGTACCAGACAGTGAATACTGAGTATAGCATCACGTATCCAATACTCACTATTATAGTACTGAGTATTAAACACTAAATACCAAGTAGTGGACATCGAGTATAAGGTATACAGTATACCAAGTACCAAACAGTGAATATTGAGTATAGCATCACGTATCCAGTACTCAGTATTATAGTACAGAGTGTCAAACACTGACAAATACCTAGTATCAAGTACTCAATACCAAACAGTAACACTTGAGTATCAAGTGCATACCTAATACTCAGTACCAAGTACCAGACAGCAAATATTGAGTGTTAGGTATCTAGTACACGGAATAGAATATATTTAATTCTGTATCGAATACCAAATGCTGAATATCACAAAGGTTTCTCGCGTCGTTCAGTTTCATTAAGCAGAGAGGAGGGCAACGGGACGGAGTAAGGTTAAATTCAATAACAAAGGATTAAGATGGCGAACAAGATGGATGACGAAGTTTAAAGAAACAGTTGCTTTAACGGGGAATATTCGATTGGGCAGCCGGGGTGAATACATTACAATTCGTTAACGAAGGGAAGGGAGGAACAAAAATCGTCCAGGGCTCGTACACTTTCCCGCACATCGGTCGGTATCCAATCATTCCCCATTCACCGCCGCGATTAATCTATCATTACACCAAATTGTTACTTACACTCGGAATGACAGTGAATTTTACGCCCGGCAATTATCGATCATTCGACGCTGGGTCTCGATGTGATTATTCGACGGCGGTCATCCGCGGGTTCCCTTAGGGCAGCCATGTCAAAAGCGTTCCCTGGACCATCAGACTTTAAACGAAACAACAATTCTGCCCCTGTTTGGCCATGACTTGGCACTGTGCTTGGCCCTTTTTAAGCTCGCTCAACAGTCCTATGAATTTCTATCTTCGAATCCAAAGTGAAAGATACCAAATCGAAAATGGCGGTGGGAATGTTTAAAATGGCAAATGACAAAATGATGTGTTGTCTGACCCCCTCTGTACACAATAAATGATTGATAAACTGTTATGTTATATTTAAAAATAACTTTTGAAATTCTCGGGAGAAAGTGAATTTGACATGACTGCCTCGGGTTTGTGTTCGAATCACGGCCAATGCGATTGTTCCCTCGGCCCAGTAATTCGATCGTGCAATGTTTGCGCCCCGGAACGTGATCATCCATCAAGTCGTTTGCTCCTGTTCCTCCCGTGATATTGTTTGATTCCGATAATCATTGTCCAAAGCCTTTCTTTGTTCCATCTTCGATAAAGGAATTGTATCGCCGATAAAAGAATCGATCCCGTCCTGTAGCGGATTAACTAAGGGCGGATTTAGGGGTGGGGGGAAGGGCGATCCAATAAAACATTTAACAGGAATTCGATTATTCGGGCTACCAACAGATAAAAATTATTACTTTGATACATTCTTTTCCCCCACCCCCACACATACTAAGATCAACCTCCTAACAGGATAATAGCATTTTTCAAACCCTCAGTTTTATTATAGCTCACAGGACACGCATAAATTTACGTTTATATACGGTACAAGCAGATTTCTGCTACTTCTTTATACTGTACACATATTACACTTTCATTTGCTATATAAATTTTTTACAACGAATATTTCGTTTACTCCGTGACCCTGAATTCGTTATTCGATAATCTGTCTACAATATTACGCTCGTTTTTTTGCTTTTAAAGAAGCAAAATGGCAAGTGGGGCTCGTGCATGTTCGACGTCATCCATCTTGCAGCGACGCAACGTGGCATAACCTTCAAATAACCTTGGCTATTTCCTGTACACAGAGCTTGTTTGAGCTCGATCGAGTTCCAAGAATACTCGATTGTTTTTATTAGAAACGAGGATTCTCGTTTTAATAAAATTTCAATAAAAATGCGATGTTAAGCGGTTCTCGTGCATGTTCGAAGCTATCCGTCGTGCAGTGGCGCAACAGCGCCGGGTTTGGCGGCCGATATGCACTTCCGGGACAACGTGATCGCGTTCATCGGTCCAGCCTGCGCTTTCGCCCTCGAGCCTGTCGCGAGGCTCGCCGCCTATTGGAACACCCCCATCATCACAGGAATGGGAGACCAAGTACGGTTTGGAACACAAAATCAATTTAAAAAAAAAACAAATTAAACCTTCCTACAGCTGCTAAAAATGATAAAAATTATTTATCATTTTTCTCGATCCAGCCACCCTCGGAGGGCGAACTGTCCGTGACCTCGGGCATCCTCGGTAGAATCAATAAATGGAAAAACGAAAGTTCGGTAAGATCCTGGTAATTTGTGTTTCTTGTCCATCGTATGCACGATTCCTTAATTACTGTCGCGTACGCATTATTCACACAGAACACGAGTAGCTACCGCCGCCTCTCTTCGCCCGTATTTATGACTCCATTAGTATTCTTAATTAGCCGTGGCCTTGTTAAGACGCTCGGGATGAAACGAAAGTCTAGTAAAAAAACCTGGCTCGCGATCCATTTTCATTTTCGTTACCCTGACCGATCGAACGCGTTACCGCCTTCCGTTAAAGGGTATCTTCAAGGACAAGAGCAAGTACCCGACCCTAACGAGGATGTCCTACTGCCAGTGCCGGCTACGGCTGGTGTTCTCCAGCGTTTTCAAAGAGTTCGGATGGTCGCACGTGGCGCTGATTCTGGACAGATCGGACCTGTTCTCGTGGACCGTCGGCAAGAATCTCGAATACGGTCTACGAAAAGACGGTTTGTTGAAATTCGTGAGGGAACTCGACGGCAATTCGGCGGACGAGCCGTACCATTTTTATCTGCGCGATGCCAGTATGTACGCGAGAGGTAAATAGTAATTTGCAAGATGTACTCCCGAAAGTGAGTAGATTTGGTAAAATTTCGGGTCGACAGTGTTGATTCTCAGCGTTCGCGGGACGCTGGTCAGGAAGTTCATGCTGGCGGCCCACGATCTGGGAATGACGAGGGGAGATTGGGCCTTCCTCGACGTCGAGATATTCCAGGTAAACGGTACCGAGATCTCGACAAAAATTTACGCAGAGCATTTTTATTTTTGCGAATATTTTCGTTCGATTGATAATTAGGGATCGTATTGGGGTGACCACGATTGGGAGGTGGGCGACGAGGACGATGCTATAGCCAGAAAGGCTTACGAGGCTCTGCTGAGGGTGTCGCTTCTGCAACCGACCAGCCCCAGGTTCCAAGATTTCGCGGAGTCTGTTCGCCAGCGGGCGCAAACTGGTTACAATTACTCGTTCTCGGACGGAGAAGAAGTAAGAAAATTACTAGTATCGTTTTAATGCTTCTGATAATTGTAATCTTTCGAGTGCTATGTCGTGTGTACGCTGACCACCATTGTAGTTGCAAGACGCTAGCGCCACCGGCGGTGAAACGACTAAAGCGTTGCTCGTGTGCAAGGTAGATGCGCGGAAGATTATTCGCGAGGATCGCGAAACTACACGATCGATTTCTTATTCCAATTAACGAAACACGAATATAAAAATTATTTTAGGGTTCTGGTCTAAAGTCTCGAAGAGGTTACCTCGACGCTCGATATCTTTTCAGGTGAACTTTTTCATCGGAGCTTTCTACGACGGCGTTTACCTGCTCGGTATAGCGTTGAACGAAACTCTGGCAGCAAATGGCGACATCAGGGACGGTATGTCGATAACGAGAAGGATGTGGGACCGGGACTTCATTGGTATTACGGGACACGTCAGGATAGACGACAATGGCGACCGTGACGCCGACTACAGTATTCTAGATCTGGACCCTATCACCGGAAGGTCAGTGGCAATTAAGCCCGGTCATTCCTTCGACCGTTACCATAGTAATCAAGCCCCCTATTCTACGACGCGAAATTTAGTTATGACGCAACGTCCTCTCGAAATTCCGATTTTGGCTTGAATGACGCTTGATTCGTTGAGCTATGCGTGATTAATATACCCCTATTGACAATTTCAATCGCCTCTCTGTGGACGGCGAGGCTGGAATTGATACCGGCCGGTTCAAAAAGACAGAACGAACCGAAAAGTACGAAGAAAAATCGATAAGTCCTGTTCCATTTTAAAATCCGAGACTTCGTTATCGAGATATACGCGCGCGTTTCTCGCGGACAAGTTCGCGCATGCGCGGTGGCCGGGGAATCCCATCGATGAACTTCAACTGCTCGTATCTCGAGAACGAAGCTTCCGATCGAAAAACGATAAAAGACTTTTTAACTGCTTTTTTAGGAAGGAATTCATTTTCTAAATCAAATCCTAATTTTTAAACGCGTCAAATGAAAACGTGATCGCCAGGTTCGAGGTGGTAGCGCACTATTTGGGACTAAATCGGGAGTACAGTCCTGTTCCTGGAAAGAAGATCCACTGGCCAGGTGGGAGGGAGGGTCCGCCGGCGGATGTTCCGGAATGCGGGTTTTTGGGAAACGATCCGGCTTGCACGTCAAGGACAGAGGCCTACACTTTCGTGGCTTACACGAGCCTAGCATTGGCCGCGTTTCTGCTGGCTGCTGTTACAGCAACCTGCGTCCTATACAGGCAAGCAGGTCTTATTTGATCATGTCAAGTTAACACGTTCACTGTCCCCGTGAGACAGAGGTTCTGAGATCGAATTTGATTTATATACCTGGGGAGGTAAAATTGTTCCAACCCCTAAGGAATCCTAAGTGGTAGCTATCCTGAGCCACTCTGTGGCGCTTGTGGATCAGGGGACAGTGAACGTGTTGGTCCCAACCGCGTCGTTAAGAGGAATTCGACACCTTTGCAGGCACCTAAGATTGTCCGCTGATCTGAACAACATGTCCTGGAGGATCAGGCACGAGGAGCTGCTCCTTGAGATCGGGAAACCATTCTCCTCGAAGATTAACCTGCACCAAGCGATATCCGAGGTGAACGTAAGTTCCGCCGCGAGTCAGGCGAGAAGGCAATACCGAATACGAATACGAATACGAATAGCGAACACGTTTCTGTCGCGACAGAACTTCGGATTGGAGCAACGCATACGGCGTGGATCGCAGCTCAGCTGCGAGTCCCTGCCGCCCACCACGGTCTTCACCACGGTTGGGATTTACAAGGGCGAGAGGGTGGCCATTAAAAAGATCACGAAGAAGAAGGTGGTCGACGTCACGAAGAAGCTGCTTTGGGAGATCAAGCAAGTGCGAGACGTCACCTCCGAGAACACCGTTAGGTACGAGATCAATCTCTGAGGAGGAGCTGAGAAGATCGATGCACTGAGCTTAGATCGTGTGAATTTAGGCGCAGAGGGGTTAATCGTTTAGAGGATAGTTAAAGTTTCGAGAGGTGATGTCCTCCACTTATAATCTTTAAAATTGATCTTAGATTCATCGGGGCGTGCCTCTGCTCCCCCTCACCGACAGTTTTGATCCTGACGGAGTATTGTCCCCGAGGATCCTTGAAGGACGTGCTCGAAAACGACGCCATCAAGCTAGACTGGAATTTTCGAATGTCTCTGATTCACGATATTGTCAAGGTAGATACACTAAGCGCACAGATGGCGCCACAGATTTGTCCGACTGCCTGGCGGGTAATTTAAACGAAGCTCTCGCCTTACGGACTTTCTGACTGCCATAACTTCTGAACCGATTGGTGGATTTTAATGTTTAAAAATGCAAACGACGCGTATTTTGTTTATGCTTCTACAGGGGATGTCCTATCTTCACGCGAGCGAGGTATCGGCGCACGGGAAGCTCCGATCCTGCAACTGTTTGATCGACGGCCGTTTCGTCTTGAAAATTTCGGATTTTGGTTTGAAAACCCTCACTACGCCTGCGGACTTGATCATGGACGACACTTACTATAACAGTGCGTAAGACTGAATCGTCTTGTTCGACATAAGACGATCTTTTTTTATAGAAATTGTGTTGATAAAGTATTTTCGACAGAGTTGCTTTGGATCGCGCCGGAACTTCTACCTTTGACGGTGATGCCAGGAAGCGCAGCGACCCAGAAAGGCGACGTTTACAGTTTCGCGATCATTTTAGAGGAAATCGTTGTCCGTGGCGGGCCTTACGAAACCGTCAAAGCGTTCATGACCTCTCAAGAGGTATAACCTTTCGATTAAAATTTCTTTCGTCGTACGTTACGAGGCTACAACGTGTACAATCCTTCACTCGAAAGAAATCGATAAGTCCTTTACTATTTTGCGATCTGATACCCCGTTTCTTAGATATAAGCAGTTAAAATCCGGAGGTGCGACTTTCGAGACGGCCATTTTACATCGTAGATAGCTGCGCGCCTAAATTGCGTCAGAGAATCAAATGAAATTACTCACTGTTTAATAAATCCTCATTATTAATATTAAAATTATGATTTATCAATATAATATTTACTCATCTATGTCGATGATTTTTACGAAGATCGTCAGCCGTGTCACAGCATCAGAGACGCCGCCATTTAGACCGGAAGTGACGCCGAAGGACTGCCCGCCGGACATCCTGTCACTGATGGAAAAATGCTGGAACGAAGTGCCGGAGGAACGACCAACCTTTCATGCGATTCGTGGAACGATACGCAGCATTATGAAGTAAAAGCTCTGACTTTGCAACAAAAGAAAAAGAAACATAATATTAGTAGACTTCTAATTATTTATTAAAAATTTTTAATGTATTCGAATTGGGTGATAGTAGAGGGTGGTACCGACCTTGGAGACTCTAGTTAATATCTACTCCCTATAATATACATAGCTGTAATTGTATGTATACTCAATAATTTTGCAGGGGTTACTGCGAAAACTTAATGGACGACTTACTGAGACGCATGGAGCAATACGCGAATAATTTGGAGGCTCTTGTAGAAGAGAAAACGGAACAGCTGAGCCTGGAGAAACGACGAAGCGAGGAACTCCTCTATCAAGTACTCCCAAGGTAAAGGTTTCTAAAAGCCCAACAATTTTGCAAAGTTATTTCATCGAACGACGTTAACGTTAAAGTATATTGCAGGCAAGTGGCGTGCCAACTAATGGCGGGAGAATTGGTGCAACCGGAGCAGTTCGAATGTGTGACGATATACTTCAGCGACATAGTGGGTTTCACGGCCCTCTGTGCGCAGAGCACGCCAATGGAGGTGGTGGACTTCCTCAACGACCTCTACAGTACCTTCGATCGTATCATTGAATTTTACGACGTCTACAAAGTACGACATTTCGAGATAACTCCAAGCCCGTTTCTGAACCAACACAGAACCTAAAATATAAAAATAAAATCCGTCAGTGTTGGATACAAAACTGCATAAACTATCGGTCCCGAGAATTGATGCCCAGTATCTGGGACCTAACCTCCAATTTCAGTACCTTTCGATACTTCCCTAAAATCTCTTCGATGTGTACCGTTTCAGTCCCGTCACAAAATTTATTTAGAGCTCGATCGTTGTACAGGTGGAGACAATAGGGGACGCGTACATGGTAGTATCCGGCCTGCCAGAACGGAATGGCGACGAGCACGCGAGGGAAATAGCCCTGATGGCGCTGGCGATCCTGGATTCCGTGAAATCGTTCACCATAATGCACAAACAGAACGCTCAGTTGAGCGTCAGAATTGGCGTGCACAGCGGACCGGTTTGCGCCGGTGTCGTGGGACAGAAGATGCCGCACTATTGCCTTTTCGGCGACACTGTAAATACCGCGTCGAGGATGGAGTCATCGGGATTGCGTAAGTTGCGTAATTTTATGCGTTAGGTTACATAGACCCGTACAGTTAAATCCGGTAATTTAGACGACGGAAATTTTTTTTAAATTAATTTTTAAATTTGTGTTTGGCGCAGCGCTCTGCATACACGTGTCCAAGGCGACGAAGTGCATATTGGAGAAATTTGGAACCTTCGATCTCGAGCTTAGGGGCGAGGTGGAGTTAAAAGGGAAAGGAAGGGTGACTTCTTACTGGTTGAGAGGTTGCTCGGAACCAGATCCCCGGCCGCCAACGCCGAGGTATCGCAGGCACAGCGCCAGCTCCCCAGAAAATAACCTGAATCCCCTAATCTTCCCGCCGAACAACACCAACGGGCCGAAAACCAACAACAACACTTTCATCAACCTGTCCGAGCTCCAATAGAACGATTGTGCGGTTCTTTTGATGAGAAACCAGTCGTAATTATAATAAATTTATTTAAATTTCGTCTATTACAATATGTCGATTCAGGATTTTACATTGATGACATGTATTTATTATATAAATAGAAGAATCTGTACTAGGCTTTCGTTGACGGGCACGCGCGTGAAATCGTAAACCGATCTGGCGGCACGGCTATTCGAAAATGTAATCTGTTTTGTGCAAACTAGGACGCATCGACGGGGGTACGATTTAACGCGCGTGTCTAACAGCACTGTTATACGTGAAGCATCGTTCGCTTGTTTTAGCTCAAAGAGTCAGCAAAATGTTCGAAAGAAATTTCAATCAAATCAAATGTTACTTTTTTCTTTTTTTTTCTTTTTCATCTTTTTGAAATAATCCGCGTGTTATTTGTTTCACCTTTGCGCCGCACTATGTAGTATCGGCACAGTGTATAGTTTGAGTGTATACGTGTATCGACTACAGCAGAATTAGCATCTTTATCTTTTATTATCGTTACGGTTATCGCTACTATAATTGATTATAAATCTCTGTGACCTATACTCTTATCGCTGTTAAATCTAAAAAGATGTGTCGATAATTCGTTTGCCATAAAACCTTGACAAAAAGTAATTTGCTGTGCGAAACTACTTGGATGCCAGGAACATTATTAGTCTGAAACAGAAAGAAAACGGGAATGTGTTTAGCGATTGTCCGTTAATAAAGTTCGTTGTATGAACAAGTGCGCTGATGTCTCTCACCTGAAATTAATAGCTCTTGCAGCGAGAAGTCGATTGCACTCCGCCGTGTCAGGTAAAGGTAACGGTAAATAAGGACTTTCGTTTTCTTGGTCGGTGAATTCAAATCTGTGAATCCTCGGTTGTACTTTCATGTCCCCGAACGATCCTTTTAATATCAAATAATGAAGAGGTAACGGGTACGTTGTTTTTGATTTTAATATCAGCTACAAAATTAAACAACGATTTTCATTGTTCCCACCGCCAACGCGTATCGAAATAAACACTCCGACATCTGACAATGATATTTAATCCCCACATACTTGATAAGTCATGTCCCTTTCCGAGCTTTGGGCGGGATCAGGCTGACTGTTGTTGATCCTCGCTTTTACTACCCACTGATTATTAAACGCCGGGAACCGAGAAGTTTCGTAAAATAGTTTATGGACAAACTCGTCCGTACGATACGGCTTCATTTGTAAATCTATAAACGACGAAATCCCACAAATAGATTACATCCTGCGTACTCCGCGAGGTATTTGTTATTAACAAACGACAGTTTAAAAGAAGGCTGAACAATGCAATCCGAGAATCTAGGCAAGCGAAACTATGTTAACTATCTGACGAAAGGGAACTGTTCCTGTTGCTGCTGGACAAGGCAGAAAACACAGGTGTAAGATACATTTCTCTAAGTCTAGTTGATGCGTAATCTTAATAGTTAAGGGGGTAATCAATCTCGAATGGTTGACTACCCCCTTAACACTTTAATGGCCGCACGTATCATAAAGTGAGACACACGAAGATGCTAGGACAATATATGTAACCTCAACAAACGTAACAAGTTGAATATACGATGAAATCACGCACACGTGACAGTGGCCAAAAGGCTGCTAGCTCGCGAACTCACGTATACGTGACAGCGGCCGTCAAAGTGTTAAGGGAGAGATTTGTTTGCAGGCATACACGAGAAACGGATACAGACCGTTGAATGTGATTTTCTCGTAGGACAAAAGGTCAAAGACATTGTCATAGAGCCTACGTTCTTCGAGGGTACGCGCGTCTATATCGCGCAAAGCCTCCATGACATCCAGCCCCGTACGATGAGGATGTACGCAGTGTGCTTCGTGCTCCGGGCATTCGTGATTTGGTCCACGCCAGGGGCAGCCGATTCTGCTATACTTGCAACTGGATATTCTGTACACATACAACAACTAACATTAAACTGCACCGTGTGTACGCGCGGCGTTTGAGTTACCTTTCCTCGCACATTGTCTCCTCGTGGCGTTCCAAGGAGTTTCGCGGGAATTCTTTCGCGCAATATTGACATTCCGCCGGCAACTCGGACACAGCCTTCTCGACCGCCAAATTACGCGACGGCGACGTTCTGCTGATCTCGATTCTGCAGTTGGGACACGTTGCCATTTCATCTCTCAGCCTGGCATCTGCGAGGACATGAGTGAAGCAACCGGCACACATCAAGTGTCCATTTGTACACTGTGAACATTTTTGCAGTATGTATTACTAGCATCCTCGACTTTGAACTTCTTTATTTTGATGAAATGATAATATCCTAGTCTTGTTGAAGGTTCTGTCAATCTTAGGTAAATTCGTTACGAAGTGTATGGGGCAGCTGTGTGCAAAATAGAATTTCTCCGGGCCACCGATGCGGAATGTTGATCAAAGGAAATAGTTTTAACGATAAAAAATGATTTTTTTTTTCTTTTTTTATTTTGCACATACTGCCACACTATGACCGGTCTTAGCAAACATATACAACCCTTGCAACAACATTAATCAAACTAGAGTAACAAAACTAATGTTCATGTATATTACCATGATTTTGATGTTTTTAAAACCTGAAACACAAAATCGTAGTAGTACTATTAATATAGTCAATTATTTTGCAAAACCAGTAGGTTAAAAAAGAAAAAAAAAAAAAAAAAAAGTAGTATGTGATTTATCATCGAAAGCAACCATCGTCAACGCTGCCAATATCGATAATAGAAAGGAAGAGAAAAGGATAATGATGCATGGGACAAGTGAAAAAGGTTGTCGTATGTGAAATAACTAACTAATAACCTTTAAGAATATTTATTTTGTTTAATGCTTTTCAACTATACATGTTATACAGATTTTCTGGAAATGCGCTTTCTCTCTCTCACTCTCACTCTCTCGCTATTAATTATAAATGATGAACATCAATTTCGCATGGGGCTACAATAACTTTTTCCTAGTAACTAAGATCTTGGTGTGTCTTTTTTTTTTTTTCCTTCAGTTTCGATTACTTCTTACAATAAACACACGATGCTTTTCTGATAGAAAATGTATTTGTTATATTATGTGCTAATGACTATAAAGATTTGTTTGACCTTAAGTACATCTCTGTACTTTTCTAATTGACTGTACAGTGGAACGTCAATTACCCAAAACTAATAAAGGAGAAAAGATCGTTCTGAACGAAACGATTATTTTGGATAATCGGTCCCAGAGAACCAATATTGCAAAAACTATGCAACGAAGTACCATCTCCTCCTGCATCGTTTAGAATCTCTTATAAGAGCCTTTGGATCAAACTCAGCAACGAGAGGGATCCGCCATCTAGTGGCGACATTCCTACTAAAGGTAGCAATTTTGCGTTCGTAAATCAAATGCATGAGAAGTACAACAATTTTGACTGTTAATTCAAGCAAAACTGAAAGTAGATTGCTAATTTCTTCTAAATTGAATATTTTATACGGGATCTAATTCCTTTCAGAGTTCTCGCCGATCTTAAATGCAACATCTAACGCATTTTGGCATACCAACGCTTCCTTCCCTTTCAATATCCATTTGTCTAATCTATCGTCTTGATCACTCACCTTGTTTCGAAGTTGTAATTTTGATTCGTTTACTTTTAATTCCGTTGAACGTGCACTTTCCAACATAATGCATATACCATGGCTAAAGTACAGACTCTTTCGCCTCTTTTTAAACGTTCAATGACATTTGACTTCTCTTACAAATCCCAGTACCACTCATTTCCTCATAGTACAAATGCAACGTGTAATTTTATTTATTTGTTTGTATCTAATGTTTGCGAGACACCAGCCTGGGACACTTTAATCATAGGCATAATGTATTGTAGAGGTTAGACGAATACAGGTTCAAAGTGTAAACAGCGTTAACGTCAGCGATGGGCAAATTTTTATTCGAGTAATAAATGACGAATAAAATCGCAGCGATTATTCGATCGAACAGTTCTTCGGACAAGTTTTTGTTCCTTCAACACGGGATACGATATCGTTTTGTGATGCAAATTCTAATTTGTATTCAACCGATAACGAATACAGTTGTCTATGTTTTATTCGTTATTGTATATTTTTATTTAAATGAGAATTTTGCCGATCACTGCTTAGCGTGGGGGGTTTGCGATGCTACAGACGTAACGTCTTTTTTTGTATTCGGATAATCGACGTTCTACTGTGTTAGAATACCGACAAGAATGAAGTTGAAATTGAAATTACTCGCGTGTACTTATAAAAATGAAATATTTCCAGTAATGTCTACGTGTTCACAAATGCACGAATACAACCTGTGCACCACAGTAAATAAAACTGTTACGTCGTGCGCTAGATGGCGCACTGAATAAACTTACAGTATGTGTCTCTATTACGACAGGTTAAACGCAACATTCTTCCCAGTGTTTTACAGTTAATGAAGACACTGAATATAGAATGCGTTACACATATATATATTTCTGTTAATGAAATTCAAAAGAGAACGACCAGGAACAAAATATAAATAGTATAAGGTGGACTGGAATGCTATAAATTTAATAATAGAGGAGCTTCTGTAAATAAATATTGCTAAAAAATGGGATTATTTGCCTGGCCATGCATACATACAATAATTCTCTTTGTGGTCCATTTGTCTGTGTATTTATTTCACGCATAATTTGAAAATTCGCACAAACTTACATTGTAGTGAGAATTACTTTACATGCATGCATAAACAGATTCATAAAAAATGTGACTCATTTTTTACAATACAAACTTTATGAAGAAAAGCAATTGATCAGTGTATTTATCATAACACCAAATGCTTCAAACTATCGTCTCAAATGATTTAGTAAAGCATACTACGTGCAACAATATGTTTTTATTACAATAAAGAATTTCCAAAACTTCTAAATACATTCAACAACAACAAATATTCATTAAAGTTAGTATTCGTATTAAACAAGTTAAAGGCTTCTTCATATGTACCTCCTATTCAAACATTTAACACCATTTTCACTAAAAGAAACATATAATTACCTACCTGCGATCATTTCATTATAATCTTAAAAGGAAATGCAATACTGGTGATGAAAATTTTTGTTTTTTTTTTTTTTTTTTTAATTTTAACAACATGGTAATAAAGGTAGCTTAAGTTTGTCTTAAATACTTATACGATTACAATTTAAATGAAAACTGCAATTGTACAACTGTTAATTTTATCTTCCTGCAATGTCAGAGAAATAAGTCTTATCAAGAGGGCAAACTATTTAAAAATATATTGTAATCATCAAAAATAAAAAAAAAGAAAGAAAGACGGACAGAGTGAGAGAGAAAGAATCTAATAAAGAAATAAAGTGGTATTAATGACTGTTTGTTAATTGATCAGGAAATTAAAAATCAGGAAACGGAAAGTACTATAAATAAATGATATACAATAACAGGTCACAAAGTTCAAATACCTGTTAAGTTTTTGTATTTCTGATATACCTTTTTGGGCTCGTTTATTTTTGTAATTTCTGGCGACATAAAGCTTAAGTAACAAAGCCAAATATTACGAAACGTTTCTACATACGTTTCGATAATAAAATTTACCACCGTCAAAGAATAACCGAAAACGACAAAAGACGATTTCGGACAGGAGAACGTCAATAATTTGTCACGGTGAACACTGTACAGTCAAAACAATATTTATCTAACAACGTATCCATATATATATCTCTAAATATATGTATATATACATATATGTATATATATACGTATTCGTAGTGAACAAGAAAGTCACTAAACGACCTCGGGTGAAAATGTCGGATGAAAAGGAACGACGACATTACAATGATCGCCGATGTTTAGATACGGGGAATACCGTTCGAGAGAACCCAAGCATTCGTAAATTTGCATCATTTTCGTAACTGCCACGCGCTGAATAATACAAGACAAAGAATTTAGACAAATATCTATTGAAACTTACCTGATAGACAGCCGCCTTGGGTAAATCGAGGCAAACTGCGCAGCACAGGATGCCGCCCAAGCGGTGTTCCAGCCTTTGCTCGGTTTTCCCATCGGTTCTTGACACTTTTCGACGCTTTTTGTCGGGCTCGAGGAAGTCCTCTAGCTTCTCGAGGTCGTCGCGAATAGGTGTAGCCGAGGGAGCCTGCTCCATAACGCTACTCGACGATGCAGCTTCGTTGCTCGGGTCCGCCATATTGATTGTTTTGATTTTTCGTCCGTGGGAGCGTGAGAATTGCGCAGATGTCAAACACAGACCACGCAATACACTCCTAGATAGGGACGACAATGACGCGATACTTTGCAAATTTTATCGAGCCAGTCGATGTTTCGTTCTGACTTACAAGCAGGGATACGCATTAAAATTCATACTACTTAATTAGCTCGGTAACGTTTCAAACAGAACCAACATTTCTCTCCTACGACATGAAAACTTTTACCTTAACCATACACCACGAAAACATAGGAGAAGTATTGGTATAACTCCGTGGCGACCAAAGATTTTGGTCCTACTTTTCTACCAATACATTCTTATATGCGGAAATAAAACATGCAATTCTTAGTTGTTACGATGTTATTAATCGAAACCACCAATGAGAGTTTTATGGCGACGATTCTGCTATAAGAATAATACAGATTTAATGTCAAGCTTAATCGATGGGCTTTAATTGGACCAGATTTGCGCAACTTCAGCGTATTAATGCCTGTAATGTAAAGAGAACGTCATATGAATATATTATACGTTTGGTTTTTCATAAAAACTCTTTTGCATTATTTATTGAAACCTTTCCCTGTAGAAATAGTTCCTCCTTTAGAGAACAGATTCTCTATTTTCCCATGAGCAATATATTTTTGTTTTGAACAGTGTTTTTTGAAATCTATCTACTGTACAAAAAGGAAAATTATAAACAATTTTAGAATATGTTACTCATATAGGGATATATGATAGTAACACTATATAGTCAAGTTGCTAAGCAACTGCGTGTCAACAATAACATAACCTAGCATTATATTTGAAGTGTCATGTTCCAAGAAATGTAGAATTCATAAATTTAAAAGGATATGTAAGTATATGGTTTTGGAGTTTATACAAAGTGCGTTTTTACATAGATTTTATACTATTCGCCAATGTTATGAATCACATGACCAAGATATCGTCATTGACATTAAAACAAATCAAGCGATACCAATATGCAAGATTCGTTTACACTGTACATCATAATGAAAAACGAGGCATCTTTTATTTAAAACTGGACGATAATTGTAAGATGTATTACCTGAGCGATCATTACATTAATATCAACATTTTAACTCTCTAGTTATTAACAATATTTTGATTTTCACAATTTCATTTTTATTTTACTCGTACGCATAACATAGCTCTGTTACTTTACATTATTTTTTATACTTTTAGCAAAAGCTGTGTTGAAATACATTGCGGATGGAAAGGTATTGGATATGCAAGCAATTAATGTACCGTACAGATATACAGGACAAGGTATAGCACGGCTACTTGCTGAGGTACTATTTACATTCACAATTATGGTGATTCCAAGTTAAAATTAATTGTTTTAAGATATTAGTTGACAATGTAGATTCAAGTATACCATATTAAAATTAAATAGTTCATCTAAGAAAAAAAATGAACCATATACTTTGACTTTAATATGATAATAAAAAAATTACATAAAAATTGTACTTTCAGACAGCATTTACGTACGCTATCGTGAACTACTACTACATGTACTTATCATGCGATTATATGCAGAAGTATTATCTTGCGATTAAAAATCCTGATCTAGAGGATCGTATCGTCGGACCACCGCATATTTTAGACGGGCCAGATTCCGAACCCTTGGATCCCGATGTTATTTACGAGCTACCCGATCCAGAAGACTTTCTGATCTATTCCACTTAATAAACGTTTTCGTTTAAACAATTATTATTGCAACTGAAGTTAATCGAAATGTATCTTAAATTAATGGTCTGAAATCGAATATTGTATACCGTTTACAAAATGGAGGAGACAGAATATACAACGTTGATCGAATGGTATTGTCATCAATTTTATTATAATGGAATGTTGCTACGTTCCAAGGAAGCTTGCGAAGCTTACCCTACGAGCGAACGTTTGCGAATTCTTTTAAGTCTCGCGTACGCACTGACTGGAAAAACTCAAGAAGCTATTAAAGAAAGCTCGAGCTTGCTGAACAACCCAGACGTAACATTAGCAGCGTTGACTCTTCAAAATATAGCGTACACAATCAGCGAGAACGTCGAAAGAGCAACCATGATGCAGATAGACACAAGAATCAGAGACGAGAGACGAAAATCATCCCCGAATGCATTGTCGTTGGCAGCCATGGTGTTGTTGCTGTCGCAAAAAGTTGATAAAGCTAAAGATTACGTGGACAGAGCTTATAAATTAAATTCGTCCAATATAAACGTTTTGTTAGCCAAAGGCTGGGTAGATCTGTCCGTTGCGAACGAAAGCAGCTCGGAGGAGCCGAATTTGTTTCAAGTTATCTTGGAACAAGACTCGAAGAACGTGAATGCTCTGCTGGGTTCAGCAAAATATAAACAGCAACATGGCGACAGCGCCGGTGCAATATTATCCTTAAACTCGTTGATCGTACGTTATCCCAAGCTGAGCTTGCCCCTGATCGAAAAATTGTACAATCAGCTCTCGCTGAAAGAATGGGATCAAGCATTGGAGACCGCCAACAGGATATCGTCGATCGATTCGAACAACTTGGACGCTATGAAGGCGCACACGTTCGTAGTTCTTTGCAGGGATGGAAATTACAGCGAAGGTTTGAAGCATTTGCAATCGTTCTTCCGGAATCTGATGGCTACGGAACCGAGGAACGCGACCGTCTTCATCAGCAACGTGCAACTGTTTCTGCGATTGGCCTGCAAAAATCAAGAAATCCTGGCAGAACTGTCGAGAGCCACCGAGAAGATGGTGCAACAAAATTCGAAGAACGCTGACTTGATGGTAGAGTTGGGTAATTTGTACGTTTCGTTGAACAAGGCTAAGGACGCGGAACACTGGTACAGAAACGCAGTGAGGATAAACGAGTCCTCGTTCGTTGCTTTGATGGGGCTAGCGAATTGTCAGCTGATGGACGCCTCGGCTGATGCTGCGGAATTGGCGCAGCAACAAGTAGACTTTCTCATGGAGATACAATCGAATTCGATAGCGGCCGAGTTGCTGTTCATGTCCGCGAAGCTGCAATCCAACGATCCGACCAAGTCTCTCAATTGTTTGGACAACGCAGCCATGATCATATTGAGCAATTGCAAGTACATACCCTATGGGTACGCGTACATAAAAAGATTGAACCCCGACTTGTGCTTGGAAATCTCTAAACAGCGTCTGGTGTATTCGATCACGAAGGACGCGACGAATTTGGAACAGGATGGAGCATCCAATCGAAAGGAACCGAGTTTGTATTTATTGGAACAGTTGACAGAGGCGTATCCTGGTTTGGTCGAGGCGCAGTTGCTGTTGAGCAAAGTGAAAATGCAGATAGGGGAGTTGGACGGCGCCTCGAGCATACTGAAGGATCTGTTGGAGAACGTTGATTCGTCAAACGCGGAGGCACATTTGCTCATGGCTCAAATCCAGGCTCGTCGCGGGAATTACCAACTGGCTTCGCAGAGCCTCGAGGTCGGATTGAGCTACAACTTCAAGATCAGGGACAATCCGATTTACCATTTGATCACGGGCATAGTTCAGAAAGAGAACAGAGACGTCGAGGGCGCGATAAAGAGCTTCCAGGCGGCCATGTCGTACGCCGGGTTACAATCCCGCGAGAACGTTATGGAAACTGTGCGTATCTCGACCTCCGACATGGCGACTCTGTATCTCGAGCTGATCTCCGCGTACGGTAAAATGAGACAATTTGGCGAGGCAGTTTCCGCGATGCAGGATGCGAAAACGAAGCTGGGGAATACCACGGAAGAAGGCAGAGTATTAATAGGACACGCGGAACTGCTCTTAGAAATGGGAGAGCTGGACGAATCCATCCAATGTTTGTCCAAAGTCACACCAGATCAGCCGTATTATCTGCAAGCTCATACGCGTTTGGCTGAGATCAATTTGAAACACAAGAAGGACAGGCACGCGTTCGCCATGTGTTTCAGGTCTGTCTACGAGTCGTTGTTCTTGTTATTTTTCGATATGGATTTTTTATTCGTTCGTTTGCAGGGAATTGGTAGAACATTGTCCCGATTCCAAGACGTACAGCATGCTGGGCGACGCGTACATGTCTATACAGGAACCGGAAAGAGCCATAGAGGCGTACGAAGAAGCATTGAAACGAAACCCAACGGATAAGTTTCATATAGCGAGTAAATTGGGCAAAGCTCTCGTGAAGACTCACCAATACACGAACGCTATAAATTATTACTGGGAAGCTATGAAACAGGACAATTTCAAAGGCTTGAAGTTGGACTTAGCGAAGCTATTCATGACGATGAAACAGTACGATAAAGCGGAGGCTACGTTGGTACAGGAACTGCAAGGTAGATGTCGCGCAGTTAACGGGGCTTCCCCAACGCTATTACTTACTTGTTTTTCATAAATTTGCTCGTTTTAGGAGGGCTTTGAGTCGTAGAATCTAATTGATATTATTTTTCTTTAAATTGCTAACTTCCCGTACTTTAGATGGTCGTCGAGACACGGATATACAAAGTTTAGAAGTGCGTGGCAAACTTCTGCTGCTGCTCGCGAAAACGCGAGAGAGAGCAGATAACATTAAGGGCGCTCTATCGGCGCTCAAAGAGGCTAAAGAAAATCAGCACAGGTACATACAGCGTCTAGGAGGCTCCAACTCTGATGAAGAGAAACAAACCTTGGCCAACATCTGCTTGACAATGGCGGATTATTCGACTTCTTTGAGGGACTACGATCAGGCTATAATGTACTACAAGGAAGCTCTGAACCATAATCCAGCGAATGTGCAAGCCTTGTTGTCATTGGCCAAGCTATACATGCAGGTTAACGATTAAGACAAAGGTAGCTAATATGACCTAGCAAAAGTCAAGTAGTTTGATTTGCCTCAAACTAAAGAGGAACATGGGCCATATTAGGTATCTTTGTTCTATGTAACCCACGACTTATCATGATAAGTTCGTGGATAATGATCACCACAAATCAACAGACAAACAATTTGGACCGATGCGCCCAAAGCTGCACAGCTTTGTTGAACGCAGATCCGAACAACGAGGCAGCTTCGATAATGATGGCGGACCTCGCGTTCAGAAAGGTCGACTTCGACACGGCAGCGTTTCACTTTCGACAATTATTGATGAAGCAACCGACCTACTGGACTGCACTCGCAAGGCTGATAGAAGTTTCTCGTAGAACAGGTTGGGAACAAAGGATAGACATTTTTATAGGACATTTTGTAGAGTCTGAGCGTTTCGTCGGTTCAGGGGACATGGACGATCTCGAGGAATGGCTTCACCGTGCAGAAGTGGGCATGAGCGGATCAAGCTTAGCTGCTGGATATTATTACTGCGCTGGCTTGTTGGATTGGCGCATGGGAAGATCAAATTCTGCGCTGCGTCAGTTTAATTTCGCCAGACGCGATCCTGAGTGGGGTCAACAAGCAATATACAACATGATCGAGATTTGCTTAGACCCGGATGACGATTCCTCTTTGTCGAACGAGGTCTTCAACGACGAGGACGCGGAGTATCAAGACTCCAGAACGATGGCCTTAAAAACGGCGTACCGTCTGTTGCAGGTAAAGAAACTATAACGAGCTTGCCGGGGCAAACGATTTAAAACCACTGTTTCAGGAGTTGAGTCCTAAAGGCAGTCCCCACGAAATGTTAACGCACCGGCTGTTGAGCAACTTCTTCCTGCTAGCTACGAAACAGAAGTCGAACATAGAGAAGGCGTTGCAGGATTGCACGGCATTGGCCAGCCAGGAGGCTCTGAGGGATCACGTGGGACCTGCTCTTGGCATGGCCATGGCTCACATCCTCCTGAAACAAACACCTCGGGCGCGGAACCATTTGAAACGCGTCAGCAAGAACATATGGACCTTCGAGGATGCGGAGTACCTGGAACGCTGTTGGCTACTGTTGGCCGACATTTACACGCAGTCGAACAAGTACGACGAGGCTAACAAGCTCCTGAAACGCGTTTTGCAACACAACGTGACCTGCGTCAGGGCACACGAACTATCGGGCTACATAGCCGAGAAGGAGCAGAATTATCGCGAGGCCGCGTCGCAATACTGTCAAGCGTGGAAGTATGGCGGCAAAGCAAAGCTGTCGGTCGCCTACAAGTTGGCTTACTGCTCCATGAAGGCGAAATCGTACGCGGAGGCGATCGAGGTCTGCAACGAGGTGCTCAAACTGAACCCGGAGTATCCGCGCATCAAAAAGGACATTTTGGAAAAGTGTATTAACAATTTGCGAACGTAATAAAAGTTCTTTTATCTCCACATTTTGTACTCTTTCTGTATAATCCTGACTACCATAAATTTGCCTGGCCACACATTATATTAACAGTAAAGGAATTTTTTTTTCGTAAACGCGTAGGATTTCGAGGGTATGTCTATTGACCTAAAATGATTGCAATTGACCCCTCCAATCAAAAATAATTTTTTTAGAACGATTTAAAATTTTTTATTTTCGTCGAAAAATTTCAGCAAATACTCGAATTTTTTTCTTCTTCGATAGGTTAGTTTTGATTCTCATTGATTCGTCAAAGATTATTGAGTATTGTCATGAGGTATAGTGAATAGTTTCTCAACTGACCGCCATTCATGAGAAGAGGACGCTAAAATGGCAGTCAGATTGGGCCACGAAAGGCCATAAGATGTAAGGTCTACTCGTACACCTCGTCTATGGTTGCCAACTTCAATGCTCGGTTGATAACCAACAAACATGAATTTGATCGTTCCGGAAGAAGGGGAGACCGTGGTCACTAACGTTTCACGACGCAAGGACGACGTCCTGCGTATCGTGGTCACGGACGGGACCACGGAAATGACCCTGGCGTTCCTGCACCGGATACTGTCCGTCAACTCGTTTGGTCCGGACCAATCGGTGTTCATCAGCATTTACGAATTCCCAGAAAAGGCAGTGTTTCTGGAGAGCATCGCGATCGAACTTACCGCGTTCAGTCCCAATATCTTGCATGGTAAATAGCCTAGGTTCTTGCAGTTCCTTTAAGGATCGATTATCTTTTTATTGGGCACTTTTTACAGGCATTAATTACTGTTTCGATGCTTCGGTTGCTTTCAAAGACGCGGACGTCGTGGTCTGTATAGGTACAGCAAGGGGGTACATGTTCACTGAAAATGATTACAACGACCTATTCTTCAAGGACTACGTTCGCGCCGCCAAGTTTTACGTATTAACGTATACTCGTTACATCGAATTAGACCAATAATCCTAGAGTTGCTATAGCTCAGTACTTTGTTCCCTTCTCTACAGGGCGAATGCATAGAGAAGTACGCGAAAAGGGACGCGAAGATTATAGTACTCGGTGGCACGGCTGCCACGATCATATCCCGATACGCCACGTCCATTCCTATCAAGAATATAACAGCCCTGTCTATGTTCAATAGAAAGATCGCTGCAGCACATGTACGACTATATACGTAAATCATTATTAAAATGTTTAATAAATCTTTTGGTTCGATTAGTCGCCTCTAGGTGTCTTTTAGGAATGCTTGTGTGGTTATCGTTTCAGATCGCTGCTCGAGCAAACTGTCATCCGGCAGATATTAAGAACATTATAATATGGGGTTCCAACAACAGGTACAACTTCCCAGATTGCGGGTACATGTACTTCGCGGATGGAAGGCCCCTAACCGACGAGCTAATAGTGTGGCTAAAAACGGATCTTCCAGGTGTAAGAATGTCTTTCCTATACCTTGTATTTTATAATTTTTACTATCTTATTGGGTTATTCTCACCTTTTCTGTAAGCTAGCTGCGCCATTTTGTTAGGTACCGCTTTGCCCGCCATCTGTAACATAAATTCTGTACCGTTGAAACGTTGTAAGAGAAAGAAATAGGAAAGGTATGCAATTATCGAACAATATTCCCTGTTTTTTTGTAGATTCTGCGAAAGATCACTCACAGACCTAGATACGTCAGATCGACAGCGTGCTGTTTGGCGGACCATTGCGATATTTTGTGGAATGGTACCCCCGAGAACGAGTGGGCCTGCATGGGGGTATTGTCCGACCATTCTTACGGCATTCGAGCAGGGATATTTTTCTCGTACCCCGTATTCTGTAGAAACGGACAATACGAAATCGTGCAAGTATAAAATACCGTTTGAAAGTTTTGGATTCGGTTCACAATGTAATTTCGTAGGGCCTCGCTATCGACGAATACGTTAAGAGATACATCTTGGACTTAAGCAGACTGATAGCAAGAGACGTCACCGCCGCCAGAGCACTGTGCGATTAGAACTCAAACAGCAGATAATATACGATATGTTTTTCACTGGAATATAACGCGTTCGTCTACTATTTATGCATTTTATTGCATTTATACAAGGTACATTTATTTACAAGTTTCCTTCGACGACGTAAAGTTGCAACTTTACGACATGCCATAAATACATGGAGCCATTATTTGTGCATCGTTAACACGGTATTCTTATTACACGAACAAGCACTTGTCTTCATGAAAGCTGTTATTAACGAAAAGGTGTCAACGGTTGTTTTTTTTTAAATATATAACATTCTTGCCACGTGACCATAATCTTTTTTACCGACGACCGTTAAAACACCATTCGAAAAAAATTTTCGATTCGTCACCCCTTTTCATACGATGGAATTATTAACGATCCCCGGTTTTATAAAATCTATAGACACTATGGATCCAATAGCCATGATTCATGACGAGATAACTAATCTAATTTATAATAATAATCGTTACACAAGTATATTTTTTGTATGTACAGACCAAATGCTCCGAGATTTCTGAACGAGAAACACATTTTACATTTGTCAACCCCAAAGAATTTTAACCGTAGTTTCAAAAGGTTCAAAGTGTATCGATGAAAATTATTTATCCTTCATACAAAATAACAATCCTGTTTCGCCATGTTTCTATCGTAACGCCGGAATACCCGCTTTCAAGTGACAAAATGGCCAGTTCGCTTGAAGACGGGGTGGGTGGCGACTTCGAGCATCGAGTAAACAGAAACAATGGGGTGATGTTTATTAACGCATTAGGTACCAAATTAACTAACAATATGACTGATCAAGTATAATATTCCTTGTATTTTAAACAGAAAGATAAACGATTACTTTTCGAAGTCTCCTGAATGGTACACTGGTACTTAATGGGTCAACAAACTTCTCGACTGCGTCTCGAGTATTTCTTCCCGCCAATTATACCTCGAAGGCCGGGAGGTAGACAAACAAGATTAGCATGGAGTCGCGTATCTTCTATCTGAATCGAGTTCAGAGATCCAAATACATGACTTGCGTAGCAGAAATGGCCCCGCAAGCGGCGAGGGTGCTCGCCACGCACACCACCGCCGTGGTGGTTCCAGACTGACTGACGATGGTCCCTAGACAGCAGGAGAGCAGAAATTGCGCCAGGAAGACCATCGACGAGACGATCGCTACGTCTGTACCGAGACCACGTACTCCCTCGCTTTGAACGGCTTCTCCATCGGCTGTCACCTCGAACTGCAAAGACGACTAATTCAATTTCCAACACACACACAGACGAAGACAGACCTAACCCAGACAAACACCAGCTCAAACATACTGTATTACGTATCGTACTATTTAATGACACTACAGATCTTGCAATGTTTATCATGTTTCATCAAATTGACACTGCCACTTCAAAGTCTGCAATATACCGAAAAAATAAGCTTCGTTTGTACATTTTTTGCAAACGAAACTGTCAAGCTTTTCCAGTGGGGGTTCTGCTCACTGTTTTGTTCATCCTTCGAGGATGCACACGAATTTTTTTAATGGAAAATAATCAAAATTGTGGAAGTCGTTTAGTAATTTAGTAACTTGAGTATTTCAGTTACTGTGCAAAAGCTCGTTGGAAAATGAGTCGTCCCAGTCGGGTATGTTTTCTCGTTAGTAGCTCTCTAAGAAATTAGCAGGATTGCTCCCAAAGGAGCGCTTCCCGTTTCGCAGGGAGCTCCGATAGTCGTTCTCGACTGAGCGATATTATTCGAGGCAATTGTTTTCTTGGTGACAATGGCGACGATCGTAACTTTCGAGACGATGTAGCTCCGTAGCATTCCCCACGGGTAAAATTCATCTTACGAGGCTTTTAAGGACAATTGAACAAAACGAGAGCTATAATTTAACCGTGTATAATTTAAGAGCGTCTGTGGTACGATTAACTGACCGAAAGTAGATGAGACATACTTGGTTTCAATTTTTCAAATATTTCATTTGGTTTTATTTTGATTAAACTTTGTATTTGCAAAAATCTTGGTAAATGTTACTCACCGTCGACGAAGCGTGATAGTGTGCAACCAACAAGTACGGCATGGTGAACAAAGTGGAGTACATAACGCCTGCTGTCCAAGAGAATATGATCACCCCCACCGGATGTTTGGTCAGCGCCATCATCATCATACCGGTGCTGTAGAACAGCAGGCCGCAGATGTAAACTCTTCGAGCTCTGTTCAAACAAAAGTCACAAAGTTTTGACCCCGTAAAAATCGAGAATCAGGGAAGATCGAGATTACTTGTAGCGTTCTATCAGCCTCTCGATGATCAACGAGTAACACGAGCAGGAGAGCGAGTACATGGACATCCCCCAGCACCCGAAACGAACGCCACTTTCGTACAGTTCTCGTTCCTTGGTGCCATCCGGTGCCTGTGATCAGACATATTTACGAAACTCTGCTCTACAGTCGATACAAATTGTTCAATCTCTGAATACTTCCAAAAATGCAGAATCTACCCTGGGAATCAATTTCTCGTGCCAATACAAATCGAAAAGTCCTTTTCCATTTTGCAATCGGACGTTTCGTTACCGAGATACGAACGATTGAAGTTTTACGCGCGCGAATATCGTAGTCGCGTGTCCCGCGCGTGACCATGCGCATGCGCCGCCACTCGATCAGCTGATTGAAATGGCGCGAACCCGGAGCGCGATCAACTTTAACTGCTCATATCTCGGTAACGAAGCATCGGATTACGAAACGGTAAAGGACTTTTCGATTCATATTTTCACGAAGAATCGATCGGTAATAATGTAACGAGTTGCTCGCCTGCGGATTGCCGCCATAGACAGCTTCACCGACGAAATCCGTGAAGTAGAGCGAGTAACAGACGTGGGCCATCCAACAGAACAGGTTCGTCAGGCACACCATGCGCAGACTGTGCGGCATGTACACGATCGAAAGAAGATATTCCCTCAAAGTAGCCTTAGGATTCTCGCCGCTCTCCTCGAAGCCAGATTTATCGCCACTGGCTTCCTGAGGTATGGCGTCCGGTATCATAGGCACTTGTCCAGCTCTTCGTTCCGGCTCTTTTACTGGCAGAGGTTTCAAGACAAATTCCTAAGGAACCATGTACACTTAACGTTAAGACTTTCCTTGAGGATATAAATAAATCTTAAGAGACAAGCATGGACGACCATGAACTCACATCCTTCTTCGTGGCAACGTCTTGATCATTGTCGAGTGTCCCATAAGAGACGGACTCTTCCGTCGTAATTTTATCGTGCTCCTTTTGCTCGTCCTCCTTTCCTTCGGCAGACATCTAATTAAATTTGAAAACAATCTGCAGGCTACTTCGTAACACGTGAATGCGTTTTCTTATTTAATTTTAAACATGTAAATCGATACGTTTTGTTAATAAATAGCAATGGACAGTCGATGGGAATGAATGGAAAACGAACCATTTGCTCGTGTAACTGTTGATACTCGTCCCTTTCCAGTAATTCCAGAGGGATTTCCTTGAAGCTGGTGATGGTGCAAAATACACAGATGACAAAGATGATGGTAATTAAAGTGAACGTTGCATGGAGATGTCCACCCAGCATCACTCCTATCGCAGTGGCGTCCCAGTTAATGCCACCCAATCCGTAACCCATAAAACCACCTAAGCCTGCCATTATGGTGAACGTGCTTAACCCTTTGGCGTGATCCTCTGCGAATACAACGAGTGTCCTGATATTATTTCCCAGCAGCTACTGATCCGATTAGAATTAAGTGGTGACGCAAGAACGCGGACAAATTGGAGGATCGCGAATCTTTGTTGCCAAGAAGATGAGATATATTATATATTGGTTGTTAGGGTAGATGGAGTTAAAAAAATATTTAAAACATTTCTTGAAGCAGCTAAGTTAGGACCCTGAGGCTAACTTGCTCGATCAGGAGGTAATTCATTTACTTGCCAGGTGTAGTGACGTCAAGCAAATAAGCCCTGGCCGGGCTCTGGCAAGCGTCAGCGTCGAAGTCGAGGAGAACCGTGCCCAAGATCGTAAAGAAGATGCCCCAGGAGTGGGAGGGTGGCTTCACAGCATCCTCTTTCGCTTGTTTGGCTGTAGTTCGATGACCGAGGGGGACCGAGTAGTTGGTCCCATGGGGTGGCGTGTCGCCGAAAGCGTAACCCATGTCCTCGCCATTGGGGACCAGTATCAATCCTGCGTTTACCACCCGTGGACTTTATTTTAAATTAGTACTATTTCTATTGTGATTTTATGAATGTTTTCTTGGACCAAAAGGCGTCCATTCGAGACGTTTGCATTAAGGTAACATGGGAAGCTTTTGTCGGAATCGAGGATTGCTTTCTTGCTCTCCTCACCTATCAATACGCCGATTGCCAGCAACATGATGAAGGGTCTTCTTCTTCCGTACTTCAGCCTGCATCTGTCGCTCAAGCTCCCCAGAATCGGAGTCACGAAGAAGCCGATGAGAGGGCTGAGTGCCCAGACGAGCGTCATGTGCTGATGATCCACCCCGATCTTTAGGAGGGTCGGTGAAACGAAGGCCGTTTCGGCGGCGTACGAGAATTCGATCCCCATCACGGCCGCGGACACGCGCACCAATTCACCTCGAGTCTTTTTCCTGAAAATCAACTCGATCAGACCGATTGTACTTCTTTAAAAGAGTCTTCCTCAAGAGTCTGGAGCCTTGAAAGATTTACTGAAGCAGACCTGACCCAGAAACAGACATTCCCCGTGAATATTTCGCGGAAAAAACAATGAGAAAAAAATGACTGGTTGTTTCGTCTTTGAGCCATCCACGAGGTTAACTTGGATTCCGAAAGGATGAGTTTTGCAAAGTCGATCTACCTGTAAACATGTGCGTAATCGTCCAACGTCCTCTCCAATTTCGGCGGTCCCCGAATATGATTTAAGAATCCCTCGATCCCTTGATCCGTGGGCACGCTGTTCTTCCACTCTTTCCATACCTCCCACCTCTCCTTGATCTTGTCGCGTACACCGTGGAGCCTGCCAGCGAAGCCCTCGTACTCGTGGAGCTTGTCGACCATGATTGCGTACGGCGTGTGTCGCGCGCGAATACCTGTCCCACCGTGTTTCAATCGAAAGTCCTCGGTGTCATCGCGACGCCAGGTACCGGGATCTATGACACCCCTCGAGCGGACGGTTCACGCCGCGAACCCTCACGCCCACACGCTCGTCGCTCGAACGTTCCGCGGGTGGGATGAAAAAAGTTTACCCGGTCGCGAATTCAATTAGCGCGCACCGTAGGAAGCGCGCGTTTCCGATCCATCGCGAACGAACTTGGCTGGTCGATCCGCGGAGAAGGGATACTTTCGGTAGGGGTTGGGGGTGGTGTGCTACGCCGGTGAGATACGAGACACGACTGGCGGTCCCGCAAGCTCGCGGCCAAGACGAAAGCACCAGCGACGTCGACTCTCGCCGAGGGATGCCCGGTTCCAACGTCCTCCACGTCCGACCCCGCGTACCCAGAGGATTGTAAAATGAGCTTTTCGTGTACCGGGGGGAGGAGGGGGAGGAAACCTACTTACCGGGTGGCTCCTCGTTAGCGTTGATTAAAATCGGTTCCGTCGCGAGGGGAGCGATCGAATTGGAAAAAGGAGATTTCTCGATAGGGGCAACCTATGGGGTTATAGTATCCGGTCCCATGGGCGAAGACGGAACCCAACACCCTGTTCGAGAATATTTATCGCCAGGTTTTACACCCCTTTCCTAATAATCGACTCCATGGACGATTTTATTAGCTTTTCGTGGGGCAATTTGAGAGGTGCATTAGGGAGTACTGAGAGTTGAGCAGGGTGTATTTAATTATTGGGGCTTTTCTAGGTATTTGAATTTCATTCTATTCGAATAACAGTACTCAAAATTCGAGTGCTACTGTTCTAATATCATTTTTCGAACAGCGCAATTACAGCTGACAGTAGTCGGGAATGTAATTGGAATTCTATGACGGACCAGGGAAAAATGAGTTCGATCAACGCGTTATGGTTCTCTGGCAATGGGCTATCGATGCGTATTGCTATCGTAAGCTCTTACTAAGGCGAAGCTCGAGGCAAGGCCATATACGCAACAAGACCTACTTTGTAGGACTTCGACTAATGCGACGGTTCGATATGCTCGCGACAGTATAATATGCTTCCTGAAAAAAAGTCACGTTTCCTTAACGGTATCTAGCCCCATCCTAACGATAATTCCACGGAGAGTGCAATCGAAGATGTTTCAACATCGACGCCGCCTATCCGCCATGTTTGAACAGCCAAGAGGCGTCCATTTTTTTCCTTAACGCGCCTTAACCTTTCTCTATTCTTATTTGAATATCGATGCATTGTTATTCGAATATCAATATTCCAGTACAACTATTCAAATATAATTCTTGGAATAAAAAATAAAAGAGTAACGGAGAGTTGTCAATAACGTTAAACCAGAATCTGTAAAACATTATGCGTTTGTTCGTATAAAATTCCACTCTGGACGGCGTTAAATCGAATTGAAAATCCGCCGCGAAAGGAGCACGAGGGAATCGACAAAGTGCAATTTCCGCGGCGGAAATTACATCTGCGACCAGTGGAAAAAGCTTTGTTGGGGAGCTTCGTTTGCGGAGACAGAGTGTAGTCAGTTCGATGTGTACGCGTGTAAACACTTACGCATTTAAGAATAAAGCAAACACCATGTATTTCTATATACACACGCGTAGATAAGCGGAAAGTGCTGGTTCGATACCGTTATTATTTATGCCGTGTATAATAAACGTTGTGAGAACGAAAGCAATATTTTTTTGAACGTTGCTATTCCACGTCGTTCGTATTAATTTTATTCCAACCGATCGTAACGAGATCCAGGAAAATGGCGGGCACGAGAGACGCCATAAAGGCTCGAGCCGATCGACAAGAAAAATCCTTGGCCGATTAGAAAGTTTTCGAATCGTTTCGGAAATTGTATTCGTTGAGGTGTCTAGTTTATTTCCGCCGTGACGCACGTTAACGATACGATTTGAGTTAACCTTGCGCAAGAGGAACAAGTCAATGACGATCGTCTATAGTCTGCTAATCATTTAACGTGCAGTTTCATTGAAGACACGTGCAAATATCGTTTTAATTCTTATCGATGCATGCCGTTGTTAGAAGCAATCTGTTGTGCAATCAGGCTTACGTTGCATCTGCAAATGCAGAATAAGACGAAACTGGTCCTTGCTATATTCTATTATACTTCTGTGTGGTCCCATAAACGTTAGCCTATCTGCTCAGGAACAGTAGTCACATACTCTTCCAGTTCGTAAGAATTATTCGACAATTTATAGTCGCTTCTCAAACTCTGATTTCTTTTTAATTAAATGCTGTATGTATTGCTTGCTTCTTATCTTAGATGCTACTTTCATTAATTACGTGGTATTTTCTGGTAGAGCAATTCGTAGCGTAGTTACCGGAGCACCGGTTTCCAATCCGATTATTTGATTAAACTTTATCAACCCTCCAAGCCCGCTTCCACGAAACAACCATGATGGGGAAAAGCAAGGTTATGATTGCACCGGAACCTCGATAATAATCTTGGTATTTTCTCGATGGATATCTTTATTATTCGATAAATAAGTCGTTCGAAGTTCGTGCAAGAGGAAGACATTGCTGCTCGAGTGAGTCGTCTAATAGTAAATCCGTTTTAGTCGATAAATGCTCGGAATTGGATAAAGGATGAAAATAGCATCGTAAGTAATATTTCAGACGAGGTTCCATCAATCATTTCAAGATTGTATTGCATTCAGTGTATTTTATTAAATCCACAGTCGCCATCTTTCTCCATGTCGAGACCACAATGGCCACCATCGTCCATACGTGCATGCTGTGATTAACCTAACCTTAAAGTAAATAGCAATCACAATATAAGAAGGCAAAGTGAGGAACGTAGATCCTGTAGGGATCGAGATTTTCATTATTTCTGTCGAAGGATAAATTTATCTTTGGCTCGTAGTCTTTCAGGGAGGTCGCATTGGTAATAAAATGGAAGGTCGATAGGGGAGACGATCGATTTTACGGGTAAACGGGAGCTCAACGTTGATCTCTATTGTTTTTTACGCGTCTCTTCTTTGCGTGCGTAAATCCTATTTATCTTGAATGTCTGCCTAATACGTATTCCCTAGCTTCAATTTGCCTGGCGTAGAAACGATAGTAAATTCGCGGGAGAATGAGACTGGTACATCATTTACGTTGCTATAGACGATGGGATCTGTGTTAAGAACATCCATAGAGATTGTGTTTACGATACCATCATAGCAATAGACAGTTTCCAAGTTCTGACCAGGGATTTAAGTGCCTTGGATGATCCAAAAGTTCCACATACCCTGGAGAAAACAGAGATTTCGAGGATTATTAGAAAACTCCAATGCCCCAAGTTCTAATTGGGAGTTTAGAAACCTTGGAATAGACCAGAAGCCCTAAGAATCCCCATTGGTGTTCTAACACCGACCTACACCCATGCAGTCTGAAGCAAAATAGAGGTTTTTAAGATCATCCGAGGACTTCGGAGTCTCCAAGTGTTAACTAGGAGTTTAGAAACCTTGGAGTAATCCAGAAACCTTAAGAATCACAATTAGCGTTCTAATAGACCCAGACCTATCAATAGAAGTTCAATATTTCAGATGAATGAATAGTCTTCGAGTTGTAAACTTCAAACGTCCTGAAGCTCTGAATTAATATATATCTGAACTTGTATATTACGGGTTAGAATCACTTGAGCTCCTTAGGCTTTGAACCTTTGGACTTTAATTAGCTCAACTCGTTGAGACTATCCTTGGACTTCGTTGATCGTTAAGGCTTGCATCGGCCATGTACTTTGTCGTGATTGCTTGATTATCGCCATTCATTGACGTGCATAACAAAACAGAACCTTTTGCTCCACATTCTAAAGACGGAACCCGATGCCTCATCAATTCGCACTTTTCCTGCTTCGCGACCAGCAAACAAGGTCGCCTCAACTCCGACGAATCGCTAACCTGGCGAATATACCGCGTTATTAATTAATCTGCCGCATAAATTTTATTTGAAACATCGCGTTGATGGTTACCAAGATATACAAAATGGCGTAAGGTGGACCTACTTCCACTATGGTTCCAACAGCTCTGTTAAGTTTGAAAAGAGCCATCATCTCTTCGTAAGGGATGGAGTTGCAGTGTAAACATTGTTAACTAACAAATTTGGAACACCACTGTGGCTCTCGGCCCTCCACTTATCAGAATCGTTTCAACTCGAATCGAGTTCCGATCGTTAGACGGGAACAAGGTGAACAGGAAATTTCGCAGCTGTTATCGTCGCGATGGAAGGACTCGAGCCGGAACAGAACAGAAATCGTTCGATGAACTTTGCTTCCCGACAGAAGAATCATCCCATCGTTCGGAGGCGGGAAGACCAACTGCCTCGAGCACTGAAGGACCAAGGCTTTCGGGGCCCCGAGAATACAATAATATTTGTTTTACATTTTTATCTACCTCCAATCATTTTAATGATACAGCTTTACCTAGAAAGTCCCTAGAAGTCCCCTAAGACCCGATTTTCTTGCAACAAGCGAGGGAATATACACAAGAGACATTGATACTAATTTTATTTTCCTTAAAAAAGTTTCTTCGAGAAACCGAGATAAAATAGTTTCCTTGAACAACGAATTAAGTTAGGTTAGGTTCATTTTGTTGATACGTGTGCTTTTAACAAAGTATGATTGGTAACCTTACCGGACAGTTTATACGACAAATGGAATCGTACGAGTGTTTTGGTTAGCGACTAATTAACCGTCTTCTCGTGCGTTCTTCTCTTTTCCTCCGTCCGAACAGTTGTTGCCTGACATAATTCCGGCAATTGTGCCAGTTATTATGGGGTTAAGTGGACGGGCGCGTGTAATGCCGAGCAACGCACGCGAAGAAGGAGGACCGGTAACAATTATCGCCGACAACAGTTTAATCTCCTTCCCCTCGATGGGTATCCTCCTTTCCTAATTTGATTAGCGTCGTGGACGACGGAAAAATTTTCTATGGCGCAACACGTACCCGGTGCTAGCGATGGGAACGACATAGAATATTAGATATCATGAATTACCATGAATTATTACCGCGTTTCGAACGAATCGATTCTATTAACCCTCGCTAAGTCGGAGTCTGGGTCCATTCAGACCCACGCCAACTGTTTCTTTCCAATACTATGTTGTACAGGGCTTGTAAAACGAACGATATCCATAAATAATAGTTTAAAATATTTACAATATGGTGTATTTGTATCTACGACAAATATTGAGAATTGTAGGGGGCACCACTCAGCAGCAGTTGAGAGGGCCTTAAATCCCTATGTACCCTCTTCGAAATCTTTGAACAGGCGA